CAACATACACAGAGAAGCCATGAGGCCGAAATAATAAGATCATAAAAAAACACTGCATAATCTCCTTTAACCCTCTGAGACCCATGGGGCCGTATACGATCCCAAGTATCACGTTGTGTTCAAAGCGTTATAACTTCTCAGCTGTTTGAGCCAGAGACATGCCGCATTTTTCCTCTTAAACTACAGAAACGGCAATAAACAACTCTATTAAGATTTTCATTGAGAGGCGTTAACTTATTTCGGTGAAACGGATGTGCGTAAAGTTTTAAAACGATTGCTTATCGTTTTGTATGTTTTATAGGTCTATTCTCATCCACCATCTTTGTTTGTGACGTAAAGAGTGTAAGAGTCACGTTTCTGAATCGGACACTCTGAGTGGATGCAGTCACAGCCAATCGGAGTCTGATTCAGAGGGCTGCCTGTCAGTTCCGTTATGTGTACTGAAAAGAGAGCCGGTATAATATAATACATTATTTTAGTGTTTTGAAAGTAAACTGAGGTATGGCAAGGAAGTTTACTACAGCTGAGGCTTTGGAGCTGATTTTTCAAGGGGACGATGTTGATGAAAATTCAGACGAATCTTCTCAGCATGCCATGTGTGATTGTGGAAAGGAACTACCATGATATATATCATGTGTAGTCTTGACAAAAAAAAAGACAATTCCTGGCAGAAAAAGGCTCATGGACACTGCCCAAAAGAATGGGCATAACTAATGAACAGAAGTGCTCTTGTGAAATGTGGGCAACAAATCTGTAAACACTAAACAAGATTAACAGAGGAGCTTAAAGAGGCAGTTATGGTATGTCAATGTAATTATTATGGTATGATGTTACCTTAAATCATGACACACTGTAACCAAAATACTTTCAGCGTTTCCCATACATCGATTCATTTGTGGCGGGTCGCCACAATTAAATATCGTCCGCCACAAATAGATCTCATAAAAACATTTTTTTTTTGGGAGAATAAACCCCACAGATCCTCAACTCCGGTGTGTCTCACTCATTATGGGGGTGCGGTGCGGTGCCCCCACAAATAGAATCAAATTATGTGGGAAACACTGGAAGAAGTCAGAATCTTCTAATCAGTTCTGATACAATGATAATAAATGTGTGCAATTGTCTGTGTTGAATTTTTTTTTCAATGTTATGGTTAGCAGTTCTTTTGAATGAAATAAGTAAAAAATGCATGCTCCGTTTTTAAAAAAAAGAGATGTTTATGGGCAAATATCCCATATTATATTGTATTGGTCTCTAATGACTGGCATATATCATTAGCTGAGGTTGTGCTGATTTCTGGGATGTGTAAAACTGTATTATACTGTAAAGAAATGACAATTTATAAGGCAAAACACAAAAATATACAAAAACGGAAATGTCCTATGTGGGTCTCAGAGGGTTAACTTTCTGTTAGTGATTAAAATGGCGTGCTCCTGCATCTTCTTGAAAAGACGAACAGTGTAGCACCTTTTTAGGTCTCTGGTTAAAACTTAATAGCAATGTGATTTAAATGCATTTTCAGTACAGTTGTTGCATAGCAACAGTACAAGCTGTACTTTGTGTTTTCTCTCAGGTTTTTGTTTAGAGTTGGCATCTTCAAAGGAGCCACTGGAGGAGTCAGCTCAATGAAACAGAAGTATTGGGGGAAGTTGCAACAGGCTCTATCCATCAGTTTTCATCAGCTGAAGCCAGGTCTTCACACAATGGAGCAATTTATACCGTCCAAACAGAAGCATGATCAAAGGGAGGGGGGGCAGAGGGTTTACTGTATACTGTCGGACAATTCAGTATCCCCCGCCCTGTCTCACTCGCCAGGTGTTTCTGATATTCCTATAGTACCTGCATCTTCAAACTATCCCTAGATCTTAAATGGGTATATGGGTAGGGAGGAGCCTGCCCCACCTCATTGTCTCCACGACAACCAAAGGAAGTGCTTTATCAAGCAGAAATCCAATTCTGTCGCCTCATTGGCTAGAAGCCATAGATGGATGGAAAAAGGGGAATACAGCAGCCAATTAGAACGAGAGAGGCCGAGAGGGTGACAGCAAGAGAGAGAGAGAGAGAGAGAGAGAGAGAGAGAGAGAGAGAGAGAGAGAGAGAGAGAGAGAGAGAGAGAGAGAGAGAGAGGAGAGAGAGAGAGAGAGTAGAGCTCATGTAGATCTATCGAGAGAGTCCTCCTCTCTCTCTCCTCTCATCTCCTTTGTCTTTTTGCTATGAAAAAACAACCTATTATGGTAGATGTGAAATATGTAGAGTGTTCAGTTTCATCTATCACACACACACACACACACACACACACACACACACACACACACACACACACACACACACACACACACACACAAGAGACACAAAAGGCACACATCAACAGTAACCAACCAGCCTCAGTAATGAGTTCAAGTATAAGTTGACTTCAGTTCAGCTGACACATTCTTAGATACACACGCATACATGGGCACAGTATAATGTATTTCAGCTGTGTTTAATGCTGTGTGAACAGTGCTGATGTGGCATTAGGGTGTAAAGGACGTGTACAAGGAGGTTGGACCAGCCCTTCTCTGTCGCTACTCTCTGCAGGTCCGCTCCATTTCCTACTGCAGATCAAAAAAAGCAAAAAATATGTATTTCTTGATAAACTAAATAGGCCACCATTGGTAGCAGTTCTCATTATATACTTCTCAGTAACTGCTCCCCTTAAATTAAATGTATTCTGTAGATTTTGGGGATTTATTAATGCATTTATTGCCATCACCATGCTTTGTCAAGACTCTTTTAAATTCTATCATTTTATAGGCCAAGTTTCACTTTTCTGAAAATAACAAAGCAGGGTTGAGGAAATATTCCCAACTGCATCTTCAAAAGTAATCCACATAGCTACATCAGCATCTAGCAAATGAAAAGCTTTCTTTGTAGACACACAGATCAACTATAGTGGCACAGTGGCAAATCCCTGCTGTGACTATTTGGACGTTTTAGGAATATTTTCCCGTCAATTAGCACAAGTCTGAAGTTCTTCAGTAAATACCAACAAAAGTATGAGACCTTGAGGCACGTGCAAGTCCAGAGGGATTTGTTTTATGACATGACATATAGTGTCTTGTGTGCTGGCATGAAATCCAACCAGTAAATCACTTTTCACCAAACTCAACATGTAAATATAAAGCCAGCTGCTTATTGAAACAAGAGTGTGCAACATTAAAAAGTATACAACATGATATTTTAATTCATATAATCATAATGATTAACCCTTTAAATGCAGGATCTGGTCTTGCCTTTAGATAAAGTAAAATTCTCAATATATGCTGGTGTACCTCATTTATTGTCAGAATTGCAGTTGTATTTAAAACCTGCTATGTGCTAATAGGAGAACTGTGATAAGTGGGAAAATGGTGATAATGTAATCACAGAAAAAGACGCATTCATCTCCACAAAGCTGTTCATGTCGGTATAAATTAGGGTTTTTTCGTGTGCATTTGTGTGTGCTTTAAAATATGTGTGCTTGACTGCCTTTGTGTGTGTGTGTGTGTGTGTGTGTGTGTGTGTGTGTGTGTGTGTGTGTGTGTGTGTGTGTGTGTGTGTGTGTGTGTGTGTGTGTGTGTGTGTGTGTGTGTGTGTGTGTGTGTGTGTGTGTGTGTGTGTGTGTGTGTGTGTGTGTGTGTGTGTGTGTGTGTGTGTGTGTGTGTGTGTGCTTGCTAGAGAGAGTTTAGCAGGTTAGTAGGTGATGCTTAATCCAATCTGCCTTACATGCCGATAAGGCTGAGTCAGCATTGTTGGTGTCAGACAGATCAATGCTACATCTCAGTAGGCCTCCCCCCCTCCCCCTCTCATTTAACCCCTTTATGGTCATGTCAGGTTACGGTGGTATTGGCGCTTTCCAGCTTGCGTGATTTCATCTTGGTAATTATCTACAAAACGAAAACCTGATTATGTTTCCACAAGAAAATTGGTGTTAGATGAGCTTCTTGTTAGTAGGAAATAATAAATTAACCCCATGAAAAAGAGCAAATAAGGCTATATGCTAACAGATAAGCAGTTACACAGCGGGTGAGTTGAAAGGCACGGCTACATTTTTCATTTGTTACTTTTATTTTCATAGATTAGTGGTCATAGTGAGGAAAAATAGTTGATATTTGATGTCCCCAGGTGTCCAGGTTGCAGATAGTAAAGGGGAAAAATAACTATATTTATGTTGCCTGAGTCAAAAAGAATGTTTGAATACAAACTACAAAAACAGATGCTCATAAATAAGAAGATATTGATATGTACGTAAATATGCTTAGTGTTAACTCGCCAGACTCAGACCTGTGTGATGTTTTGGATGTTTTTGAAGTTCTCCAGCGGAATATTGAATATGGAAATCTGTAAATCCCTCACAAGGAAATGGGAAGTGGAGGCAGAGAGGTTTCAGTCTCCCCCGAGGGTCAAGCAGGAATTCTAGTTTGAGATATTGCACATTGCTAGCATCAAAGGTGTGCTCATTATTACCCATTAATTCTCTTTGTTGCCACCTCCTCTCTCCTTGTTCAATCTTCTCCCTTCTCTCAATTTCCTCTCATCCTTTCTTTTTGTGTCTCTTCTGCTTCCCTCGTCTTCTTTTCTCTCTTCTGCTCTGCCAAATGTGTTTCTCTCTGGTCTTAGATGAAACAGAAAGTGTTGGTTTAATAATCCCTCATACCAAGTTTTGAGCTATGTGCTGATTCGCCCAGCTTCAAGTGCGGCTCAGGAGGAGTTCCTCATCTCTTTCTAGTTCTTCTTGTAATACTGAATGAACTCTGTTGAAGATATCATGACACAGTTCTACATCATTTGAACTGATGTTCTCAGAGGTTGCTAATGTTTGTTGTTTTTTAAGGATCTTTTTCTTCTTTTCCTTCTTCCTATGAATTAAGCAAGTCTGACTTACCTATATTCAAATACAGTAGCAGTCGATTGACTTTAACTGAGTTGAGCGTGAAGTTGCTTGAAACTGACATGCTGCTTTTTTTGTTTGTGAACTTTAGGTTATCCAGATCAACTTTGAAGAGTTTGACCTGGAGATAGCCTATGATACTCTGACCATAGGGGATGGAGGGGAGGTGGGGGATCCTACTGCTATTCTGCAGGTGTAAGTAAAACAACAACCTTTCATACAATCCCATATATATGTATATATATATGTACTGCAGTATTTTAGACTTTTTTTAGAACATTTTAATTATCCAAAATATGTTATATTCTTTATATTGTTTATATTTGATGTAATATTTTTCATTTTATTTTTATTTTTAATTATTAATTCTCTATTCCACTTTTTAAGTATTTGTATATTTAATGTCTGAACACACTGCTGCTTCTGTAACGAAATAATTTCCCAAATTGTGATCAATAAAATATATATCTATCATCTATCTATCTATCTATATGCCATGTGAAATTATAAAAACATGCTTTGTTATATCATTATTTTCTGAATCGGAGAATCATGTCAAAGACAACCTGAAAAAAGTGAACTACCTGCTTGTAAAAAAAAACCCAGTGAGAAAAATATTCCGGGTATGTTTAACTTATAATTCTAAAAAACCTCACACAACCTTCAAATAAGGAAGTTAACAAAACCAGAACCAAAGCTTCTGTATTTTCTTGAAAATCCTGCATTTTAAGTCAGTTGACTTCTTAAAGCTGTAATGATGGGATGCATACAGAGCAGGCCCTGCTGCCGTACCAGACAGATTATGTCTACAAAACAGCTTTACCAAAGTAATGTGGTGAGATAAACTCCTTAAAGGTGAATGTAATAACTTGCAGAAAATGTGCTGCCTTAACTGCGATTTTGCATTTGAGTAATTTTATGAAGCAGGTGTGCAACTCACAGAGTATTTCCATAATGGCCAGCTGCCGTCGTGAGCAGCAGCGTTATCGTCAGACTATCAAACGAACGCCTCACAGCACAGTTAACATGTTTCACAGAAACTGCAAATGACCAGAGTTAAAACTTTTCTTTTTATACTCTGTCCATTTTCATTCTGGCTCTTGATTTAAGTCATCACCTGATAGCTAGCTTGAAATCCTCCATCTTTTTTGGCGCACTTTGTCAGATCGTAAAAAAGCAGTTTGCATCATGTGTAACCGTTAAAAAGATGGACTGTTTCTGGATTTTGGGAATGCTATTCCGTGCCCAAAAGGATAACAGATGTAAAGCCTTTGCACAGTTGATGATTTGAATTCAGTGCGGAGTCAATCACTGATAACTTTCATGCCTAAAAGGCGTTGGCAACCAGAAAAATGGCTAGATAGTATGAATGTACTGAGAGCAGTCTGCTGTTCTGAGGCAGCATTCTGCTTCCCCAAAGCAACCCAAATCAAAGCATTCATCCACTGCCAATTTGTTCACATTGAGAGCGGCACTTGAACATTTCCGTATGGCCTTGATTGGAGTGATGACAATTATACTTTTTAAAATAGTGATTATCATGGCTATGATTTAATATGAATGTATTTTGTGCTCCAGACTATCAGGAAGCTTTGTTCCTGACCTGATAGTCAGCCTGACCCACCAGATGTGGCTTCACCTTCAGTCAGATGAGAGTGTCGGATCCATAGGATTCAAGATCAACTACAAAGGTAAGAAATTAGCATTTGAGAGAGATGGAGAAAAGTAAATGAATATAATGTTCGTGAGAGGGTTGAAGAAAGATTTCTAACCTTAAAAAAAGGTGAAAATACTTTTTTGTAGACTTTTTCAGCTGCCTTTCCAGTGGTTGTGTATGGTACCAAAGCATTTTGGGCCAGTGTCATGATGAACGCGGAAGTTGCCTCAAAGCCCAGCTCCACTTCTATATTATTATATTTACAATATTATGAAACAAGCCTAAATGAAGAAAATAAGAAATATCAAATGTGTGGAGTGTGGCATCTGAAGGTATCTTTTCCTATGGAAAATATTTGTTAAGATTTTTCAAGCTATAGATCAGTGATCCCAAAATGTTGGTACGCCTTCCTTTGTTTATAGGCGAGCTGAGCTTGAACACAAGAGCCTTGCTGAGAAACCTATCAACTGATTTCTAACTGTCCCAAGTATTAAACTTGGTTAAATATTATTATAGAGAGCTAATATACACATACACATCACAATATAATGATGTAACAAGTAGTCGTTAATTATTTAAATATTAAAAATATTAGAATTGTTGTGAACAACGTGAAAGTCTGACATACAGTAGCATGAACCAGTGAAGCTAGAGTTAACTAAACACAGTAAGACTTGGTAGTGGATTTAAACAGATCAAGTTCAACTTTGAAATGGCTTCAATGTCCACAAAAAGCCCAAAGAGTTTAAAGTCAGATAAGCCCTTTAATGCTCAGTCACAGTATGCAGTTGAGCTGCCGTGTGGCTGGAAATAAATAAAAACAACATGATACTAGGCTGGTTATATCAATCTGGGATTTACCATCAAAGAGAAGCTTCGAAGGCTTTGTTCAGGCTCGGTGTCTCTTTCATTGTTTTGTTTTCTGCAGTGGGATGGTGTTCTTGAGAAATCTTGGTTTAGTACATATTGGTACGGGGTCTTGGAAGTTTGGCAACTTTTGCTTTAGTGCATATCTTAAGGCTATATATGGTCTTTTTTTTGTTGGGTTTATATTTCATGTTCAAATTAGACGTGTATCTCACAACACCTGCCTTGTATCTTATTATAAAACAGTTTGCATCTCTTCTGTTGATTTGGCTCTTGCGAGACCTTTCCAAAGTTCCCTGCTTGATGGATGTAGTGCGACTCTGATTACAGTCCGTGAAACACAGAGAGGTGAGCTTTGCAGCACAAATTAACTTTGTGTTCCTCATTTGGGTGTCATCACCGGTGGATTTATTGTCATAATGAGGTCACAGTGCTGACTCTGCTCATGCAGTGAGTTCCTAAAGTGGCAGGACAATGGCACATTGCTTTGATATATCTGTGCCCTTTATTCTCCTTGAGTTTCAATGTGAAGTTCAAATAATACAGTACAGTGTGGAAATTGCGGTTAAAAGCGGTCTCCCATGAAAACAACATTTGAATGAAATTGTAGTACAGAAATGCTTAAGATATAGGATGCATTTGACATATTTATACATGGCATCCAGAGTGACAAAAACACTGGAAATATTTTAACTGGATGTATATTATCCTTAAGTTTGACTTGTTCACTCAAATCCAAATACCATGAAGAATTACATCCACACTCAAAGCAAAATAAATGTGTTTCTCTCCGATGGGCTGGCTCCATCACCCACAAGATTTACTATAAAGGAGGACGCCTGTAGTATTAGTAGGTGGCTTTGAGATATCTGTGTGTTTTTGAGAATGAAAAGGGTATAGAAAAGAGATGGATAGATGCTGTGTGTGTGTGTGTGTGTGTGTGTGTGTGTGTGTGTGTGTGTGTGTGTGTGTGTGTGTGTGTGTGTGTGTGTGTGTGTGTGTGTGTGTGTGTGTGTGTGTGTGTGTGTGTGTGTGTGTGTGTGTGTGTGTGTGTGTGTGTGTGTGTGTGTGTGTGTGTGTGTGTGTGTGTGTGTGTGTGTGTGTATTCCTAGAGCCACATCCCATAGACCTTGGCTATGATTATCAGTAACTTTATCCGTGCTGCAAAGTCACCGATGCACTACATTGTGTGTGTGTGTGTGTGTGTGTGTGTGTGGGGCAGGTCCTCCATCAGTGAGCCAACGAAGCCCTACCAACAAGTCACTCACCTCTCTCACTCCTCACCCCCTCTCCCTTCCCTTCTCTCTATGTGCCTGTCACTCTCTCTGTGTCATTTTTCCTCATTAGCCATCACTCCCTTCCCCTTCTCTCTTTTTCTCGTGCGTTATCTTTCAGATGGCCAGCACTAAGTCTTACTTTCTCTTTCTCACTCTTCATCTCTGGTTCTGCTTTTCTGTGTCTCACAGTCTCTCTGTCTATTTCCCTCTCTTTGTCTTGCCACCATCCATCTATTATTAAACCCAAGGTCAGCAACCTACCAACTCTTTGACTCCACTGTCTGTTACAAGGCATACACATAACACACACACACACACACACACACACACACACACACACGCACACGCACACGCACACACACACACTTAAAGCTATAGATTTAAGGCAGCACTGCAACATTACTGACATCATTCACATTACAGTTTCAGTGTGTGTCTGTCTCCTCTGTGAATACATATGTTGATCTTAAGCTTATATATCTGTTTGCACGCTCCATAAAGAGGTGTCATTGAGGTTTTAGAGCATAATATATCCTTGTGTGTGACTGTGGAGTTATAAAACACCTATGTACTCGCACTTACAAAGCCTGAGATTTGCTTTATCCTTTAAGTTCAACAACATCCAAACAGACTTTCAATGATTCATTTTCCCTTTTGTATGAAATGAAAAAGATATTGAGTGTGTAACGGCATTGATGCAGGACAGGTCAGGGTTTCTCCGTATTTGTTCACAGAATGATATCTGACTTACAATTGATTTGTGTTGGTTAAAAAGATACAGGGTTACAGTAAATCACTCAGTTTCAGTTGTATTTACAATGTACCTCTTTATTCTAATTTGCCTACTTAAGTTTTAAATATGATATCTCCCCTTTTAAGGGCAGATAAGAATGACGGTCATATATATTTCATGTATTGTATAAGTTAGTCATGAATATTTTACCTTATGAAACAAGGCACATTGATCATATCATGTAATTTTGAATGTCTTCTGAATAAATAATACATATCCAATATGTCTTAATATTCAAACTGAAAGGCAAACTTCATAAAACAAAGTGCAGGCAGTAGAAAATGTAAGTCCATCACATAAAGTCATATATGATTGACTTAACTTCTTATATTCTAAGACAGAAAGTAGGTTTGGTGTTTAGCTAGCAGCGAGTAATATTCTGAATGCGCCTGCTTCAGCACCTCTTCTCCTGGTTTCCTTTGTAATCAGTGATTGTTTGCAAAGTGGAATTGTTGGTATATCTCTGAGGGGCTCCAGCAGTATTCCATCACCGACTCATCTCACTTTTGAGATTTTAAGGGGCGCCACGGGAGAGAGAGAGAGAGAGCGCCGCCATCGCCGTGTGTAATTTAAATGCAGCAGCTGCCAATTGGATTGATGCAGGATTCAACACTTCACACAGAGTAAACCTTCTGTTCCACTTAGCAGCAGCAGCTGATTCGTGCCACTTGAAACAGGCACAGGTGCTCATTTGCCCTCATTCACCTGCTGCTCACGAAAAGCCACATTGTGACCATGGATGTGGCGAGTAATGACACCTGTCACCACATCTGATTGATTGAAATGTCTGATGGACAGTGGTGTGTGCTGTGTCTTTTCTGAGGCCATATTTGAGCTTTTCACAAGACCTCAGGGCTATCAGAACATGATGTATACCATTCCTATGTTATATATTATTTTTAGTTAGAACAAATGGCAAGTAAAATCGTATTGGAATACAATTGAAATCCACTTTTCCGATATGGTGGCCTTTATAGATGCAGAACAGAATAATAAGTGCAAATATGTGCCTCACCTGTCATCCATTTTCACTGAAATACATGTGAGTGGTGATTTTGAGAATTTGTTTCCCGCAGTGAGTCATTCCCTCGAGCTCCGGCTTTTTGTAGTGCATCATTCTAGCATTATCCCATCATCCTGTGTTATATAACTCTGTGTTGTGGAGACTACAAAGTGCAAATTCAAATGCAAAGGGCCTGCCTCACGGGCACTTTTAAAAGAGGGCTAGATGGTACACGTGTCAATCTCGTGACAAATGTTTTTTATCACTTGCTTCACATCCTAGATTTTAGTGGTTTTATCTCATAGCATGCTTTTTACTGACCTGGAATGACTGTGCAGCAAAAGCTCAAATGTCGAACACATGATACTGCAGCCTCTGTAAGGGACAACATCTCACCCCTGAATTTCACTTTTTCTGTATCATCGCTGTTTCCGCTGCTATCTTTTCTCTCCTACTCTTCTTTTCAGCAGAATCCTATCACCTAGTCATAATGTCAGCTCTTACTTTTAAGATTTTATTTTAGATTTTTCATCTGCTTTTTTATAGTTTCTAATACGAGATTCATTTTATAGGAGGAAGAGATGTCAAGGTGGATTTTTACAGCATAGTTGACCTCCTGGGATGGGTCCTCAGTATGTGTGTGTGTGTGTGTGTGTGTGTGTGGGTGTGTGTGTGTGTGTGTGTGTATTATTAATGTCCATCTACATTTGTGCACCCATGTGTTTCTGTGTTTGATGGCGAGTGTGTCTGGTGTTGGATGTCACTGTAGGCATTGTAGAAATGTAACAAGATGTATAAATTCCACTGCATGCCTGGTCACAATTCAGAGATTAAGTGAGGAAGAGAGATGAGGCAAGAAGCATTTGAGGCAGCTTAACTGCAGCTGAACTTTGTGTGGTACCGCATTTGTAAAAACGTAAATTACTGAAGGAGAACACATTTAGAAGCATGGGTCAGGCTCAAACACAACAGCGTCTCATTTGTTCATGTATGAGACTCCATTCATGTTGACCGAGTATGTACTGCAGCTGTATGATTTGTGTTCGGTCGTACAGAAGCTCAATCCTGTAGAAGCAATGTAGTCCAGGTACTGAGCAGGACCATCTCAATCACACAGCACTAAACAGCATTTCATTCAGAGTGACTGAAACACCATGAAATATGATTTCATGAAATATTCATTCACAACATGAACCACAAATGTGATTCAATTTTACACCCAATAACTTTAGGATTGGGGTAGTGAGCCAAAGCCGACCGCTTTCTTGGTTATGTGTGTGTATATTTGCACGTGCGTGTGTTAATAAATATATTTATATATATATATATATATATACACATGTGTGTTTCACCTGTGAAGGGCAGGGCCTACTTAATCACCATAAACGGAAAAACAGCAATTTGTTGTCATTAATTATTGACACATGTAATGTTCAGGCCTCTCGTAGCGACCAGTCCTACTGAAATTAAATTACTATATATACAAAAAATGTCTTTTCTCATTAGAACTGAATAATATATTCAATACATTTCAAACCATCTTATTTCTTGTAACAGATTGTACTAAAGTACTTTTGTGCTCAATTATGTTACATACATTTAGGATTCTTGTTCAGATGTGGAGAGGGAATGATAGAAACATCACTGGGGAACAAAAATTACAAAAATGCCTATGAGCTGAGTGTGTCCTGTTCTCTGAGCAGTACATTCTGCTCCTAGATTGTAAAAATCTGTACGGACACATCGTGAAACTCACTGATGATCGAAGCCTTTTACAGGGTCATGAGACAGAGCCAGGCGTGTAGTAGAGGAGTTTTTAAACCCCTCTGGAGTGATGTATTTTTGCTCCAAGATGTGTCAAGATCAAAGAAAAACAACCCAATTATTATGTGCGATACACAAGTCCAATTTACAGAGAGTTACAGGTATATGGGAGTTTCACTATCAAGTGTAAAAACAAAACATTTTGCGGACTTTATGTAACAAAACCCGACAGGAATGGTGTGTTTTAATGAGAAGAGGAAATTGATGTCTCTCTCACACACATCTATCAAATGAATCCTCAAAAGCTCCTCAGTGGCCTTGTTTGGAACCTGAGAGAGGCTGGAAACAATGTCATCATTGTGGGTGTAATATATTAGATTATTTGTATCAAACAGACTGTCCTCACTGATGTCTACAATTGAAACAAATCAATTTGAGCCACTCCTTTTGCAACTTCCACTCAATCCCTTTTCATTTCTGGCCATTACTGCTACCTTTGATTATGATTTGATGTGGTTTAATGTCTTTACTGCTTCCTTCTGTTGTGGAGACACTGGTAAGGGATACACATATTGACAATAAAAGCACAGCAACAACCAGAACTTCCAAGAGACATTTTATAGCATATGGCAAACATTACACTATGCAGGCTGCTATGCGTTGAGCATTGGATTACTATTAGCAATCTAGCCGTGAAATCAATTTCACAATGGTCACAAAACAGTAACAGCCTATAAGCTTTTCTTTTCCTTCCAATCTCATTACCTCCCCAAAATCCATTACCTTACCCTCCCAGATCGTTACAGGTAGTGCATATACTTCTGTTATGTGTGTGTGTGGTTTTTCTGTGTTTGCGTGCATTGATGTGCATTCCCATGGATGATTTGGTATGAGCAAGATGGAATAGTATAGAACCGATTGGAATGGGGCTCAATGTGAAATCACATAGTTTTGAGGTACCCACACATTCACTCACTTGAAGGAGCCTAATCCCCTTTGTGAATCAGCTTTGTTGTTACAAACACAAAAGGATTATTTGGGTGTGTATTTGTGTGAGAGAGTGAAATGTGTGTATGCCTGTGCGTGATACTAAGGGAGAGACTAACTGTAATTGTGTGGCTCTCTTTACGTATGTGATGCATGTATGTGTTTGAGAGAAGTAGCTTAGGAATGTTCCGACAGTGTGCCCGCTTTTTCTCCGAAGCAATTTGTTTTCTATTCTATTCTATTCCGTAGGGTGCATGTGCTCATACACAAGCACGTGTGTTAGGCAGGTTGTGATTGGTAGAGTCTGTGGTTCTCATAAAGACGATGTCATGATGGAAATTAATGCAATACATCATAAACGTGCACTCAGGCACACACACACACAAACAGTAAAACATAGCTTTGCTCCCTACCAAGGGCCACTCCTGTAAATAATACCGAAAATAGGAGTGGAAAGCAGGGGAATAAAGCAGAGGCAGGCTGGGGAAATAAAGGGGATATTTTCTGAAATACGGTGCTCAAAATGTAAAGAGAATTATGGTGACACAGTGGCACCCTTATATAGAACCAGAGAAGGATTCATGTAGCCTCATGGTTCGACTTGTTATGATGTTATGAACACTTGCAAACTCAGGGAAGGAGACAGGCAGAAATAGATAAATGCAAATTCGCTCTAGGCTACGTGAATTAAGACGCAAAACCATTAAAGACATTCGCCGAACGCAGCAAACCAAGAGCCAATCATTTCCCAGCAGGACTATTGGGTTTGTAGTATATCTCTGTTCAAAATGGATGATGAGCTCTTGCTGCATGACATGGTGTTTCACAGCAGGGGAAGATGGCCATTGGGTGTTTCAGGATGCACAACACTGCATGGTGACCACACATGGTGTAAAAGCTAGACTCCATACTCTGGATACAATAGCTGGAAAATATATGTACTGACAATACTCAAGTTGATGAAATAAATCTCAGTACATGTTTAAACAGCATCGTTTGTGATCGTTCTCTTTTGCAAAAAGTATAATCATACAGTAGCTATCAATTTGTTTATCCATGTGATTTTTATCCACAGTTTATAGAAAAACATGAATAAAGACTTTGAACAAAAGGTCTTTAGAAACTCTGCACTCTATATTATCTCTCCTGTTTTATTTGCTTTGCTTTCTTATTAAGTTTGGTGGGGATTGATGTCACCATATTTGGCCAGCAATACCCCAAATTATTTGTAATGCTGAAAAGACCAAAAACCAGCAATCTGTTAGTCATTCTCTTGCAAGCCAATGCTGAAGAAGTGAAGCTGTATTAGTCTTAAAAATATCGATTAAACAGCTGGGCACATTAGTTGTTTGCAAATGTTACCCAAATAAGAGTTAATACTACATTAGTTGGTGCTTATTTTCTGCTGCAGCTTAAACAGATTTGTTGTTCTTGTGAGTATTTCCAGCAGCAGGATATTGTATATGTGGTACTGCCTCAAAATAAATGTTGATCATGTTATGAACACATTTGTCAGCCCGTCTGTTGATCTGGCTTATTGATGCATGATTTTTATGTTTTCTGCACAACAATGTCGGTCTATAACTCAGAGGAATAACATTCAAATGTTAATGCCTCTTTTTGAAACAGAAATAGACAAAGAGAGCTGTGGCGACCCTGGGACTCCTCTCTATGGAGTAAGAGAAGGGGACAGCTTCCTGAATGGAGGAATCCTGAGGTTTGAGTGCCAGTTTGGCTTCGAGCTGATTGGAGAGAAAACCATCTCCTGCCAAGACAACAACCAGTGGTCAGCGAACATCCCCATATGCATATGTAAGTATTAAAATCATGGGGTTGGTTATTTTCGTGGGCATGGCTGCAGAGAGGGAATAACATGGCCTGTGCTCTGCTGTGCTGTTGATAACATTCAGTCTGACCTGTCACCATGGTGACAGTTTGTTATGGCCTTGAGCGGATGATGACCGATGATGCTGTGACGATGAATATTTAACAGGAAATGTCTCTCTGCATCTCTTCCCCCCCATTTTATGTTTCCTTTCCAAATGTCCCCTCATCTCTCTGTCTCCACATTTCCATCTGTCCATCTGTTTGTCTGTCTGTCCACATTTGTGTTTGTTCCTGTGCTCCTCTTCCTCCCACAGTCCCCTGCATGTCAAATTTCACAGCTCCCTTGGGAACCGTCCTCTCCCCAGATTACCCAGAAGGCTATGGGAACAACATGAACTGTGTCTGGCTCATTCAATCAGAACCAGGCTCCAGAATCCACTTGGCATTTAATGACTTTGACCTTGAAGCACCCTACGATTCCTTAACTGTGAAAGATGGCGAGACAAACGATGCGGGCGTCATCGGGAGGTTCTCTGGAGCTGAGAATCCATCCCACTTGACGTCCAACACCAACACAGTGAGGCTGGAGTTTCAGGCCGATCACTCCATGTCAGGAAGAGGATTTAATATCACATACAGTAGTATGTCATTTTTCTATTTCTACCACTTTCCTTATTTTAATACAGGAACATTACCTATTTGACTTACTGTGCTATCAGACAGGGTCTAATGTATCGAGAGTATATTGATAATATACTTTCTTTCCAACGACTTGAGGTGTGAAACTTGGTTATGGCGAGATTAAGAAGGGTCACATTTATTTTATTATGCAGCAGAATATTGCAGAAGCTTCAAAAGTCTGTGATATTGTTTCATTTTGAAACAGATCTGCTCATATAACTGTATATTAATTGTACGCATTACCTGGACCTGAATGACAATGAGGGGTTTAACTCTGAAAAAGTATTTCCAACTATACTTAAAAAAAACATTAACTGGGCTGAACTAGGTCTAAAAAAAGACCTAGTTCATTATAATGTTGTTTAGTTTTAATGACAACAGTTGGAAAGAGTAGGTGTGATTTCTTTCCTCAAATATTTGATGTTTGACTTTGAATAGAAGCTGTTTTAATTAACTTAAAGAGCATGAGGCCTTGACAACACCCACCTTTTTTTCTGTTAAACACAAAAGACACACTTTAATGAGGTTTTATGTGGTCAATGTAGCAGCTAAGAATAGAGGTGTAAGTTGCAAAACAAAGACTTAATAAAGAAAAAAAATAGGAAGAAAGGCTTGTTTGTTGTCAAACTCAGTCAGATGAAAAGTCATATTTCCATCATTTCTCTCTCGGTGCGTCCAGCACAAAGAAGGGGCCAGGATGTGTTAAGCCTTGCTAAGCAAATCGTCTTGTTCTGTAAGAAGTGAAACTGCAAACCATTCAAAAACTCCCAAATTGCTTTTTGTAACATCATAACTTTAGTAGTTCACCCATGTCAAAGTAAAACCAGGATATAAATGTTTCAGGAGAAGTTAGATCTCAGCAGTTCTGTCTTTATTGTAAAGTTGTCAGCTTTGCAGACTTTTATAACTGATCAAAACCCAGGTGACTCTCAGATGTATTGATCACTAGCTGTCTCGACAACAGGATACAAGATGTACAGTAAATAAGATCTTTTTGGATTTGTTGGAAGGCATATTTGTTCATATTTGATGGTGGCAAACTGTTTGCCCCTGCGTGCAGTCTTTGAGCTAAATCAGGCTAAACACGTCTCCATACCAAACAAACAGAAATGGAAATTGATATTGATCTCATCCCCTCACTGCGGGTTTGACAGCAAACAGACAAAATGTTCAAGTTTTCTGTACAATTGCTTTAACTGGACCAACATGAGCAATGCTAGGTTTGGCTTTATGGTCTTCTTATCTGAGACAGACCATATGCTGAAGCAAACATGCTCCTATGCATTTTAAGAAAAAAGTACATTGTTTAGATCAAACCCAAGCACAGTGCCAATATGCTGTAGCTGGAGAAAATAGCTTTTTAGCAGAGATATAGATCGTTAAAGCAGTAATAAAGAACAGACAGATTAAAGGAGACATTTTCCTGGCCATGAGTGAACACTTAAAGATGCCACATTGCAGTTATAGATCTACAGTATATGACAAGTTCTCAGAAATGTCATCATAATCTAGTATGAAAGTGTCATATTCTTTAATAACTTTTCTCATCTTTGTCTCTCTCTGTTGACATTTGGATTCCAATTTATTCCTCATGATATCTGTTTCCACTTGTGACTTTTTACCCCAGCCTTCGGGCATAATGAGTGCCCGGACCCTGGCATTCCCATCAACGCTCGCCGCTTCGGAGACAGCTTTCAGCTCGGCAGCTCCATCTCGGTGGTCTGCGAGGACGGGTTCATCAAAACCCAAGGATCCGAGACCATCACCTGTCAGTTAGAGAAAGGGAAAGTCATGTGGAGTGGGCCCATCCCTAAATGTGAAGGTAAATACCCACTTGATGGCTGATTAAACTATTAACTCGGGAACAATATGTCATCCAAGATAACATCATTACTGCAGCTTAAAGACTCAGGAGGTGGAAATGATCTGCTGTCAGCTCGACAGAGGGAACAAGATATGGAGGGGTCCAGTTAACGTGAATATCCAGGGAAATCTATTGTTATGCTGCCGCCACAGGTGCTGCGACTGTTTTAAGAAATACTACTAGCTTACTGTACTAGCATTTAAGAATATCAAACCCTTTACTGTTCGATATATGTAGGAATACATTTTTTAAAGATGACATTTAACCAAAATGTATTGAAGTTAATGACAAATATTTTAATGTGTTAGAGGTACTTATCACCCTGGTGTGGTATAAATGTCAAAAGAAACAGTCCTTCAAAAACACTGTCATAACACCAATCCAATTTGAGTGCAGCCTTACCATACATAATTATTATATTGGTTTTAAAAAATGACACTGTCATTAATCATCCACAACATAGTCATTACATTGCCATTTAAACCATTAATAATATGTCAAGGTTGGCATTAAGGCAAAGTTTGATCAGCTGCTTTGTTAAAGTGCAAAGTAGAAATGTTCATATGACCTGTTAATGTCAGATGGAACAAAAACACGACCAGTATAAATACTCTGACTGCAACTCCAGCAGCAGATATAATTACATTAGAACTGTCGACGGTACAAAGAAAAAGCATGTTAATTATGCTCCAAGTCATTTAATGTCCCCACATCCTTTGTAGCTAATGTGTCTCTATAACGACTCGGATGCAAATTCACTTACTTGTATTCAGGAGGTACGGACCAGAACAAATTGACTTCAGACACCAAGTTGAACTCTAAACAAGATCAAGTTTTAAAGAAGACTGGAACAAAGTGGCATCTGGCTAATGTACCCTTGTGTCAACATTGTGTTGAAAAAATCTCATTTATAATTCATGTTCTCTGAATGTTTATAATGAATATGCTATTTGAATTTATTGCCATCTTTTGTGGTGGTAGAAGCTCGAGGGACTTGGCTTTGGAACCAGAGGGTCGCCGGTTCAAGTCCCCGATCAGACCAAGAAGAGAATTGCCAGTTTACTCCCTTGACAGGACTAAAATGCCCTTGAGCAAGGCATCAGACCCTCACTCTGTTCTCTGGGCGCTGTATAGTAACTGCCCACTGCTCCTTTTATTAGGATGGGATAAATGTAGATTCTAAATTTCACTCTGGTTGCTATGTACATATATTCGACAATTAAAAAGAAGACTTGAGTTTGAATCCTCCATTTACTTTACTTACTTAAATTATACAAGTACAATCGGGGCATTTAATGGCAAGCTGGTGAACATAACTTACCAAATTCTGCCAGATCTTTCTAGTATTAGGCCTCACTCGCCACACATCAACATTTAATGAAGTTAAGAGTAGACTCAGACCAATCGGGGGGCAACTACAGTATAATTTGAAGTCAATGCCCACACAAACAACTAGTGCTAAGACGTACATGTCATTTGTCTGATGTCCAGTGTTCTCTGTCTGCCCCCTCTCCTCCTCCAGCCCCCTGCGGAGGCCACTATTCAGCCCCCACTGGAGTGATCTTGTCTCCCGGGTGGCCAGGTTACTATAAAGATTCCCTCAGCTGTGAGTGGGTGATTGAATCAGAGCCTGGACGCTCCATAAAAGCTACATTTGACAGGTAGGTTTTATCATCCTTTGATTCTGTAAATGAAGACTCAAGTCTCTGTGAAGTGTCATCAGGGAATCAGATAAAATAACAATCTCCTAAATATCATAGGTTGTATTGTGAATATTGAGTGTATCGATCAGGAAGGCTGGGTCATATGTTGTTTTGTATAATGTGATCGCTGAACTGTAAACTGTCGATAGAAATAAGACTAAATGGGATCCTATGACATCATTTTTCATTGGTTTGATGTTCTGTACAATTTCATTGTAAAGTGCATTTAACAATACTGGCTCAGCAGCCTGCAGGGTGCTTTAAAATTGACCTCTTGCTATTTTTTTCCCCTGCAGTATATCTACTCAGTTACACAGGAAAATACACATGTACCGACACTATGACTTTAATGGTTATGATTATCTTTAAATCAATAACCATTTTATTTTAAATCAGTATGGGATCAATATAGAGGGTTTGAAGGACCAATTGACAATCATAGTGATTCAGCCCTTACAGTGAACCTTCAATTCAAGCTGGTTAGAGAAATATACTTCAACAACAGTATAATCTTCATGTTTCCTTCACACGCCCTCACGTTAATGTTTGAATGAATGCTGAAAACAGATCCAGCATTATGTGCAGAATGAAAGCCTTACTTTTTTCTGTTGTCCAGCTGTTTTCAAATTGAATGTCAAAGCTTGTACGTTATTTTAAAAGTGTAATGTTCTCATATTGTTGCCTCACAGGTTCCAGACGGAGCTGGGTTATGATTTCCTGGAGATCCATGATGGGCCAAACCTCCTGTCTCCTCTGGTTGGCTCCTTTAATGGTACCCAGGTGCCCCAGTTCCTGTTCAGCAGCAACAACTTTCTGTATCTGCTGTTCACCACCGACAACAGCCGATCAAATGCTGGCTTCAAGATAGTGTATGAAAGTAAGTCAGAAATAAAGATATTTATACATATAAACATGAGATACAAAGCTGACTTTAAAAATATTGTGTATGCCTATTATGGATTACAATGACACATGTGATAAATATGTAACGGCACAAACAGAACAGGAGGTGTGCATGGTGTCAGGACACAACATTACACTGGTAGCCCAGCAGATTCACAAGCTGGCCGAACATGCAGGTCATTACCTGCAAAATGCAAGTCACAGCATGGTGCTTTATGAGGAGGTGCAAACCATCTGTGAGTTTTAGAATATGCAGATCAGCAAAACTGCAGATAGCCGTTTAGTCTTTTTGGACACACCTACCATTTCGACATCTATTCCTTGTTTTTCTCAGGTGTTACAGTCGACAGCTACTCATGCCTGGACCCTGGGATCCCTGTCAACGGTATTCGGTACGGGCAGGATTTCGCCATTGGGTCCACGGTGTCATTCGGTTGTGATTCTGGCTACAGACTTAGCCACGAGGAGCCGCTAGTATGTGAGAAGAACCACTGGTGGAGCCACCCTTTACCTACATGTGACGGTAAATAAAGGAAGTCTCATACAAAGATATAACACCATTTTTATATAAGTACTGTCTTTGAAGGCATCACCTGCTTTACATCACACCTCATGATACCACAGATTAAAATGTTTTGTTAAAACAAAAACTGATTTTACGGGAAAGACTCCAATATCAAACCTATATACTGTAAACATGAAATTACAGGTTTAATGAGGTAATAAAATGTTAAGATAGTATTGAGAAATAATATCATAAGTATTATACATGGACTTTAATAAGATTTCATTTTCAGAAATTGTGTGTTGTATGTTTAAAAAACAAAAACAGAGATGGCAGTTAACTAACCAACATTACAGCATTAGTCTTAGTTCATTTTTTTACATTTATATCAGTATCTTTCAATAGGAAAAACCATCACAACACATGCAGGTGAAGGTTTTGGTCCCGCTAATGATATATATTTATAACTATACATTGATAATAGTAGTACAGAATTGCCTTCCCTCCTAACCAATAATGTGTAGTTTCTAAAGATTTTGAAGATGAAAGGTGTGACATTTCTTTAAGAACTTGACCCAAAACATTGTTTGAATAAAAATAGATTATCGAGTTATAAGTCATTATAAAAAAGACATGAACAAGCTGATGCATGTAAAAAAAAGGATCAGCAGTGGAGCCTGCCATCCCTATACGGGGAGCTGAGTCACACAGGACATGTTGTTCTGCGACAAAACCACTGGTTGCATCAAACACACACACACACACAAACAAACACACACACTGGTGCACACAGGGCAATTTGCAGTGAAGGCTGCTGTTGCTGATAGGGGATGATTTGAGGCGAAGATTAGAGATATATGGGCATGTACTGTGTGTGTGTGTGTGTGTGTGTGTGTGTGTGTGTGTGTGTGTGTGTGGTGTGTGTGTGTGTGTGTGTGTGTGTGTGTGTGTGTGTGTGTGTGTGTGTGTGTGTGTGTGTGTGTGTGTGTGTGTGTGTGTGTGTGTGTGTGTGTGTGTGTGTGTGTGTGTGTGTCAGCATCAGCACATATGTGTGTTTGTGCTATGTGCCTCCTGTCACCCCCTCTCCTGTGTGAACTGTGAACATAGGAGGGTTTGAGGTTAGGTTGACGAGAGCCTGTGTTGGCTGTCACCTCCTCTCTTCTCTCTCAAATCAAAGAGTGAGGGGGCACAAGAGTAGGGGATCTATCTCTCTCAATTTCTCTCCTACTCTCTCAATTCAATCATGGTGGATCTGGAGAGGAGGGAGGACAGAGAGATGCGGCGCTGCTGCATCAGTTTTGAGGCTTGCTTGGTTGGGCTTGTTGGCGTGTTCGCTTGTTAACCACATGCATTGCACAGTTTCTGGGACTGGCAGTGGTTTCCTCCAAGGAGGCAGTTTGAGCGTATAAACATCAAATATTCTGCCTGGAATTTGCAGTCTGTATGCCATTAGACTCTGTTTACACAGTACAGCCCACACAAATATAGGAACTATTTGCTGCTGTGGTCGAAGAGATTTGGTCTTGCATGGTGATTGACAACGAGGAAACGAGGAAACCAGTCAAGGCAGCAGTAAAAGCTTCTGACTCAGCCATGGAAAATGTTTCAGACATCAAATGTTGTTCATACTGTATATAAGAAAACAAGCTACATTTATTCATTTGATATAGCATGTTCAGTTAAAGCCACAACAACACAAATATCACTTCAGCACGGAGCATTTTAAAGAGTTCTAGCTTTTGAACTAAACTAGCTTCTGTAACATCTACATTGAAAGGAAAATAGGTTTTTCTCCTATAAGCTTTTTTCCATAAGCTATATGTGGATTTAAATGAATTAAAGTATGATTACCATTACTTTTTTTACCTTTTTATGTTTATACACTCATAGTGCAGTTAGTCAACCAAAGAAAGAGAGAATGGCTACTAAGATCTACTAACATATAAAGGTGGAGAAGAAAGTGAGAACATAAAGAAAGACGGACAGAAAAGATCAATAATGAGCCAGAGAGAAATAAACTTGCAGAGATAGATGTGATGGAGTGTTTCAAATTTCTCACATAACTCAGCATTCAACATTATGCGCTTCCTGGCAGAAAAGTATTAATAATTGATGGAGGTGTTAGTGTGTGCGCGCCTTCTTGCGTCTTTGTATTTTTGTTTAGTTTGGAAATATTCTCACCTCTCACCCTTGTTTTGAGGGATGCTGATGTCGTAAAAATGGTGGTGGCTGAGAGTAAAAATCCTAACTCGCGTTTGATCCGTGTCTGACTCACCTGTTTTATGCTGTTGGAGCAGATTGTAATGTGAGCTGCAGTTCTTATCAGCTCCCATTGAGCTGGTTAATTGTCCTGCTTAAGGAAACTTCATCAGAACTTTGAGGTTTGACCTTCTCCCCAGCGCCTTGCCACCGTGGCACTTTAGAAGTAATGTTATGGCGTTTTATAGGTTTATTGCAAGAGGAAATGACAGGCCGGTCGGCCAACTGTAACATGGACCAACTGGAGCGAGCAGAAATGTAGCACCTTCAACACATGCAAGCATTAGTATGCATAGAATGAGCAACAGATATTTCTGGAGGACCTAGTCTCCACTCAGAGTCTCTCGCTGCATAACAATGTAAAGCAACCGGGTCATCCTGAGGCCGCACTGTGAGGTTGGGAATGTTTTAAGTAGTCTCTAAGAAACATTTGCGATGCTTCACTGCTTTGAATATCACTGCTTCAATTCAAACTGTATTAACAGGAAAAAGATTTCAGAAACTAAAGACATTTAACGGTTCTTGCACACAATGAAGCTATTGCACAGCATTAATGTTGTGGAAAACTATCTTAAATGATAACCATTGTTTTTTGAGGGATTTTTTTTTCAATGTCTCAGCTTTCTTCCTCAAAACAATTTGGAACTCAAAGACTATACATCCGCAAGCAAGATAATGTTGCAAAGACGCTTTAATTCTCTTTCACTTCTCAGTAAAATAAAGTTTTTACCAGATGGTTGTTGTTGTTGTAAAACATCTCTAGTTTTTTCTCACATTCTTTGGTTCAAAACATATCCACTGCAATTTGTTTAGATTGAGAATAAATGCACATTTTTATGCATTTATTTAAAAATTCTAGAAACTGAATATGTATGAACAAAGTGGCACTTAAAACTGGGTTCTCCAGATTGATTATACTCAGTGAAGCAGTCATCACGACACATTGGAAGTCGTGATAAGTCACTTTGATGTGGACAATACTTAATTAACAGCATGGATGTTGAATCTTGAAGCATTAATTACGACTACTTAGAGCAGTTTTAAAAAATGTTCCGCTGAAAGCATGTGTATCATTTAGTAAATACAGCTCTTTATAAACCACATTTTAGCACCTCCAGTGTGTACATACAGTATATGTGGATATGCATAGTCTATATAGAGCGCCTCTGAACCCCGCCTACTTAGAGTGCTACCCTAATTATGCAAGCTGTGAGCATTTCACACTTTAGACATGCATAACGACTGTGCTTACTTTATTCCTTCCTGACATTTATTCTGATCTACAGTAGATGTGTTGAAAAGCCTCTTAAATAGTTCATAATAACACGGCCAAACAGCAAACTTAAAACAAGTTTGCTTTATTCAATTCCACACAATATAAACCGGTACTGTTTCTTTAAAGAACCGAAAGTCCCTCAGGATAATTATGCACTGTCATCATAGATGAGGAATGACTGGAATCTCAGATGCAGTTAATCAATGTCAGGGGTTGGTTACTTTCAGGGACATAAGACTATATAAACAGCAAATAATCCATTATTTATCATTCCAGTGCGTGGTGGAGTTTACATTATTTATGTCATTATTTTGTGTGCAACAGTGGGAGGAATGCATCAGAAAAAATTTCACTTCAAATTTTAAGTACAGCTAAAAGAAACTGAGACGTTTTCCAAGACACACATTTTGTACCTTCTACAGTACAGAGCATCTCCATCACTCTCTCTGTATATCTGTCTACCCCCCCTAACTTGTAGCATTTGTGTGTGTGTGTGTGTGTATGCGTGTATCCTAAAGAAGTGGTATTTAAGGTCCACTGGGAAACATTATCTGTTTTAGCTATCAACAGTTTCATGCTAACCTTCTCTCTCCCTACCCCTTTCTCTGCACATCTATCTCTCTCTCCTTCTTTCTTCCACTATGTCTCTTTCGATCTATCCAGCTCTGTGTGGCGGGGATGTTAGGGGTCCCTGGGGAACCATCCTTAGTCCCGGCTATCCAGACAGCTACCCTTCATCTCTCAACTGTACCTGGACCGTTGAAGTCAGCCACGGGAAAGGCAAGAGACACGCAGAGACTCACACTCCCTAATAGAGAGAGACAGAGTGAGAGACAGTAGCAAGTAGCACTCACAGTAGTGCAGCTACTGATACACTAAAACTTTGATTCCTTAGTTATGTTCTGGTTTAAAGCATTTTCAGAGGTTCGTATATAATATGTATATGTGTGGCTATAGCCTGTGTCTGAAGAGAAGTTGGTTGAAACAAATGATATAGTTTATGTATTATGTAACAACTCGTGATGTTTTTGTTGAATAATTAATTATTTATATTGATTTTATAATATCATTTAAATCAAACATTTGAATATGTTATCTTTGTTTCTCTTTGTGTGTGTGTGTGTGTGTGTGTGTGTGTGTGTGTGTGTGTGTGTGTGTGTGTGTGTGTGTGTGTGTGTGTGTGTGTGTGTGTGTGTGTGTGTGTGTGTGTGTGTGTGTGTGTGACAGGAGTCCAGTTTCAGTTCAGCTCTTTCCACCTGGAGGACCAACATGACTACCTCTTGGTTACGGAGAACGGAAGTTTTCTGCAACCACTTGCTCGCCTGACCGGCAACGAGTTGCCTAGCAACATCAATGCTGGTCTCTATGGCAACTTCAAAGCTCAGCTACGATTCGTCTCTGACTTTTCGATTTCATATGAGGGCTTCAACATAACTTTCTCTGGTAATCTATTTAAAACTCATTAGGTTGTTATACACAAACAAGGTCTAGATTCAGATTTAACTTGAACTACTGTAAGTCATTAGATAAAGGGTCAGTTTGAGTCTTACTTCTTATACTGTACATTTTAGAAAGTTGCTGAAAAAACATTGAAGTAATTACTTCTAGTACCAACAATAAACAGTTAATAGGAACTTTACAAAAATCACCCAAGAAACCCATGGAGGGGGATTCAAGACCCCATAGTAAAATAATAGCTGCATTGTAATACAAAGAATAAAGCAGAGAAACATCTCTACCACAATAAAGATAATACTGTTTATTTAATGTGTTGTGGTAAATTATCAGACTAAGCTTTATTTCAAGTAGTAAAGTTACTTAATAAATGTTCTTAAGTTCGTTTATATACCACCTTATCACAGGGTGCTCCAGGATCAAAACTAACAGCGCGTGAGAAGCTCAACTATGGAGCGTTTAAATAGGGGAATCTTCAGGATCCCAATCTTATTGGCAAACTACATGTGTTTAAGAAAAAGGAAGTTAACCGTTTAGTTGTATGTCTCTCAAAGCACTTCCACAGATATAGACTTAAAAGCTAAAAACAAAGAATTGCACTTTGACAACAAGGCTGGTCAAGATAAATATCAACATGGATTATGTAGAGATTTGCATACTACATATCTAAGTATCTGTATAACAACATATTCCTCCAAGTTGCAGGACCATTGACATACTGTCGCTGTGTAGCATAGCACACATTTTACACTCCTGAAAAATGACAATTTCTGTCAATTTGTGGGAATATGTCTATTCACATAGTGCATTGACTTGCACTTACAGTAGTTCACCTGAATTAGGTTTAGGCAGTTTTTATAAACCGTCCATCATTAGAGTGGAAATAAGAGAAGCTATGACTGAAAATTGTCAAGAATACAATGAAGATCAAAGCCTAACGGAGCTTACACACAGCGGCGTGCATTGAAGCTTGCCGGCGAGCGTGTCTGACGCTCGACCAACAACCAATCACATGAATCTCCCGCCCCGGACACACAAGCAGCGAGCATCGCAAGCAAAGCTACACTTTGCTCCCACAATGCAGTTCGGCGAAGCGTGACGTCACCCCATTCAAAGTGAATGGGCAGAAGCGTTGAAGCTTCAACGCACACCGCCGTGTGTAAGCTCCGTAATGGTCAACACTTGACAAAACTGAAGCTTTAAATGGCACTTTAGAAATAGGCATTTAATTTGTGGTATCAATACTGCTCTTCAAGAAGCCACTTGAGAACAGTTTTACATATTCACTACAAAGCACAACCCCCCAACCCAAAGCTGTTGCTGTGTGAAGTGAATGTCACATACTCACTTACTTACCAATGGCCTTGAGGACTACCCATAAACCTTGAGAATTGCTATTAAAAAAAAACGCCTAACATAGTAAAGAGGTTACACAACATTAAACTGAGTGTAATCCACCGTTAAACAAAACAATAGGACACAGAGAGATGGATTCCTGAAAGGCGAGAATGTGTAGAAACCATGCTGTCCCTGCCCATATTTGTGCTACTACAAACGCTCATTCACTTTTAGGGGAAAGGGTTGAGTGGCAGAATTTAGACAAAGTCCAAGGCTACTGCTGTCCTTCATTAATCACACTCCTCAGCCTAACTGCCCTCTCAATGCTCTCATTGACTCTGGGATAAAGGAGCACTCAAATCTGAGAATACACAGAGGGACATGTTATCGCCTCCCAGATGGCATAAGCCGATTCTCAGAATGTAACACATGGGAGGTGTCACCAGAGATGTGACTGGCCAATCACAACGACATGCTGAACATGCCGTCTCCTCCTGCAGCACACTCTCAAACACATATCACATCTTCAGTCTCTGCCCTCTGAAAATAAATCCTCTGCTCTACCATGCCGAACAATAAAATCAGCGAGAGCATTTCAGGACAGTCAGCTCAGTCTCACAACTTTTGGACGAATTGTTCACGGTTCTAATGCGGACATTACATTTTAATGAACTGCATTTTCAAGAGTTTTTTTATCTCAAAAGTTATTTAATTATTGAAAAGGGTTTCTTCACACACACACATACAGAGAATTGCCATCAGGGTGTTCTTTCGTTTCCGTTAACATCTAATGGCTACGTTGTGATATATTATATTTTGGGGTGGATTTTCCTGGACTTTGAGTGTGGTGGGTATTGATTTGTTGATTTAACACCATTAGTAGAGGACACTCTAATTTACACTCTAATCTCATTACATCTCACTTACTCTTATTGCGCCCAAGCAACACTCAGCTAAATTGAGAGTTGCTCAAAATATCACATAAAGTACATTATCTGTTATATATTTGAAGTCACTGACATAGTCCATCATCACGAAGAAAAATAGATCATTCTAGATCATTTAATTTTCCAAACAAGGTTTTTTCCCAAAGTCATAGAAGATATATCACACAATAGTGTTCATCCATTTTAGAGTGTGCTTCATGTTAATGCATGCACAATTGATGTATTCAAATTTGATGTTTTTTCTGCAGAATACACTCTGGAGCCGTGTGAGGATCCTGGGATGCCTCGGTTTGGCCAAAGAAACGGTTTCACTTTCGGAATCGGAGACACGTTGTCTTTTTCCTGTAATATGGGATACCGCCTAGAGGGAGTGCCAGAGGTGATCTGTCTGGGAGGAGGGCGGAGAATGTGGAGCTCGGCTCTACCAAGATGTGTCGGTATGTGCTAGCGTTACTGCTAATTTTAATGGGTGTAATTTGTTATGTAACCCCACGGTCCCTTATGTGGTAAAATAATACATTTTATCGATTTTTCTTGTATACCAAAACAAGTTTCTAAAGACACGAAGACATTTCATATTTAGAATTAGAATTTTTTATTTTAGGTCGCCAAAAGCACGGCAAATTTCAGATGGTTCACATTTGGTATTTACAGTTTGTGAAATGCACCTTTTGAAAGTAATACCAAGCCATTTTATATGAATTCTACCAACATGTCAAACATTTCATTACTGATGAGAAAATAGTGTTTAGTTTACTTGTAATTGCCATTGTGAAAACACAGTATAGTTGTTTTACAGTTGTCTCCAGTTTCACAAACATCAATTATATTTAAAATATGTAACAGAGGGTTATCCTGTAGTGACCTGAAAACCACTGGGCTGCTGATAGCTTGAGGTTTTTTGCGAACATTGTGACTTGTGAACAAATGAGGAAAAAACATTCTGAATGCTTATCCTTGTAAGACACACAAGGCCAATTCTGTTTGCTTTTAAAAGATAGTGAAGGACATGCCATAGCACAAATGTGAAGAAAGTGACTAAGAGGAAAGCTTTTAGAATAATTTGAATCAGAAAGGAAGCAATTTTGATATTTACACTTTTACGGTGGAATTCAATTCTAAGCCTAATGTACCCTGTCCTTAATTTTCTGTTTTAAAATTGGTTCCAAAAAGGAAATACAGTGGACTAAAATAACTGTAGTAGTTTTTGTAAAAGCAACCTTTCAGTTACAGGATGAACAATAAATGTCAGAGATATTTCTTTAATGTTCAGTCATCAGTGGGCAGAGAATGTTGCAAACACAATCCTTTATCAACTTTTAGAATGATTAGTTTTACATTTAGAGACCATATCAATAATTTTGATAGATTGTTTGATTTATAACTAGAGTATTTTATGAATCGTCATTTTATTGTATGCGTTTCGAACTTGTTGAATGAACTGATGTGATAATGACGGATGAGGCAGAACATAATAGGGTTCTGCTCGAGAGTACAATCGGCTGTAGGTTAATGCGCCAAATTAAACTCTCACAGTTAAGAAACTCAACAGTCTGTCATCTACAGTGGAGTTTTACAAGCAGCAAACAAACACATTCGTGTGGAGGCAACATGAGGTTAAATATAAATGCATGCATACAATTAGCTGAATGAAGAACCTTTCTATTAACTATACGCTTAAGGAAACACAAATTGCAGTAAACAACCATCAATAATAATTGAAAAAGGTTTTACCTTGTGTGGAAATAAGTGAACATCCTGAGTGATATCACTAATGGATAATGTACAAAGACAAAATAAAACAGAAAAAGAGCGCCTTAAGGTAAAATAAGCATAATTATTTAGTTATTTTCTCCCTAGCTGTTTAAAACATGTAATGGAAATCATTGAAATATTGACTTTACACACAAACTCCACACATTGGTCAGCTAACATACTGTATGTAATTGTTAGATTGAGGACACAATATATTCAAAGAGACGGCCAAAGAAACCATTTTTTTCAAATATGTGCTAATGAACCAAGATAAAAGTGACCACAATGCAAAAAAAGGAATACTTTTCTACTGTCTTTCAATAACCAAATGAATTATAATGTAGATGATGAGTTTACCCACAGGGATCAACACAGGGTACTAACTCATAACTTCAAGGTGTTTCGAGCAAGAAATGTGTAAAATGTGATTTTATTTGAGTGCAAATGCGGAATCAATAGAAGGCAATATAGAGAAAGACAACTGGACTCCTTCACAGGATTGTTTTCAGCAACGCCATTACTATAAAGCTCTAGTAAAACAGCAGACACCATATTTAACTTTTTCATTTTAGATGGCTGGTGAGGATATTTAAAACAGCAGCTTTACGTGTTGTTTGCAGTGCCAGTGTTTACGTCTTTGCCTCTTTGTCGTCATCGTGCAGAGCCTGATAATGCAGAGAGGTGGGAGGTGTTGCGTGCCGAGGTTCTGAGCTTCAGTGCCGTTTGCTATATTTAGTGCCTGTGTGTTGTTTTGCATTGCTGCGTGATGCGGTGCACATCACAAAGCAGGAGTGAACACTAGAGGAAACAGACTTATGATGTGCCATTTTCTAATAACTTAGCTCTGCAAACCTTTGCATTGTGCTTTGTATTTGCCTAGTTTGTATTAACTAAGGGATGTGCTTCTCAGGTTTAAAGTATTGCTTCAGAGGCCTTTGTTAGTGGGTTTCACATGAGGCTTTCTTCACCTCCCCAGTGAGTCAAACATATTGTTTTCATAAAGCACTGTCCAGAAGGGAGTTGGAAAGGTACCAAGGAGGTGTCATTGGTTTTTCAGAAAGTCACAAGTGCTTTTGGCTTATTACTGGACATTATCTGCTACTCAACATGGAACAGTAGAGAATAGGAAACTTATGAGAAGCGGAAGAGTAAAGCAGATTGAAGCAGAAGAGGGTTAAGGAGGCACTATTCATAGAGAGGGAACAGAGAGAAAGAGCAAGAGGGAGGGAGTTGAAGAGGGAGAGGGTGGAGAGGTAATTTTCTAAATGGAAACTGTAGCAGCGTGATTTATTGACGATATGACAGCTGTAATATGACTATTACACCAGTAGAGACACAGAGAGGGGGAGAGAGGGAGGGAAAGAGGAGAGGGACATGGATACTGCAGATGGAGGCCACATGTGAGAAGTGCTGCGGGCGGATATCCTTAGGTAAATTAGTTTCTCAATTTAACCGCCTGCCTATTCTCCTCAACTGAAGTAGATGGCTGACAAAACAGTGGTTTAAAAGGGTTGTAAAATGACTCACAAGCACACACTAACGTATCTGTCCATTCATTGGAAAAAAAGGAATAATCATCTTCTATATGATGACATTATATTTTATACTAGGCACTATATTCCTATACTCGCTATAACTGCTCGTACTGTGGAATGAATCTGGTGAGCCTGAACCATTTTCTAGAATGGATTTTTTAATGTGTGGCATTTTCTGTTGCATAAGAAATGTCAATGTCTTCCCACATGTTCTCACCACATCATTATCACACTCTTAATAATCAAACCATCCGTCTTCGTCTTTTTGAATGCTCTTCTTTCTTCTTTCAAGCCGAGTGTGGTTCTTCAGTTATAAACAATGAAGGGATCATTCTCTCTCCAAACTATCCAATGAACTACGACAACAACCACGAGTGCATCTACAGCATCCAGGTACCTCATCTGTACATCCTAACTGAGGGTAATAGAAACCCTGGCACAAGTGTAAAAACCATTATGATAATTAGGGAGGCTTAATGACTATCTGCATATATTTGTGAGCGCTTTAATGGCGTACAAATCTAATTTGTATATCATGTTTACTTTAGGTGCAAGCTGGGAAAGGCATCAACATTTCTGCTAGAACCTTTCATCTCGCCCAGGCAGATATACTAAAGGTAAACACACTCACAAACACACATTCAATCGCTTGAAACTGCTCTGTGATGATAAAAAGACACAATGCATGCCATCAAAAACTACACTTGAACCTCAATGGGTTGTTTAATGTTACATTTGCATCTCAAATGAATTGTTCTGTGATTATTTTTACAGATTTATGATGGTAAAGACAGCACAGCCCAGGTTCTTGGAGCGTTCACGGGATCATCCATGCTGGGCCTGACGCTGATCTCCACATCAAACCACCTCTGGCTGGAGTTTTACAGCGATTCAGAAAGTCATGGGGAAGGATTCAAACTGGTCTACTCCAGTAAGTGCACAGATCAGGAAATACTGTATACATACACACAGCCTAAACTAAACCGGAAGCTGAGGTTAATTCTGACCACAAATGGTTGTATAAGAAACAATTGGAACCTCTTCCATTTATCAAACCTGTGTGTAAACATCACTACATAACCTCCCTGTCCCACAGCATGGCAATTTTGCACAAAAGTAACGTAAAGTGCATCACAACCATGCTGGGATTGGTTAATTGTTCTGTTCTGGTAGTTTGTTAATTGCTCCCTATGAAGAGACAATGGCAAGTCCTTCGTAACGATTTTGGGAGATTCCAATGCATTACATCTCAGCTAGCTTTTAGTTATGTTATGTTAAATAAGGTAAAACTGCCGTAGACAATGACACCACCTGAGAAAACATGTTACTCAGTGTGGGAGTCACATTAAATGAGCAATTACATTTACTAATTTCTCACGAATGAAGCATGCTCTCAGAATCAATTTCACTCCAAATGGTTCTCATTTGTGAAACCAACACACAACTAATTGTGAATTCCACAGCTGACATTATCACAAGAAACGTATCCTGTTTGATTACCAAAGATTTCAGAGCGCTCTGATTTCAGCGTAGGATGGGATGCTAAAGGTGCTCTCTGATGTTCACTAAAGTACACCCACGTTTGCATGTGTCCTCTAAGAAGCATAGTTGGAAATAAAACATAATTGTTTAAATGAAGAGTGGAGCATTGTTTACTCTGCACTTTAACTTTCTTATACTGATGCGGATAGAAGTTAGTTAGCAATGTAAACAAGAGGCATTATCTTATAAAACACTGCAGCACTGCGGTTTGTTTTATAGTTATGATACAATTCTAAATGCCTCACCCTGTGTAAAGTTATACAAAACTACAATACAAGTCAACTCAAAGATGTGATTCACAGAAGTATGCATAATAAGTTGATTTCATAAACATGTTTAAAACGATTTTAGATGTGCAACTATTCACACTACTTGTCAGGATGATTGCAGCTGTGTTCAGATTGGCAAACGTTAAAAGAACATCTCTGCGAACGGTCGTTTTTTAGGATTTAGACATGCACCTACTGCAGTGTTCCAGGAGATAACTCAAATCCTGATGCACCCCGTCTTCTAGGTAATATATGGTTACGGTCTCATAAGGATACGCTATTTATATATCGCTTCCTATCCCGCTCTCCAAAATCAAGCACATGAATATACTGAATATTCTGCATATTACCATGGAAACGGAGCTTAGACAGAGTGTGAAAACAACATTAAATTGGATAAGGTGTATATGCTCCAGTATCACTCATAATATTGGGATGTCTCATGTATCCTTTCCTGTTTTTTATTAAACCTGGAAAACAGGATCTGTGATATAAATAAACAGAATATTTGAGTCTGCCAGATATTAAGGGGATATTGGGCATCTAAACAAAACTAATTGTGTTTTCTCTCGTGGCTCTCAGATGTCCCTGAGAGAGTTTATTTTAAAGTATGCGCTGTAATGATCCTTATCTGTCTTTTTCTCTTTCTAGGTTTTGAGTTGTCCCACTGTGAGGACCCTGGCGTGCCTCAGTTCGGCTTCAAGGTCAACGACCAAGGTCATTTCACCGGGAGCAGCATCACATACAGATGTGAGCCCGGATACACTCTGCATGGTGCCACCACCCTGAAGTGCATGACAGGCGAGAGGAGAGCCTGGGATAACCCCCTGCCTTCCTGCATCGGTACGTCCCTTTCCATTTTTGAAAAGAAGTGCATTGAAAAGACTCAAGCTGATGTATACAGACACACAAAGGCAAGCACACACTCAATTACAGGATGAACCTTGAATAGCACTCTGTAATAAGCTTGAGAGGGAGAGGTGAGGAGGGTTCATTGTTGCTTTGGCTTTCACTGATATTACGGCATTTTTTGATGTATGATAGGTGGTCCATAGTGCTGCCATCTGCAGACATGATTCCATTTATTTGTTAAATTGCCACACAGCAACCCAAGGCCTCATACAGGCATTGGTTTCAATTGAAAACAGATATTTTGTAACATTTGTTATAGCCCAACAATTAAGAGATGATGACATCCAGCTGTTCTCAGTGTAGAATATCACATTTAACCCAGAACTAAAAAATGCATATTTTAAGTCGCAGTAAGTAATATTGTACTGACTCCACAGTATTGCTCTACACTGCAGTGGCGCTCAGCTTTATGCAAAGTGTCTGCTCACTGGACGTTCATTCAATAATCTGGAAAAAAAGCAGATGGAGGCCAATTTCCTGTGGAATCCCCGTCTTGATTTTCCCATGAGATCACACAGTGCTCCAGGTTTAAAGTCTGGTTGATAAGCCCATTTATTCAGGAGAGTTTACCACCTGGACTCCCTCTGGCCAATTGACCCATTTCACTTCCTGCAGTGTCTCCTGTAGACCGCCATCTTCGCCCCTAGATGCTCTGCAACATGCAAACACACACACACACACACACACACACACACACACACACACACACACACACACACACACACACACACACACACACACACACACACACACACACACACACAGCACACCTCTTTATATTCCTGGCTTGTTCTTAACCCTTATTTATGTAATTCCTCCTCTATAAAGAGCTAAGTGACAAACCTATTTATAGTAATTGTTTCATAAACACATTTTAATTGATTTGGTTTGCTCCTGAGAACTGTATCAATTTCCAGGCCATTTTATGTGAGCCATAAAACGCACCGGGAAGCGACTACTCTCTGAGTATTGACATAATTCTAAATATTTCATTATAATCTCATGGCCTTTTCATTCATTTTTCATGACTTCAAACTGATGGGAAACTACAAACCACAGCTCTGAATATTGATGTCAACAAGTCAATATTAATGCATTATTATGCATCATCAGGGCTGCTGAACTCAAACAGGCACACTCACACATTCATTAATATGTTGGTATATATGTCTGAAATCTTGAAGCTTGTTTGGAGACAGACCTTTCCAGTAGCTTTGTGGTTGAATTAATAAATGTCCCAATTAAACCCAAACAAATGCTAAAACTTTACAGAGTGGCACACAAAATGGCCGCTGCAGCTGTGCCCCAGATGGGAGCTATAAGGATAACAGCAGCTCAATGTTTTAGGGACCTTTCTTTCCTCATCGCTGCCTGTGAACTTTCTGATTTTGGATTCAGCTTAATAAGTCTCTCTCCTTCTCACTATCAATAATGAAAGACTCATAAAACCACTGTCTGATATTCTCTGACTTTATATTTAAGCAGTGACACACAATGACCTCAGCTAACCTCCAGTCTTAATATTATATTGCTTCTTATTATTACTCATAGTGTTTCCCCCTTGGTTCTCTGAGTTTTTTCTTTCTTTTCCATCTCCTTCTCTCTTTTCTCCTCCTTCCCAACCCCTAATATTGCTCCTATTACTCGCGTTAATATATTCCACTGAGGGGAGGGGAGCCTGAGGGACGAGGAACATAGGGAGGGAAGGGGAAAAGAGAGGGGATGAAGATTGTGGAAATATATAACCGAGAGAGACAAAGAGAGAAAGGGGAATTACTTTCTGTTATATAATGTGTGGTGGTTTCTTCAGGGATGGTCAGCACTTTGTCTCTTCTTCTCTGCTCTCTCTGTGCGTGAGAAAGACAGAGAGTCGCTGAGAAAGAGAGTTAGCTTCTTTCTAAATCCATTTGTCTCCGTGTTTGACCGTTAAATCACTGCTCAGCGGCTGCTGAGGTGCACTTGGTGGATCTGATTGCCTTGATCAACAATTGCCACAGACAGATAACTAGTTGACTTGTCATACATCAAATACACACTCATCAATTACCCATTGGTTTTAATTGATTTTGGTAAGGTTGTCAGTGTGCTTATCAGACATTAAGATATAGAATACAGGCTCATTTGTTTATTGCTTCATATTAACAGTGTTCATTGTGTGTGTGGTTCCTGTAGCCGAGTGTGGGGGCCGTTTTAAAGGGGAGTCTGCAGGGCGGATTCTTTCCCCTGGGTACCCTTTTCCTTACGACAATAATCTGCGCTGCACTTGGACCATCGAGGTGGACTCAGGAAACATTGTGAGGTAAAGTAGACCATTTTAAACCTTCCCACTGGTAAAGTAAAAATAAGAATGTCATTAATTTTAGTGCCCACTCCAGTACTTTTGAAAAAAACATTAAATTGAAAAGTAATTTCCTCTGAGTTAGTGTTTTTTTTCCTAATATAATTATTGAAGGAAATGATCTCACTTAAAATGAAATCACCAACCACACATTGTTTTTATCTGAAATGATTTCCATAATAGTCTCTCTGTGAGTTGTTGGTTTTAAAAAAGGAGGGCAGTTGTATAAGTTTGGAATGGACTTTAAGAAAATGTTTTTAGGAATTATTGAAGATATAATATTTATATTTTTGCTCACATTTTTTTCTTTATGCAAATTACAGTCTCCAGTTCTTGGCGTTTGACACAGAAGCCAGCCACGACATGCTGAAGGTTTGGGATGGACCACCTGAGAACGAGATGTCTTTGTCAGAGCTGAGTGGGTCTCTGCTTCCCGAGAGACTGCACTCCACACTGAACACTGTCACTATTCAGTTTGAGACAGACTTTTACATCAGCAAGTCAGGATTCGCTATGCAGTTCTCTAGTGAGTATTGTCCAAACTAATGTCCTTACCATCCTAAGTTTTTCTGAGACTCTGAATATTATTTTTTTCGGTATCCCTATTTGACTCAGAATATTTGTATTTCTCTTATTTGACAAATCCAAATGTGCAAATACTTAATGGAAGAAATGCTTCTCGTAACTTAATTTGACCAGCCAGAAATGATTTTATTTAATAACACAGGAGCACACAGTTACTGTATTCAGTACGGATTTTATGCTCCAAGCTAATGCATTAGCTAAATAAGCTCTAAATAGCCTGTGTGATACATATTTGTAATCACCCTCACCTCTTTCTCCTCCACGCTCTTCTTTCTCCTGTGGCCTCTCTCCCCCCGTGTCTCTCTGTCCAGGCTCTGTGGCTACAGCCTGCAGGGACCCGGGTGTACCAATGAACGGCAGTCGTAGTGGAGATGGCCGTGAGCCGGGGGATTCAGTGTCCGTTCAGTGTGACCCAGGATATGAGCTCCAGGGGGACGAAAAAATCACCTGTATACAAGTGGATAACAGATACTACTGGCAGCCCAGCCCGCCTGTCTGCATAGGTGAGGAGCCCAGCTTCCATATATCCATAGGGACATTTGATATATGTGCTGCATACCAGCTGCAGTTGTTAAGGGCTGATTACCTTGCTCAATGACACGTCTGTGAGTGACTTATAGAAGGGCTGTGTAAAGAAGATAATGTTTCCTGAACTTGCTTCTCATACAGTGTGATAATATTCCATTTGCTGCCCACATTTCTCCATGCTGCTGCCTGTTATTGAAAATCTCATAACTACGCCTTACTTAAAGCAATAAAAATAGTGTTGATTGAAAAAAATGTACTTTAATGAATGTAAAGGTTAGGGTACTTTTAGACTTTATTGACCTTTGCTTGTGTTTCCGTCACAGCTCCATGTGGAGGAAACCTAACTGGCTCCAACGGATTCATACTGTCTCCTAACTACCCTCATCCCTACCCTCACTCCAAGGACTGTGACTGGCTCATTGCTGTCAACTCTGACTATGTCCTGTCGCTGGCGTTCATCGGGTAACTTTCTTGTAAAATCAAAGTTCACAGATTTAAAACATTTTTTAAAACATTTATTTCCCTGAGTGGCAGAGTGAAATTGATTAGAAATACAGTCTTCATTGGTTTCATCATTTGACTTTTTGGTGCTAGAATAAATGTTAAGAAATCACCAAAATCATTAGGATTCATCATATAGCAACACAAAATGTCTATCTGGTACATATTAAAACATCTTTGTAACTAACAGTCCTAATTTTATTTATTTTTTCTACACATAGTATTCTTTTTTTTTTTAGAAACTGTCAGCAGCAGCAGCTTTTGTGTTTTACTGTATGAGCCCTCAGAACCATTTGGACCATGACATGCTTTTTTTGGAAAAGTGGGCGTTTAACTTAACTATTACTTAAGGCTGCTCTCAGACCAAATATTCGCATGCTTTCTATTATAAAAAATAAAAAAACAATACAAAAAAAAAAGTTATTCTGATGAACATTCAATGCTTAAGTGTTATTGTTAACTCTTCCTGTGCCTATTTTCTCCCATCTGCTTCCCCCTACCTCCTATCTTTGTTGTTATCTTAATCTCTAGTTTCAACATTGAGCCAAACTACGACTTCCTGTATATATACGATGGTCCGGACAGCAACAGTCCTCTGATTGGTAGCTTCCAGGACAGCAAACTCCCAGAGCGGATAGAGAGCAGTTCGAATACAATGCACTTAGCATTCCGCAGTGATGGGTCTGTTTCTTATGGCGGTTTTCACCTGGAATACAAAGGTAAAATATTCTCCGAATAGTACCACCATCTCTTATGTACTATAGTGTTTCGCGCTGGAATAGTTTTAGAAGATGTAAGAGGCCAACAGCACAGAACACAGATGTTGTATTCTCTGGGAGATTCAGGTCAGCAGAGGATTCTTAACAGCAAAGACACATTTCACTCAACTGTTATTGGTACACATCTACACTATAATCACAATCACGTAAGCAAAGCAGCACCCAGTAATTTACTAAGCAGCCAGTAATTAATGATTAATATCTTTGACTAGATGTCCCTATGTCTTTTGATTAGCCTATGATGACATGAGATAAAAAAAAACTAAATAAATAGAAAGACACACAGCCCAACTGGGAATGTATTTATCGCCACTTTACAAAACATATTTCTAATGTACTATGCTTGATGTTATTGCCTCAGGGGCTGTTGTTTGTCTTTTTCTGTTGCTTATAAGCGAGGTAAAATGTTTTAGATGTCTCTGTAATGTATTTAGACATATTTCATTTTCACATTGAACAAAGAAGACTCCCGCATTACCCCTTACCGCTCAATACAAAAGTACATTTGCAGTTAATCCCCCCACACTGATGACAGTGTGCGTCATGCTGATTTTAAGATGAAAAGGAATGATTGCTCTCTCAGTCCCTGTTGAATTAGTGTTTGTTGAAATAGTCTGTCATAGGGGCGAGTTTGATTCACCCAAAATAATCAACATGGGCAGCATGTGGATTCAGGAATTAAGTCTTGAGTTGATGCAGGGTGGCCGCTAATCTTGTAGGAGGGGAGGGCTGTAGCCATAATTTACAAGGTTCATGTAGCATACAAAAGCCGGGGGATGAAGTTATCGTTCTCGCTCCATCTTTGGCGAAGAAGGCTAAGTCAAACAGACTGTTTTAAAGGCCAATGAAATGTCTGCCTCATTTGATTATGGCTAGGGATATAGTAATTATTAATTTGACTTATTATTTATGTGTGCCTGTCGGTTTTTATATACCTCATCTTCTCTCCCACATACTCACTTGTTCTCTCTTTCCAGCCAAGCTGAGGGAATCATGTTTCGACCCAGGTGTGGTTCTGAATGGGACCAGGCTGGGATCTGACTATAAGCTTGGATCTACTGTCACCTTCTATTGTGAGGCCGGATATGTTTTGCAGGTAAGAAATAAAAAAAGGTGGCTTGTTGGATAAATTAATTGGTGTGAGTTGCGGTTGGTTGATATGTTGGTTGTTTTTTTCATTGGATGGATGCTCATTGGTTGGTTGGTCGGTCTTTCGGTCGGTTGGTTGACTTATTTTTCTGGAAGTATAATTGTATTTATTTTTTTCTTCAGGGCTATTCTACCCTCACCTGCAGTATGGGAGATGATGGCAGACCTGGGTGGAACCGAGCATTGCCGAGTTGTCAAGGTAACACACAATTATACAGAATGGATTAAAGCATCCCTACACACACAACCTCATTTTATGTTGGATCAAAAGTGTGTGCCTCTTTTCCTGTCCTCATGTGTTTGCACATGTTTATGTTCTTTCTCCAGCTCCCTGCGGAAGTCGTTCTACAGGAACAGACGGGACTGTTTTATCCCCAAACTTTCCCAGAAACTATACCTCTGGACAGAACTGCGTGTACTCCATTTCTGTACCTAGAGAGTTTGGTAAGTTCCTCCTAAATAGAAATATTGTGGTTTTACATTTATGTTTATGTTAATCTCTACAAAATGGTATAACGCTCTAATATGACAGTGAAGGTGAAGGGATAACAGTAGAGAACCCGACATGTGAATGAAAAACAAGAAATGACACATGATCAAAGGATACTTGCTAGCCATTTATTTGATTCCAGGTCAGGGTTTCATCATTGAAGTGACATTTAAATGTGAGGCTGTTTTTTATCTCGCCACGTTTGATTGGAGTTCCATAAGCCACAAATGAGTCATCACAAAGATATGAATATTGTAGAGGGTTGTTCACATTAAATAAGGTTATTACGGTCTATGAGAGCTTTAGAGGAAATGAGCGTCTCATCTGGTGCTGTCGGGAAATAATACCTAAAAAATCACTGATTATAGTCATTCTGTCGGGATATTTAATCATTAATTTAAAAATGTTATGTTCATAATAAATGTCTTTCAAAAAATGTAGAATTGAGGGCTACATTAACAATTTATTCAAATAATGTGCTCAGTTGTTACAGAGAGCGATTGGTTAACATTTGATAGTACTTGTGAAACAGTGTATATAGAAATAGTGAGGCTTTGTTTTCTTCAGCAGATATTGAGAGCTAACAAAAGAGTTAGCAAAAGAGCTAGTGAGTGCACATACAGTTGGGGTTGTGGTCAAGTATGTGTTTCATTTAATGTTCGCAAATTTACATTTGTGTCTCCAATATCAGTATAATGTATTGACATCTACATTACTGGCTGACTGATTATTAGAACGACTGAGTCATTGGGTCTGACTTGAGCTTTTACAAACAATCAGTAGTCATTGCATATGATGTCCAATTATGCCCTGTGGTGTTATGAATAAATAGCAGCTTTCCCTGAGGCTGTTGATGGTCGCTGTCTCATTATATTAGCGAAGCAGCGTTTGGAGTGTCAGCTCCATGAAGACATTTTGAAGGAGAGGAGCTAACATTTGTTTGGCCTACATATTGTTTAAGACACGACATTCTCCACATGAACATCCTACACAGAGCAGCTGTCATTGTTCAAAAAAATATGTTGAATAATACAGACTCAAGGTAGCAGGATTGTCAGTTTGATGATGATATGAGAGAAGTTGTATTTAAACCACCTGGTTGGCCTTTAAATGGTTAATGATGGTTCACCACTCATCCAAATGGCTTCTAAGGATTCAACACCAGGTGGGGCCGACTCTTGGCATTCGTTCCCGTGGAGATGCCGTACCTCCTGTCGTATGAGGACGTGCCTCAGGACACCCACTCATCAGGAGGCATGGCAGCTCCACAGGGATGGATGCCCAGCTTTTCTCCACCCGATGTTAAAAGCTGAAGCAGCATCCTTTTGAAAGTAAACATTGCAATCATTTGATAACAAGTCCAATGGAATGTTTTGAACTGTATGAGACATTACTGATGACACAACAGATCTATCAGGTTTATGTAGTTCAGAAGGATTTCTCTACCATGAAGCCATGTGGGCATTGTGGGGAAACACTGCTGTGATCCCTTATCACTGGGTGTCTTTCTCTTATTGAATGTATTCATGTAATTTCTCATGTTATCTAAGTAGGAGTAAAATCCACGATGATATTTTAGCTGCATTTCCTGTGTGTTATAATGCTTTAAGTGCCCTTGTGTGAACGTTGATTCATGTGTGTCCTCCTGCCTGAAATCTGTGCCGTTTTGAAACGGTTTTGGCTGTGAACTCCTCCACCTGCTCTGCGGTCTGTCGATAATACAGCAGGGCATGATGGAAACCTTAATCACTCTAGTTTCCTTAAAATCCATACGCGGTGGGAGCTTTTAAGTATTTCTGCTGACAAGCAGAATCGTGTCATTTTTTATGACCACTCCATGCCCTTATATACATCCTCATGTACAAGCATGGCATGGCTATTATATACAAGTATAAGAAGAGAGATTTATATGCATTAAAGAGCTCTTTCTTGACAATTGTGTCGTCTCAACAGCATTTGAATATTCACTGTTTTGTTTCTGAGCTGCGTTGTTTTTTATAATTATTTATCTTCGTCAAATAGTTTGTTTTAGGTTTATTTTGTTGGTTAATTTGTGTGTTATCAGCAGGATAACGGAAAAAGTATTGGCCCAATTGTCATAAAACTTGGTGGAAGGTTGTAACACGAGCAAAAGAAGAATCCATTATATTTGGAGTGGATCTGTTTCAAGAGGACATGCATTATTTTTCACTTACTTAAACGGCCTTGGCGGAGGTCTGCGCTCTCTGAGTGCCCTTCATGTTTTAACATGAAACAGAGTTTTACATGAAAGCAGACAGGGTATCTTTGTGAGTCAGATCAATGTTTTAACAAAATGCGGATCATGCTTAAAAAGAACTCCACAGAGGGAAAACGCCTTGTACAAAGTGACTAATGACCTTCTTATAGCGCAATATCCTTGGCAATGTTCAGATGTAATCCTTTACACCTCCGCCGTTGGGGCCAAATATAGAGGGAGGGAGAGATGGAGAGGCGATATAGTATATCTGTGTGTGTGTGTGTGTGTGTGTGTGTGTGTGTGTGTGTGTGTGTGTGTCAGGTGCGTGCGTGATGTGTGTGTTTACAGTATGTTGCTTAGGGAGCCTGTTTCATTGAGGCTGAAATAAATGTTAGTTATCCTTAAGGAGGATTTTCCATGTGCAGCAGACAAACACATGTTATGTATACAAGTACACCTACAGATTTGCAGCTTAAGGCTACTTTTAATTATTTTAAAGAATCAGTGATCAACCAAGACAGAGAGTATCAGTTTGAGCAAATACTGTACCTAGGGCCTCTAGGGGGCCACATGATGCTTCCTGCTACTGCAGCTGCACTCTAACATCCTTGCTTTAGTCATGGTTCATGGCCACTGCAGCAATCTTCTTTCCTTCCATCATGCTGCAACAGAGTAAAACATGGGTGTTAGGACAGGAGTTTGACAGGTTACCACTTGCTTCATATCCTATTCTTTCACATTGCCTGCTTGAGATAATGTAGAGAAGACAGACATAAAAAGATCTTGCCATACTGACATATAGTTTTTGCCAACACTAGCATTTCACACTAGCTGACAACATTGATACACTCAAACCGAGGGGGCTGAGGAGGATTGGTGCATGATGATGATAAGGTGATGTTTAGACTATTAAGTGTCCTGATATGCAATTTTGTGTCAATAGTTGACTTCAAATAGAGGTTGACACTGCAGCTTAATACAATTTAAATTAGGTATTACAGGTTAATTTTATCATCAGAAGGTCAGGCACAGACAGCGGCTTGGAATAATAATTTACCACCATGCAAGTGTGGTTAATTCATCACCCTATCCGTCTTTTTCCCTTTTTGTCTCCAGTCCTCTTTGGACAGTTTGTGATGTTCCAGACTTCTCTCAACGATGTGGTGGAAATTTACGATGGACCAACTCAACAAAACACGCTATTGTCTTCTCTCTCTGGGTCCCACTCTGGTAAGGATAAATGGATAGATGGACAGAATGAATCATAACCATATCTTTCTTTCTGATTTTGTCTCTATTGTATAACTCTGTCTCCCTCTCCCTAGGTGAGTCTCTCCCTCTGAGCTCGGGAAACCAGGTCACGGTAAAGTTTAGCACGGTCGGACCAGAAACTGCTAAGGGATTTCACTTTGTCTACCAAGGTCAGCCAATAACAAGTAGCTTAATTTGTTATTCAAAGTATCATTATTATTACTTGCCTTAGGCCTAATAGGGTTTCCACGTGTCCTTTAAAAGTCCTGAATTCAATTGTTTGAAATGACCAATATAGGCAGCAATAACTGCACATTTGCACTTTTTGATATTAACATCTTATTGCGTCTAATTTATTTCTGCAGCTGTACCAAGGACCAGCTCCACACAGTGCAGTTCGGTCCCTGAGCCGCGGTTTGGGAAACGCCTCGGCAATGACTTTGCAGTTGGCTCGATGGTGCAGTTTGAGTGTAACCCTGGTTACGTCCTGCATGGCTCCACTGCCATACGGTGTGAGAGTGTCCCTGACAACCTGGCACAATGGAATGACACCCTGCCAACATGTATAGGTAAATATGAATCAAAGAAGAAACTAGGCAGGAGACAGACACTTTGCTATTGAGAATGCTGTAACAATATAACATTTATTATAAGCTATAGGCAAGGCAAGGCAAGGCAAGTTTATTTATACAGCACCTTTCAGCACACAGCAATTCAAAGTGCTTTACAATTTAAAATAAAAGACATTTAAGAATAAATACAGCAGAAACACATTATAAAATGGCATTTAAAAACAGGCATTAAAAAGCAAAGATAATAAAATAAACACAACAGGTATAGAATACATGAATAAAAACCATACTGCAGTGTGGATATAAACAGTGACAAAAATATACATTTTTAGTCTGGATTTAAAAGTATGAAGAGTTGCGATTCAGGTCACTATACACTGGACGCTCCACTTTGATAAGATTCACAAGCAATACCTACAGTTAAAATACAGATAACATTACAATGCTAAGCCTTACTATGCCTAAGCTGTCAGGTCTGACCCTTTTTGCTCCTCTGCTCTGCAGGAGAGGAGATGGCACAACAGGCTCTCTCTTTTCCTGTTATTTGCAGACAACATCTTGTTTTAACCTCTGCTTTTCGCTCCTTCCGGCACTCTCAGTTCCCTGTGGGGGTGCGTTGACCGCCCGTCGTGGGACCATCCTATCGCCTGGATATCCAGAGCCCTATGACAACAACCAGAACTGTGTGTGGAAGGTGTCTGTTCCAGAAGGAGCTGGAATACAGGTATCACCTATCACACATTGCTTCCTGGCTGACCTATGTATCATTGGCTTAAAAGCTGAGCAGGCAGGATGTCAAGGAAGATAAGATATTATTAGAAGGATGAATGGATGCATGGTTTGTGTGAGAGAGGGGCCATCCAGAGATAACCAGATAGGATCTAATCGTGAGAGATAATGCCTGATTGTGTGTAAGCTAAACTGCTCTCACGGACAAATACAAAGGCAAAGATGCCTCTGACACAAAATGGAGTCTGTTCAAATATTTGACAGACACCTCACAGCAGCACAAGTACAGGTGTGTTCGGTATAATTAGACTTTTTTGGTAAACAACAGTTTCTGTTGATGTTGTTTGACAGTTTTGTTTGAACAATAATCAAAAATGTGAGTTTCTATCTGAATGTGTTTCTCTCCTATTATTACATTGCAGACCATTGTACCAGATGCGATGAAATGAAAATGTAGTTGCTTTTTAAAGACAAAGGTCCACGCTAACAAGAACTTATTTTGTCTTTCTCTTCCTCTCTATCCGTCCCTCCAGATACAAATTGTGAGTTTTGCCACAGAGCATAACTGGGACTCTTTGGATTTTTATGATGGTGCCGACAACCACGCACCAAGACTGGGCAGCTACTCTGGTAAACAGTTTTTAGTGTTTTACAAATGTCATGGCCAAAACTAGTGTCAGAGATAATGTGTTATACAAAGATTGGCAAGTAGAACATTATTATATTGTATAGTTATGTTATGTTCAATTACAAATTGTATAAATCAATCAATAGTTATTTTGGAGTTAAAGGTAAGACAATTCTGAACTACAATCAAAACTATTTTTAAATCAAGAGTATGATAAAACTAATTTCAGAGATAAAGTGTTATTATTTTAATCAAGAGTACCCTGTAACAGATATGACTATAAAAGTAGTTGTAATGTAACAACTTCTTTAAGAGCATTCATACTCTCCATAACCACATTTAGAGAAGACGTAGAATAACTTAATTGCCTGTTGCCTGTAAACATAGCTTGATGGTTAAATACACAATGACAACATGCAAATAAGAACATTACATGTTGTCTCGCTGATTGAAGCATACAAGATGCTGGCCATGTGGCCCCCTGCTAAGTGTGCAATAAGAGATACACTGGTCTCGCAGCAGGAGGCGGGAACACACCCACTGACACCGGCTTGTTGTCTGTGATTCCTTTAAAAACATATGAGAAATGTTGTGGCATAGCAAATTGATCCTAAATTACTCTAATCCCCATTAGGAATAGATACTCCCTGAGCAACCTATGACATGATGTGTCAAACATAGAAATGTAAACAACAATACAATGATTCACATTTATAAAAGCTCTCAAAATGTATTTCGGAGCGCTGTTAGCTTAATCAATGTAATTGGAAACCAATGGTTATTAAGGCATGTTTCATATTCACAACTAAATACAGGCAATGAAACATCTAGTGGAAAATATTTCTCTACTGATCTTATATTAAAAAACGTAATGTGTCTCTTAAAAATATCGGCGCTTAGTACAATGGGAGTCCCTCTGCTCCAGTGCTCCAGAAACTCATATTTAATGAAAAAATGTGTTCAATCTTGGCAAAGCATTCCTCTAAATTCAGTAACTCGTGTAGTTTAAGCAGCCGTCCAAATTTGGAGTCAGCATCTTCTGGGGGTATTAGTACTGCTTTTAGGAGAGCAAAGTCATGATAATCTGCGGGTTCTGTTAAATAATCTATGGCAGGGCCTGACATCCCCACGGCAAACTGGATAAGAGATGATAGTGTTGGCAAGGAAACGACAGAGTTCTTCCTTATATCTCTTCAATATATAAATTATGATAATACACTTTTTTTTGTGTTTTAAGTGTTATCTAATATTCTCACGAATCCACAAATGATCTGTGTAATGCTTCAATCTGCGCAGCTAATTATTCATCATCATTCATCATTTATTACCGTTTTTTTTTTGTTTCCTGATGATGAACAAGAGTTTTTCTAGAATATGACCAGGTGGCTACGATCTAAAAATGCCCCCTCGCAACAGGCAACCAACTAACATCCATTGGCCTGAATTACTTCTAATTCAGAGTTCTATCTTCTTGACTTTGATATGTTTTGCTGATTCACCTGCCACAGAACAAAAAACATGGCAGTGAAAACTGGGCTCTGAGAAATGTTCCACTAGTGGCTACTTTCGGAATGACTTTTACTACTTTATAGTCTTCAGGCTAGCCAAGAAATTACATTTTCAAGGACTTTTCTTAAGGTTAATATTCCTTTACAATAGAGTGCAGCATCTACTGTCTCATTGTGACAGAACCACACTGTTGCATGGTGCCAGCTTTACTTCAGTAGTGCAGCATCCATTCTTCACTTTGTACATTCCCTTGCCGTGCTATGTAGGTCATGCAACAATTTGAAAAGTAGTTTCGAATAAAACAGATGTCTCATATAAAAGTAATTCCCTTTTCTCTCCTTCGAGAACACTACACACACAACAAAATATGAAAATGTAGATTTGGGAGGCCTTTGTTGTTTCCTTTGCTGTCAGATAACTAAGATAATTTGCTTTCAAGGCTCGGTTGAAAAATGTAAAAATGTGATCATGTTCTTCGTTCCAGGCACGACTATTCCCCCTCTCCTGAATAGCACATCTAACAACCTCCATCTAAGCTTCAGCTCGGATATAAGTGTCTCAGCTGCTGGTTTTCACTTGGAATATACAGGTAGCATACTTGTTTTGTATACAGATGTATCTGCATCATATGCTGTATTAACATACAAATGGGTGAATGTTTTACAACCGTGTTTATTACACATTTCTTATCAGCTATTGGTCTGGAGTCATGTTCCGAGCCACAGACGCCAAACTATGGAATAAGGCAAGGAGACCGATTTATGGTGGGAGACGTCGTACAGTTTTTATGTGAACAAGGATACTCTCTTCAGGTAAAAAAATCAACTTATATGCGTGTATTCTGTTTGTTTTATGCACAGATTCCCGCTAGCTACTGAGGAACTGAAGGATAGTCATTATAGATACATAGAACACACACATGCACTACAGATTACTGTTGTGTAATGCATAACACACTGCCATGTTTGTGAAATTCATTAAAGGCTGCTCAGATTTGTTCTGATGTGCCGCTATTCACTCTTTTTATCTCACGGCTGCACAAACCAAGCACTATTTAAATCGGAAATCGGAAGAAAACCCCACTCTCGGATGGTTTACTCTACTTCCTACTAAACATACCACTCTAGTGTGGTCTGCACAACTCTTTAATAATGTATGCTTCTGGTGTGGTCTGCCCAATTTCTTTGGAGGACTGTATACGACTCAAATGGAGCTTTACCTTTATCCCGCTTAAGATACAGCACTACTGTACTCATACTCATTATTGCTCTGTAGATAAACAGCACTTAATTTCTGTTTACCATTCATTGATTGTGTTTGCTTTCACATTTCTAGGGCAATGCTCATATCACCTGCATGCCTGGACCTGTGAGAAGATGGAACTACCCTGTGCCACTATGTCTCGGTAGGTGTTTACACAATACATATATGCACACACACACACACATACATGCAGCCTGGATATTCTGAGATACGTGCAGAACTTCCGTGCTGCAGTAATGATGCAAGCTGTCTCCGTTGCCTACCCTGACTCTTTGTAAAATAGGACGTTTGATCAATTTGCTGTTCTGTGATGAGCTGATTATTTAGTATTCTGTGCAGAATACGATTAAGCTTTTAAACTGATGCAAAGCTGAGGCAGAGTCTGCCATAAACATGCAGTGGGCCAAAGCATCAGCATGCACTGAGGCAAACTGGGGAAAACAAGCCCTGGACACATTTCTACTTGCACAATGGTAATTTATTCAAGAAGGGTATTTATTGAAGACTCAGAATATTAATGTGTTATTCAAAATGATGCAAACTTTCAGGTTGAAGAATCTCATGTGTCCAGTCAGCAGCACCATCCTAAAAAAGGGAGAGGCAGTCTGTGTGAGCTGGTCTGAGGTCAGCCTCCAGCCTTTGATGTGTTGCTTTCAACACTGAACCTCTGTTTCCCTTTGTCTCTCTCTCTGTGTGTGTGTGTGTGTGTGTGTGTGTGTGTGTGTGTGTGTGTGTGTGTGTGTGTGTGTGTGTGTGTGTGTGTGTGTGTGTGTGTGTGTGTGTGTGTGTGTGTGTGTGTGTGTGTGTGTGTGTGTGTGTGTGTGTGTGTGTTGTGTGTGCCCCCAGCTCAGTGTGGTGGGTCTAGGCAAGAAGTAAGTGGGGTGATTTTAAGTCCTGGTTTCCCCGGCAACTACCCCAGTGGATTAGACTGCACATGGACAGTCAACTTACCTGTGGGCTTTGGTAAGAAACACTCTCAACTTTGAACTTGAGGAGAAAGTGTGTGTTGTTCTCTCTCAGTTAGTCATATGTATCACCCTTCATGTAACAATATTATTTATTGTTAATTGTATTTAATTACTCACTCAATAAATCATTATCGGTGGCCTTTATTCACGTCGTTGGCTGCTGCTGAAGCATCTACAAATGTTTTTATTGCCGGTTCCTCTGCCAGTCAGGCTTTGCTAATCGCTTAAAATGTCAACATTTCTCTCAGGAATCCATCTCGCGTTTCTAAACTTCTCCACCGAAGCGATCCACGATTACTTGGAGATCCGCAGTGGAACCCTGGAGATGGGCTCGGTGATCGACCGGTTCAGCGGCCCGGTCATCCCCAAGTCTCTGTTCAGCACCACCCACCAGACCAGCTTCTTCTTCCACAGCGACTACTCACAAAACAAACCAGGGTTCCACATCACATATCAAGGTAAATGTTGTCTCTACACGCTCCTGTCGGACATCTTGTGTGCACTCATCGAGAAAACAAGAGCGACTGTCTGATTGCTGCGCTTTGTTGAAAACAGCGATTGTTCCTAGTGGAAACTGTTGACAATAAAATGATTTCCTTTTTGCATACAACAATAACATTTTTCTTGACTTCTAAAGCACTTGCCAAAAAAAGGCAGGGTGTAGAAAACTCATTTTGAATGATTTTTTGGTGATGAGATGAGTTTTCTATTTAATCTATCTGACACTAAAAAGGTTTTTCAGCAGGCTTGTATTTTTATTATGACATATCTCCGAGATAGCCTCAATGTGTTACGGCTAATTCCATTTATGTGCAAATTCCAGTGACTCATGAATAATACCTTTTATCTCGTGACAGGGGCACTGCCAAGGTGTTTTAAAACAGGAAAAATAATCTGAATACTATTATTTCCCCTACTATTATTTCTTCTAACGTGTATCTTTCTCAGTCACTTGTCTTTCTTCAGTCATGCAAACACTTGACTCATCTTACTTTGTCTGTCAACATTCACTGGGACGAAAACAGTTATATGGCAGACTGTCAGAATTAAATTGGGAGAATATTGACAACATCAAAAGAACAAGTCTGAGCTTGTTTGGTGCATGACACCCTTTTCAAAAAGTTAGTAATCTTAATTTGTGTCTAGAGATCTGCAGCTGTTCTTTTCTGTGTCTCTCTAGCATGTCAGTGTTAATTGAGATATCTGCAGCTGGAAGAACAGGCGGAGGAATTATGAGTTAGTCTTTTCTTGAAATGAATATTAGTTGTTCAGTGCTAGAACTGATGTCTTTATTATTCCTTTCCCTGAACAAACTTGACCTTGTTTTTTTTAGTTCTACTAGTTTTCGGCCTAATCTTGGTTATTGTGTCTCCAGCCTACCAGCTTCAGAGTTGTCCAGACCCTCGGCCTTTTCGAAACGGTATCGTGATTGGCACAGATTTCAGCGTAGGGATGACGGTGTCGTTTGAATGTCTGCCCGGATACTCTCTGATCGGCGAGGCGTCGCTCACATGTTTACACGGAATCAGCAGGAACTGGAATCACCCACTGCCACGATGTGAAGGTAACACAGAACTAACTACTGTGTCAGAATGACTGTGTTTCGTTTGTTGACAGCGAGATGTAACATTGTGTTGTTGTGAAGGGAAAACAAATAGTGTTAGTCATTTTCTATCTGTTAGTTTTACTTATTGAATATATCAATTACTCAGACAAACACATATAGTTCATGTTTGCTGGTTTACTATTCTTTCAGTACAGAAGAGTTTTTGAGGGACAATGAATTCCCTAACTTGTAAATTATTTAAAAAAACTCCATCTTACTCCAAGCTGTAACTGTTAAACCTATACATGTTTTTTTTATATTCATAACTGCAAACACTGTTTTCTTAACAATAGTATTTTAAACAGTATTTCCCTCTGTACTTATACTCCAGCATAAACAGTTAATGTTAAAATGTATGCTGAGAGAACATTGTAAAAAAACACATTAAACATATGCAACTTGTAACTCAACACAAAATGTAATTTATCCCTACTAAAAATTGATGAATAGCAAAAAAGCTAAATTGCAAGGGAGTGTAGAATAAATCTTGAGGGCATAGGAGAGGCGTCTGGCACATTGTTTTTATATATTGCCACAGTGAAATAGTAATACATTAAATTATATTATGCTACTGTGATGACAAGTAACTGCACACTAATCCATTTTTACATGTTTTACTTTAAGCCTATACTTACTGTTTAGAGCAATAGCACTTAATCAACTCTTCTTAAATGAAAGCCGTTAATTAACTTTACTCTGCCGTTTAGCTCTCAGCAGTGTTCAAATCACACCACTGCTGGAAAGGATACCTGAGCATCCGAAATTGAAATAAAACCGTAATGAGAATTTATTAAAGCCATTTAGGTGTTATCCAGTGGTCATTATATGACTGATAGAGATGTGTCCTCTCTCAGTCATCCAGATCATCACTGACACCTCTCAAAGTTAAAACTAATTTGCTGGTAATTCTGTTAATATTCTGTCTCGCAGCTCTCTGTGGTGGAAACATCACGTCGTTAAATGGAACCATTTACTCTCCTGGTCACCCTGAGGAGTATCCCAACTTCCAGGACTGTGTGTGGAGCGTCCGAGTTCCTCCTGGACACGGGATCTACATCAACTTCACTGTGCTGAGCACCGAGCCCATATATGACTACATCACTGTCTGGTAGGTGTTATTTACGAATCAGATTCACTCGTTTTCTACGTCCTTACCTCTAAACGGACACTATTCATCCTCATGATCTACAAATATGTTTCGACATATGCCGAGAACTTCTCCTACACACACCACCTCTCTCACACAGGAAGTCGTGCTCTTTAACATCCTTTCAGAGACGGCCACTAATTGGCTAAACTGCTTCAAGGGTTACTATGACTACAGACGTCTCCCCTTGAATATAAAGCTAGTCTGACATAATTTCCTTCTTGTCATGTGTTATCCGTCTCTCTTTACCCGTAAGTCTCTCTCCCTTTACCCTCTGCTTCTCACACTGTCTCCAAGGCTCAATTGGTTTTATAAGTAATATACATTACGTCTTTCTCTACCTACCTGCCCAGCCTTGACTTCTCACTTCACTATTCTTCCTAAGGACAGCAGACATTGGCAACAGCCGACATCTTGTCAATACAAAATGTTTAAACACTGCTTAGATACCATGTTACACGGTTATCTGCCTGTACAAGGTGGCAGCAGCACCATAAATAGGCTGTATAATCTATTTTTCTTTGGTTGCCATGCAGCTGCCCCTTCTCTATAGCTATAGCCTGTTTCCTATAAATAGACAGCAGGGTGCAGTTTAGAAACGTCACTTGGCATACAGACACGGAGATGCAGGGCGAGGAAGGAAAAACAAACAAAAAAACAGAGTGTGAGAAATAATTTGCTGGAAATACATTCCCATTTATTTTTAACCTACACAGAAGGACCAAACGTCTGTCTGGTACTTTTGTATGCCTCTCATATATAAGTACTTTCAACCTTCCAGATTTAAGGGTTGTGTTGTTTTCCCTGTTCCTCAGTTATCCAACTAAACACTTGAAAACCAATGTACCTTTTCCAACAAATCCCTAGATCATCTAACATAAGAGTATACGTATAGACACTGTCTTTTATCTCAAGAGAAGAGCTGACACACCAATAAATAGTCAAAAACAGTGCATTTATTCTTTTACAGAATAAATGATTGAAGGGAGATCAGTTACAATGACATGTACCGCTGTTTCTCCAGTCTCCAGTTAAATCTAGCTCACATTTGGGAAAACTTTACTTAAGGAGGTCCTATTTGAGAAACAACCAACACACGGTTCCCGGCTTAATGCACCAAATGATGTCTCAGGACATGTATCACCATCTGAATGTGCAGGTATGACTGTTTCCTGTGGAAGCACTTTTATGCCATCTTTTCACATTTAAGGTGAAACAACATCACAATCAATCAACCAACAGGCAATAAGATATGCTTTTAAACAAGTATGTAGTTTCATCAAATTGCTTATTACCAGTAATCTAAAAGCCAAAGATCACAAATACAGAATAGTCAAAAAATGTAAAAGCAGCAAATCCTTAATTTGAAAAGTTCAAACCAGAGTTTGCTTGATTATAATTTTAAACGATTCAGTTAGCGGCTGCTTATTGTATAACACAATTATATGAACAAAATGCAAGAACGTGTTTGGTATCTAAACACACTTGACATTGGAAAACTGCCTCTCACAGATTTGTAGTCGCTGCAAATACAATCATGTGCAACAGCTTGTTTCCAGTGAGTTGAGGATTTTTTAGTGTATAGAGGTCTTTAATGTTTGGTAGTTCATAACTGAAAAATAATATAAAGCATGCCTCTCACACATCTCCACTCTGTTGAGCCATGTGCTGTCCACCCACAGCCCATTCTGTGAAGTCCGTGAATCGGTCGCACAGCGTGCTCCTGACCCAGCTGTCACTTGGAAAAGTGGACAAACTGGGGAACTAGCAGAAAGCAAGAACAGCAACGAGCATTGAAACGCACAAAAAAAACCTCACAATCGAAGTCTCACAGCCTTAAAGCTGGCTTCCCGCAGAGAGCGCAGTGTCTGTAGTAAAGGTGTGATTTTCACAGCGGTCTCCTCAGTCCAGAGCCAGCCAACCTGACAGTCAGTTAGTCTGCTAATTGGTGTCAAACTGAGAGGCTTACTACATGATGCCATTGTAAGTATTATCATATATGTCACATACTTCACCTTTGGCTACTTTATACACTAAACCCTACTCTTTACTCTGTATGTTGCCATTGTGTGCTTATAAATGTAAGTAGGTGTTAGCATCAGCAATGTGAATCATAGCGGGGACCATTCCTTACATAACCTAACAGGTATAATTGGCCACATCAAAAAACACTTAACAGCAGGAAATAATTATTCCATTTAACTTCATGATGATACTTTTTCATCACTGCTAATGAGCCAGCTATTGGTTAGTTCCAGTCTGACAGCAGCTGGGTCATTAAAGGTGAAATATGTTCACGACGCTGCACACAGAGCATGACCTGCCAGTTGACAGATGTCTCCCTGTCTGCATTCGCTGGTAATTGTGTAACTTTTCCTGAATGCCAGGCTGATATTAGTGGCAACACTAAAGCCAAGTCTACAACAGGACTCGCATTTGTTATTCTTATGATCTGACGACAGTTCAATCAATATTTATGAACTTGAGCGTCCCAAAGCAAGAGTAAGAGAGCCGGGGCTTTGAACTGTGTTGTTATCCGGAGACAAAGAGGAGCTGCTCCTTTGTAAGTTGAGTGGAATCTGAGTTTGTGAACGTTTTATGTCTAAATGAGCTTTCCGACATTGTAGTTTGGATTGTTTTTGCGAGAGGGAAGATGAGCCCATAACCATGCACAATCACTCTGGGAGCCGGCACTTTGTCAGACAATGTCCGACTCCATTCGCAGTCAATGGAGCAGCTCCAGGTTTTGCCTCATGAATACCGTCAAGTCTCCTCTATCTTTGTTTGTTGCCTCGGATAAACCATTTCCTGATCACAAATAGCATTTTAACTGTCAGAAATGGCCGCCATAACTTATTCAAATGATGTTTTGGGTTGACTTTTTCTCTCATATTGTTCCATAAAGAAAGATCACGTCCGTGTCTTTATGGATCTTTAGTCTCTGATCACCCACTTTGTAACACAAGGTGTGTGTGTGCGTGTGTGTGTGTGTGTGTGTGTGTGTGTGTGTGTGTGTGTGCGTGTGTGTGTGTGTGTGTGTGTGTGTGTGTGTGTGTGTGTGTGTGTGTGTGTGTGTGTGTGTGTGTGTGTGTGTGTGTGTGTGTGTGTGTGTGTGTGTGTGTGTGTGTGTGTGTGTGTGTGTGTGTGTGTGTGTGTGTGTGTGTGTGTGTGTGTGTCTGTCTTTTCCTCTGTTTCTTCCCTTTTGTAGGGATGGTCCAGACCAATCCTCTCCTCAAATTGGCCAGTTTAGCGGGAACACAGCTCTGGAGTCTGTCTACTCGACTTCCAACATCATCCTCATCAAATTCCACTCAGACTTCTCTGGAGCCGGCTTCTTTGTCTTGAGCTACCATGGTGAGACAGTAACACCATTATCCTTCTTTTTTCACAGAGCTAGTAATGGAAGCATTGGATTGAATTTGTTTGGGTACAATACCTTTCTCATTAACTTGCTCTGCTGTTGGCTGTATTGTGCTGAGGTATAGTGGTAAAACTATAATGCTATCATTAGTTCCTGCAGCAGTGATGGCATCGATCTGTTTGTTGTTAGACTCTCTGCAACTCCATCCTCATCAACTCAGACCTGCTTCCTTTGACTCATTCTTACTCATGATTGTTCGGTCTTCCTTTTGAACTTTCTACCCTCTGATTGAATCCGGCGTCTTTGTCGCTGCCTACCAGTACAGTAAGGGTATATTAGTCACAATGGTTCTCATGCCGTTGCTGCTACAGACAGGTCTTCTTTAGTGAACACTTTAACATGTGTTAAACATTTCAAAGCTCTCATATTTGAGTGTACTTAAGCAACCATGCTAAATGTTTATCCAGTTGCTTTACATGATTAAAGAAGGAAGTACACATCACAAATTAGTCATACAACACTTAGTCATGAGACACTCACTTTTGTGTGGTATTTAATCGCTTTTTCAAGGTCTCTCTTGCTTGGTTATAGAACACATAGTTTAGCCTTTCTTTGGTCAAACTAATTCTGCATCAGAATCAGAAACAGGTTTATTACCAGGTAGGTTTACACATACGAGAAATTTGACTTGACGTCTTGGTGCGTACATAAAAATAAAAATAAAACATGAATTAAAACACAGGTAGGGAACTAGAAACATATATAAAAATATAGTACAATATGACAGTATTTACATTGCAATGGAATGAAAAAAGGAATAAAATATGAATAAAAATCGGCAGTAATAAAAAAGACAAGAAAACAGATATAGTGTACAATGTGTGTGCATACAATGATTTAGACCAAAGATCAGTGTAAGGTAAGGTACATATGATATCATTGCTGAATTCAATATCTAAATGACGCTATTGTTGGAAGGAAAAGTATATTTTTCTGTCAAATGTCTGATTGACTAAAAGCTAAGAGACACTGAACAGCTGAATGCTTGTTTATTTATCTGTTCTCTCGATACACAATGGGCGAGCAGATGTTTTGATTATTTTTTATTCTGACTTCCTTGCATGTTCCATATTTGTTGGTACTTTCCAGTAGCTTTGATGTTCTTGGATGGAAAACGGCAAAAAGTTGGTTTGCTGAATAGAGAAAGACAAATGTAACTTCTACTTAAAGGTGGGGTATGTCATTTATTTCAGATTTCTTTTTTGTTATATTCAATGGAATGCTCTTAACATCCCGATAGCAATGAATATATTAAATGCTTTGACAATGAATACATAAAAAAAATGTAATCTGTGGAAGCCGTAGCGCTGTAAAAAGCACGACCAATCATTTTAGCCGGCCCGGCTAAAGTAACTGGATGGCCTACCTGCCTGTCAGCCTTCCATCTGTGCACAAACTTATCTCGTGCCCTCATTGGTCATGTGCGCGTTCGTGTGTGTTGGAGGAGGGGCTCTGTAAGGAAGTGGCAGATTTTTTCCGGTTGTGTATTTTCAAATTCTAGCGCACTCGAGCCGGTTTCTCCAAAATTACCTACCCTACCTTTAACCTCAGTGTGTTCATAAATCTTTTCTTTCAACATTGTTTATATTACCTCCAGTTCCACTTGTCTCTGTTCACGAGAATGTCTGGCAGCTTCATTTGAAAAGGTTAAATAGCTTTAGCTTTCACCCACACAAGAAAAACATGACACAATCTAAAGTGAGAAACACTTTTAGGTTGTATGATTAAAGTAGTTAAAAACAATTAAGCTGTGTTAGTGTTGTCAAGCAGCTAATTTGTCATTCTAAAGGAAAAGTTAAACCTGAAGTTGGTCAACAAAAACAATTAGACTTGGATAACATTTTCTTGGTACAACGCCCTTAGAGATTTGTATCAGTAAGTTTTACAATAGCCTGAGTTTTTTTATGTCATCATGCCTCCACATATTTTTTGAAGATTGTTTTTTTGCTAGTTCTGATCTGCTCTTTATCCATGTCAAAACTGTCTGCATTCCAGTTTTTCATTTCAATATTTTCCTTGTGGTCCTTCAGTGCACTTAGCCTTCCCTTTGTTTTCAACTGCGGTTTAAGATGAAAACCCTCCGCAGTTGTCTTTATTCTCAGTTCACCTGTTTGCTGCAAACATCAATCCTCAGGCACTCTGGCTTCTGTCCATGTTTTCTGTACGAATCTACTGATTTGAGAAAATAAATGTAATGCTGACCACATAGACTCAATCAGTTTAAGTGATAATGTCCTTTGTTTTGAAACAAGCACTAAACCTGCATACATGTAGGAAACCACCGTCATATTAAAATGCAGTATTTTACATCCTCTGTTTGAATTTATGAGATTAAACTATAGTGTCCCTTTTACAATCTTTAGATTTTATAGCAAAGTGAACATGTTATGATGTTTATCCTATGTTTCAACTTTGACTAAAAGATAAGAAAGAAATTACTTAAAAATGAACTGCATAACATTTAAAGAGAATGAATGAACTATATTCTGGCATTTCAAGGTTTTAAAACAAAAAAGAAACTGCTTATATTTCTTCTTGTTGTCAGAAAGTTCCTGAGAGGGTGCATTTCAGGATGAAGATTTAATTTGACAGAATGGCTTCTAATGAGTTTAGCTTTCTTTTTTTCTTTTTAGCCTTCACAACACATCCAATCATATATGTGCATATCTTCCACCGTCCCTCTCATGGAGCTTATTCTCACTTCTTCAAAAGTCTTCTGTTCAATGCTCTATAGTGAAAACAAGTGGTTTTATCTAGAAGAATTTCCCTTTTCAGACAGATGTCAGGTTGTTAATGAATTTCTGTTGGCAGGTTTTAACTGTCAGCTGTCACACTCACACAGGAACTGTACCATTCATTTTCACTCAAGTTTATTTTCAATTTCTGCTTTATTGGAGGATGTACAGCAGAGAGTGACAGGTGATGATGGATAAGAGGGGACGGGGATGACATGTATGGCTGCGGTTGTTAGCATAATTTTCTCAATTCTGTTTTATTAGATGATATAACAAGAAAACAAGAATGACGTACAGCAGGTAAACACAATGAGAGCGAGATTGCTCTTAGTCCAGATCAATTATTTGTTTATATATATCCAGGAGGAATTATCACCTTCTCTGATGGAGTTTCATCAGCAGAAGGTTGTCACAATTAGACACAAAGTTCCAACATTTCATCTTCCGAGTCTGTCAGTGACACAACTGAAATCCAGAATGTCAACGTTTGCTTCGGAGACAGCTGTGAAAGTGCAGTTTTGGTTGGAAATGCCAAATGAACCCCTAAGGAAGCATCAATCCACAGTTTAGGGATGTTTATCTTTTGTCATTGTCCTTCTATTTATTTATCTCTGGGTCCAGGTTCTGAATGCCAGTGCTTCCATGCAGAGATGAGGACCATTACAGTTTTGGATAATGTTGTCATGGTCGTGAGACTGAAAGAGCCAATGTGACATGAATGTTGAAGCAGCCATAAAAAATGGACGTGGAGCTTACAGAGATCAATGACTGCTCACAGTGATCCTCTCCTCTCACACACAGACACATAGACATCGCTACACTCCCCCACACACACTCAGACATGGACATATACTGGCTCACACACACAGACCACAGGGCTTTGATATGCATGAGAGCAGCAGATACTATTGGCAGGTCTCATTTTCATAGTCAATTTCATCCTGACTTATAGCCCTCAGCCCTTTCTCCCTCTCTCACCCTTAGTCCTCCCCTCTCTCTCCCCCTCTCTCCGTCTCTTTCTCTCTGTTAGTGAGTGATATATGGTCATGCAGTAGTATTGATTACAGCCCTCAGCTCAGTGGCTGTGAATTCAGTTCCTTCTTAAAGATTCAAGGCTGTGCTGTATCTGTGAAGCCGCTCTGTCTTTGATTCCATACTTTGTTAGACCTGATCACCCTAACTTAAAAAATAAACTTAATCTAAAACAAGCAGGATTGAATAAATTGACAGATAAGAGGTTGAGTAAGGTTTTGGTTTCCTTAAAGGTCCCATGACATGGCCATTTCTACTGATCATAATTCCATTGTTGAGGTATACTAGAATAGATTTACATTGTTCAATTTTCCAAACTCACATTGGTTTCTCATACAGCATCTCTGTATAGCATGTGTATTCACTCTCTGTCCTAAACGGCTTGTTGGAGCTCCTGCCCCCCCTCCCTGTGAGCCCACTGTGCTCTGATTGGTCAGCTCGCCCACTCTGTTCTGATGAGTCCACCACCGTTACAGCGGAACATCAGTGATTATGTGTTACAATGGCGTTAGCAACCAGAAAATGACACCAGCAATGACAAACAGATGAGAATGCTGCGTGGGGTCTGGGTGCCGTGTTGGCTGTGAGTTTGTGTGTGTACTCAGGCTGAGTTCAGGCTGAGAAATCCGCGGAGCCGCAGCTGAGAAAAGATAAGCCTGAGTGGGTGTGTGTGTGTGTGAGGAGCTCCACGGATTGGTCCATTTGGACCTGGGCATGGTTACGTCACTATACTCAGGAAGAAAAAAATGGAAAAAGAAACATTTCCAACGAGGCGTTCTGGGGCAGCATAGACAGGTCTTTTCTGTGTTAGAGTTTTACTCTAAGCTACATAACACACAAGGTAATAACCGGAAAAGCATGACATGGGACCTTTAAAGTTTCCTCAGTTTACAGCCTACAACCGCAACCTTACATATTGTGCTGGTAAAATTCATTGTATAAAAGTTACTTCTTGCTAGTTTCCAAACAATACCCCTTTTTTACTGGGTTACAGACCACATTTCCTCTCACAGTCTTATATAATGTCCCTCTCTTTGTCATCTCTCCCCTCCTCTGCTGTGTCTGTTCTCTTAGCGTACCAATTAAGGGTTTGCCAGCCTCCTCCAGAGGTGCCCAACGCTGACATACTGATGGAAGACGGGGAGTTGGAGATAGGTGAGTATGTCTGTCTTCCTGCGAAGCCTCTAGACATGTCAATTTGATGGAGGAAGCAAAGTTAAGACTTGTAACTTTCCAGCCCCAATATCATCTTTTCATAAAGGGTATCCAACCTTACATCTGATACTCATTAACTGAACACAGTGAATACATCATGCAACACTTAATGTATATCTACTTCAAAATTGAGTTTTGACACCACAGCACACATAATGATACACTTTGAAGTCTTTGAATCCTTTTCTTGAGTAAATATAGCAGTAGCCCTGCAATAGAAATATGCCAGTGTAAGTGAAAGTCATACATACATTTACTCTTACAAAAGTACATAAGCATTATTGGCTACATTTACTCAAAGTATCAAAACTACAGTAATAACCCGAGAAAATGTCACTCACTTTTATATCATTATATTGATGTGTAGGCAATATTTAACAGTTATAGTTGTAATTTGTTGTAACAAAGCATAATTTTTATGATATTATATATATGTTTTGTATGTAAAACTTTAATTGAAATCTAAAACCTGATTTAAAATAAATATATTTCTAATAATATATTATAAATATATATAATAATAATTTCCTCTCATATTCTATCGAAGTAGAGGAATTTGCTCTCTTATAATTGATCTTTTATATCCATTTTGCGCGTTCAGGTGACATCATCAGGTACAGATGCCAGCCTGGATTCTCATTGGTCGGCAGTGAGATTCTAACTTGTCGCCTTGGAGAAAGACTACAGATGGATGCAGCTCCTCCAACATGCCAAGGTAGGTGTGTGTGTGTGTGTGTGTGTGTGTGTGTGTGTGTGTGTGTGTGTGTGTGTGTGTGTGTGTGTGTGTGTGTGTGTGTGTGTGTGTGTGTGTGTGTGTGTGTGTGTGTGTGTGTGTGTGTGTGTGTGTGTGTGTGTGTGTGTGTGTGTGTGTGTGTGTGTGTGTGTGTGTTTGTGTGTGTGTAAACAATAAACAAATGTTGAATACGTTGAAACTAACAAGAATAGTGCATTCTTATCTAACCATTGTTCTCCATTTATGTTCCGTCTACAGTCCAATGCCCTGCTCATGATGTCCGGTACGACTCGTCGGGGGTCATCTTGAGTCCTGGTTGGCCAGAAAGCTACCCTAACCTCCAGATGTGTTCATGGAGCATCACAGTAGAAAAAGGATACAATGTCACCATCACCTTTGAAGGTTTCCACACTGAGAAAGAGTTTGACGTGTTGGAGATCTTTGACGGTAAACAAATACAAAACAAACTGACATAAAGTATAATAGTGTTAATGTGATCACCATTGGAACACTGGAGAGTAATAGCCACACATATACAGTACCACAATAGAACAAAACACAGTTGAATTTTACTATTTCATTTGTTTCTCCTTATTTCTCTCACTCCTCTTCTTCCTCTCTTTCTCTCTTCTTCTCTCTCAGGTCCAACGGCCAACAGTCCCACTCTGGCGACACTGAGCGGCGACCTTCCTACGCCCTTCAACCTCACGACCTCCGGCCACCAGTTCCTGGTCCGCTGGTCTTCAGACCACGGCACGAACAAGAAAGGCTTCAAAATTCGCTATGTTGGTGAGTACCAAAGTATGTATCCCAACTTTATTTTACTACTACTTTATATCATGATAGTGCATGGAAATAAACATAGAGACAGACAGAAAGACAGAGAGACATTGTGAGTAATGGAGCACTTGGAGGAGTTTGTAAACCCTCTAAGTAGTGTTAATTTCGTTGACTAAAACTATGACGAAATATGTTCGTCAACGACCTTTTTTTCCATGACTAAAACGAGACGATGACGAGACGGCACCGACGGCAGTAAACAATAACTGTAACGAAATCATCATGCAATATCGTTGACGAAAAGTGACGAGACGAAAATGTAGTTTACTAAATAAAAACTATGCCAAAATCTCTCTTTACTTTCGTTGACGAAAAATGAGGAGACGAAATATTATCAAACATAACGTTACATCTCTGATAGTCAGTTTTTCTCCCAGCAGTTCCATTTCCGGTGCTGCGGCTGGGCAGCAGCTGTGTGTCTGTGCTGCGCGCGGCGGTACATTTGAATTACACCGGGCAGCGACACACTATGAACTGTCAGGAAGACTTGGGTCTAACTCATGGTCTAACTAACCTTATTTAACAGAGAATAAAATGGTAACAACAGGGCTTGGGAGCAGTGGTCGCGTTAACCGAATACCCCCCCGTCAGCGCGAGTGAGTGACGAGTTGTGTACTCGACGGGTAATAATGGATTATGACGGAAATGTTACGATAACACACCTGGTAAAAACACCACAGTTAAGTTTGACTAAAATGACAAATTATTGGTTTTGGCTAGACTAGTTTGACTGAAATGTTCTATATAATCTGATGACTAAAAAAGACTCAACAGTTTTCATTGACAAAAAGTAGACTAAAATAATTAGTTTTCTTTGACTAAAATAATACTAAAATGCTCAGACTTTTAGTCGACTAAATCTTGACTAAAATAGTTACTGTTTTCTTTGACTAAAATAATACTAAAATGCTCAGACTAAATAAAAACAGGATGAAGGTGACTAAATATGACTAAAACTAAAAAGGAAATTTAACACAGGACTAAGACTAAAACTAAATAAAAAAATAGCTGACAAAATTAACATACCTCTAAGTTGTGTCATTATTATAAGTTAATCATAAATGGGACTGTTTCTCAATTTTTCATTTTAGAACAAAGATTGTACAAGAAAGTGGATTAACCTGTTAAGCCGGCGGGGGCTGCAGGCTTTTTTTTCACTAAACTGTGTCTCAGGGCTTCTTAATATTTAACAACCTATCAATGTGTCATACCCACTTAACGGGAAGAAACTCAGCTAACTGACAATATGAACAATTTTTAGTTAAACGAAACACAACTCTAACGCAAAGCCTCTGAATTAGCACTAAGCGAAAAAATGCTAACGCACTTAGCACAGAACTCACGGTAGAAATACTTTATTACTTATCGGATCTGCACAAACAAGATATCAGCTTGCAAGCTGAGATTCCACAGATTCTAGGGGTATAAGTATCATCACTGAGCGATCAAAACTCGTAGCAGAGGAAGCAAACCCAGACATCACACAACGTAGCTTTACGGGACCAAAACGGAAAATAAGTCTTACCGTTGCTGTTTTCTGATCAAAAGTTGTGTTCAATGGCATTAAAACGCTGCTGAAGGTTAATCCAATGTCTCTGTGTCACTTTGAAATGATTACTGATAATCCATCATTCCATTTTTGTCAAAAACGGAGATTTCATATTAGCTGTTATTAGCACTATTAGAGCTACAACCAAGCTTCCGGTTTTGGGCATTCTGGCTATGCATCACTCATTCACCAATGGGTAATGTTTAGATGGATTTTAGGAACTTCCCCTCGATTCTATTGGCTCTAACGGTTCAAAAGAGGTGTCAATCATTCAAATCGACCGAGGGGGGCCAGAGATATGGAAAATGCACCCAAATGACCCCAGAAGTGTTTTTCTTTTGCTAAACCTCTCTAAAAAGGTCAAATGTCACTTGTTTTGCATTAATCTTGATACAGGGTACTTATTATATGTTATAGTTTGGATTCCTAAAGCTTTTAGTCTACTATCCCATCATTCAAGGGTGGTTTTCACTATAAGTAATGTTTTTGTTTTTAGACGGATACTATAATTTAATTTTTTTTACTATGTTCAATCTGAATTTACTTTAAAATAAAAAAAATCTATATTGATTCTGACTTTTCTATATCCAACTCACAGGTTTATCATTGCTTTGAGAAAAAAGATTATTAATTTACCCCTTTTAGAAGTGAAGTTATAGTCATTTGTTCTGGGAATGTCATGTTCGAGCCTGAGACCTGAAAAACAGGCTCAGGGCTTAACAGGTTAAAGGAAAGAAAGTCAATTATTAACTTCATCTTACACATTTGTTTCTTCATCTTCAGCGTACTTTTTGACCTCCCTTCTGTCTGTCTCCTAAAGCATTTAATTGAATCGCATTACGGGTTAGTTGTTAAGTTTTATACATTGAAGGAAAGCTTTATGAGCGCAGATGCTATCTTTGCATTCACACAGTCTTCCACCTGGGCCTGCTAATTGTAGACTGTTGGCTATTAAGCCCCTTCACTTGGGTAATGAGGCTTGAGTGCTTTATTCAAGGGCATCTTTTGGCATTTAAGGAGAGGGGTATTACCTGTTCAGTTTGCTTTTTCACTTAATACCATCTATTCAGTAGGCTGCTTCCTTAACCTTTAAAACACCACTGTTCTGTATGATGAATTATATGCTGAATAATAACAGAAAAGCCTCCTCTGTAACCTTCTGCGGTGGCTGTGATTAATGTGAGCATCTGCAAGGATTGTTAAACACGTGTTGTAGGTTTTCTAATATAGTTTTTTTTGTCTTACACAATCAAACCAGTATTTGAAACTCTCACATTATATTGACCATTCTGTCAAATTAAGACATGTCCCCATTTGTTTTCATTCTGTCTTCTGATTTAAGAAGAAACTTCATCTTTGTAACAAGATAAGCTGGTATTGCATTAGAAAAAAGTCCTTGTGAGATTGAAGCAGCAGTTTAATGCCATCAATCTTAAAATACAGTAAAAGGAAAGAGCCTGGACTGAATCTAATCAGCGGCAGTCAGCTCATCTTGTTGCTTTTCCTGCAGTACATGCTGGCACACCGACTTTTAATGCTGTTTAGAAATATGTTCTGTCAGACAGCTTTAATTAGAAATCACTGACACACTGTAAAAACCATCGCCTAGCATAATCATTTTCATTTTGTATCTTCAATGCAAGGAAAACACAGTAAAAGCAACAAAACTCCCACTAACTCACAAGTTGTCCTTGACCATTTTGATAAGAAAACACCGCACTGATGAGGCTGGGCCAGTGACGGAGCAGAAGGACATAAAACAGGTTTATCACTAATAAATAAGGTCAGTTAAGAACTTATGTTTGGGCCTGTGTCCAATTTGAAGAGTTACAGACCAGGCTACTTGCCACAGTCAACATCTAACTGGGCTCAGGCCCGGATCATCTTTATGGTTTGACTGAGGAGCATAGTGCCCTAAGGGTCTGCTCATCAGAGCTGGCTGATGTGCTTGCTGACATTTTTAACCTGTCACTAGCACAAGCTTTTGTGCCCACCTGCTTCAAGACAACCACCATAGTGCCCCTCCGAAAGAAAAACACTGCCTGAATGACTATCGTCCTGTTGCACTCACCCCAATAGTGTTGAAGTGTTTTGAGAAGATAGTCATGACCCACATCAGGAAGAACATTCCAGACACCTTGGACCCTCTGCAGTTTGCGTACCGTCAGAACCGGTCTACTGACGACGCAATCAACACCGTCATCCACACCAACCTCACACACTTAGAGGGCAAGGATACATATGCAAGACTCCTCTTCATTGACTACAGCTCAGCCTGTAACACGGTCATCCCACACAAACTCTCTGCTAAGCTCCTCACTCTCGGACTGACACCTGCTCTCTGTAACTGGGTGCTGAACTTTCTGTCAGACAGACCCCAGTCAGTCAGAGTTGGCAACCGCACGTCAGGCACTAAAACTGTAAGCACAGGGACCCCCCAGGGCTGCGTGCTGAGTCTCCTGCTTTACACCCTCTTCACACACGACTGTGTGGCCTCCCAAAGCAACACCTGTATCGTCAAGTTTGCAGATGATACGACTGTCATTGGACTGATCACCGGTGGGGCTGAGGCAGCGTACAGAAGAGAGGTGGCTTACCTGGTGACCTGGTGTCAGCACAATAATCTCTCCCTGAATGCAGACAAGACCAAGGAGATGATTATTGATCCACAAAGGAAGAGGGTGCAGCACACACCACTGTGTGAGGTGAGACAGAGGTGGACAGGGTGAAAACCTTTAAATTCCTCGGAACCCACATCAGCGAGGATCTCACCTGGTCTCACAATGCACAACAGAACATTACAAACTCCCAGCAGCGACTGTACTTCCTAAGGAGGCTGAGAAAAGTTGGCATGCCATCCAAAATACTCAGCAACTTCTACAGATGTACAGTTGAGAGCGTCCTTACCAGCTCCATTACAGTCTGATATGGAAACTGCACTGCTCAGGACAGGAAGGCACTCCAGCGTGTGATCAAAACTGCACAGTACATCTCAGGAGCAGCCTTCCCCTCACTTCAGGACAATTACACCACCAGGGTCACCAGGAGAGCACACAACATCATCAGGGACAGTACACACCCCCAGCACAGACTCTTTACTCTCCTGCCATCAGGCAGGCGCTACAGGAGTCTGAAATCCAGGACCACGAGACTGACAAACAGTTTCTACCCACAGGCCATCAGGCTGATGAACATGCTACCCCCCCCCCCCCCCACACACAAACACACACACACTGATTGAACTGTGAGTGGTACACAGACACACTGACACTCACCATTTGCACTACCTACTTTAACAATGCATAGTGCACTTGTTGTCTGCCGTGCAATATTTTATACACTGTGAACCATGTGCAATACAACTATTTATATACTATTTAAATATCTTTTAAACTGCTGCTACTTATGTTATACTGCTACTTATGTGCCCTTTTATGCTGCTGTATCTCTGGACCCCCTGCAGTTTGCCTACAGAGCAAACAGGTCCACAGACGACGCCATAGCCCTCACCCTCCACACTGCCCTCTCACACCTGGACCCGAAGAACAGGAACACATATGTGAGAATGCTGTTCATTGACTACAGTTCAGCATTCAACACCATTGTGCCCTCCAAGCTGGCCATCAAGCTCAGAGACCTCGGGCTCAACAGCGCCCTCTGTGACTGGATCCTGAACTTCCTGACGGGCAGACCCCAGGCAGTGCGGGTGGGAAATATCACATCCTCCACCCTGATTCTCAACACCGGTGCCCCTCAAGGCTGCGTGCTCAGCCCTCTCCTCTACTCCCTGTTCACCCACGACTGCGTGGCCACACACAGCTCCAACACCATCGTGAAGTTTGCTGATGACACGACCGTCATCGGCCAGATCACAGACGATGACGAGACGGCGTACAGAGAGGAGGTCGAAAACCTGACATCTTGGTGCCAGGATAACAACCTCCATCTCAACATCAGCAAAACAAAGGAGCTGATTGTGGACTACAGGAAGCAGCAGGGAGAGGGACACGCCCCCATCGCCATCAATGGGACTACGGTGGAGAGAGTCAAAAGCTTCAGGTTCCTTGGGGTCCACATCACTGAGGACCTGACATGGTCTCTTCACACCACCACCATCACCAAGAAAGCTCGACAGCGGCTCTTCTTCCTCCGCAGGTTGAGGAGGTTCAAAATGGATTCCAGGATACTCTGCAACTTCTACAGGTGCACGATAGAGAGTATCCTCACTGGCAGCATGACGGCCTGGTACGGCAGCTGCACCGACCTCGATCGTAAGGCTTTACAGAGGGTGGTGAAAACTGCACAGCACATCACCAGGACGGAGCTGCCATCCATGGAGGACCTTTACTCCCAGCGGCTCAGGAAGAAATCACTACGGATTATCAAAGACCCCCATCACCCCAGCCACAAACTGTTCTTTCTGTTGCCGTCTGGCAGACGTTACCGCAGCATCCTGGCAAGGACAAGAAGATTCGGAGACAGTTTCTTCCCGCGGGCAGTAAGACTGTTAAAAAATTGAACTGTTGAAACAACATCAAACATTCAACTGCTACTCAGTATTATGTATCTAATACCTAATATATATATATCATTCCAATAACTTGTATATAGACTCATACTGCACTATTCCACATCATAACTTTATTTCATTTTTATAACTATTATTATTTTTGTATTGCTCATGCTCTTATTGTTATTATGTTATGTTATTATGTTGCATTGTTGGAGAAGCCTGTGACATAAGATTTTCAACTGCATAATTACTCTGTAGCTATGTCAGATTGACAATAAAGAACCTTGAACCTTGAACCTTGTTGCCGTGTGCCAAATGTATTTATTTTTATATTCCTGTATTTTACTTGCGTAGGGTTGACTAGCAAAGTAAGATTTTCATTGTACGGTGTAACTGTCTGTTTACTGTGCATATGACAATAATTATCTTGAATCTTGAATCTTGAATAATGAAACTGCTTGTAACCTTTCTTATGAAATACTGACATTGCGCATAAGGAGACAGAGAGAGACAGAGAGGGATAATCTATGAACAAAAGACAAAATATCGGCTTAACTTGTTGCCAAGTTTTTTGCCCGCAGCTACCAATATTGTCTGGGGTAAAGTGAAAATGTTTCTTTGTGGAGGAATATTGCATTTATAGCCATTGATTTGTGGGCAGTGTGTTCGGCAAAGTCTCTGACATCTACTGCAATTCTACTCATTGATTGTTTGATGGAAAAACTCTGCCGGGAGAGACTTATTATTTTTCTTACTTAGCATTCATACAGCTTGTCGGATCCTAATTAGCTGAAACACTTGGGTTTTAAGACGTGCTGGAAAGGTATAATTAACGTTATAAATGGGCTTGTTAATAATTCTGTTCACAGAACTTTTAGTTTAGTTTAGCCCAACACTTGTTTTGAGATAAATTACTTGGAGTGATGACATCCTACTTCATCTAATGTCTGTAAATGCAACGTTTTAAATGCACAATGCCCAATTCAAGCCATAATTGTGATTATAATTTAACAATTTACTCACAAACAAGATACATTTGCATCAGTCCATTATCGCTTGGCCTTCTGTTATGTAGTAAATGAAGTAGTGAGCCATGTTAATAAAATAAAACCATTGCTGATTGTAAGGTCAGCAACATTTAAACCTTTAAAATAAGACTTTGATTACAGAATTGGTAATTGTTATATTAATGCAAACCTGCATTTAGACATCCATTCTGTGTGAATCAGATCATTGATCTGATGGTGCACACATTTGTTTTCATAGTCTGTTAGATTAACAACAAGATTGTTATATGTTAACAGCATAGAACTGTAGTTTTGCCATGGTTGTAGAATAGCACTGTATAATAGGAGTACAAAGTATTTATTTCTTGGTTTCTAACATTCTACTTCCTGTTTTGGTCTGCAGTGAACCTTCCTATGTGAGGTCATTTTGAGGTCTAAGTGTTTTGTTTTGTTTCCTCCTCTCCAGCGCTGTACTGCTCCACCCCAGACTCTCCGCTCCACGGCTCTATCTCCTCTCAGAGCGGCGGCCATATTAACAGCGTGGTACGCTGGGCTTGTGACCGTGGTTACCGTCTCATAGGCAACGCCACAGCAACCTGCCGCCGCACGGCACTCGGCTACCACGCATGGGACTCTCCTGTACCTGCGTGTCAAGGTTTGTTTATATTTCAAGCTAAGTATTTTGTATAAGTGATGTTATATGTAAGGTAATGTGATGTAATCATTTCAAACTATTATAAATATGAGCTTGAAAAGGTGCGAGTAACCTGGAGAAAAGATATACAAATGATTTTTTTAAATGAAGGATTGATGGCAGTCACATTGTCGCCCAATCATTCTGTCATGTTGCCAACCATTTAAGTGGAATGTTAATTGCGCTAATAAAATAATTTGACAGTCAGATCAAATTTCTAATTGACTTGTTAATAAAGTAGCTGTTTGAATTGCCAATACAAATGTATGTTATCTGAGAAAATACAACTAAGTTTATCCATGCTATAAAACCATGAACACTTATTTTCTTCCTTTAAGCAGCTTGTATCCTTTTTGCTCCAAAATTAAAGTACTGCACATTCATATGAGTAGCACATTCAGTGGGTGTGGAAATGCCACATGAAGATGCTTTTGAATGCCGAATATAATTCATATTATTTGGTCATTTAAAACAGAGCAAAACAAAAACACACCCTGTATTTTAATGAAGACTGTTTCGTAACCTTTTATTTTCTTCCTATTTCAAAGGGTATTTTCAGAATATACTAGATGATGTATTTCGAAGACTATTAGAGGAGTTGCACTTGCTATTTTCTTACACCAAACTTCAAATAGTCATAGAAAGGCACAGCTTGTAGCTGGTATTGATAGAAAGTCGAATGAAGGATGAATAGCAGATTGTCGACGCTGTAATTACACGCTGTGGTGCCCCACCAACCAGTCTATTTAAAACCAGTATGGACTGTGGAGCAGCATTTTCTGTAAGATGGATGTGTCTTGTTAGTTGGAACTGAAGATAAAGCATCTCTTGATTGTATTTCTTTAGTTTGATGTAGGGTTGCATATCGTTGACTTTTTTACGATACCAATACCGATACCACTGAACGATACCGATACATATCGTGATACTGAAAACAAATTGAATCATCCCGCAATTACTCCCATGAAGCGCTTTATGATATAGTTAACATGTCAAATGAATATCAAATTCAATTGTGGGACTTGGAAAACACGTTATCTATGAAGAAAACAGATTCTGCAATATCATTTATAACAACCATCAGGCGTGAATAGTACATCTTATCAATGGAAAAAGAAAATAGCACCAGTATATTCAATATTTAACCTGAGATTCGACTGACCAGAGAACACATAAAGGATCATGAGATCTCGGCATTGCACATAAAACAAATAGCATCATTAAAATCAACATTTGCCTGATGAAAGAAAACAAATCCCATCACAGTTCAGTTTTGTGCATTCATCTTCAAGAAGATGAGCATATCTGCTCTCTGGATCCAAACGGGCTCTTTCACAGCATAGGATATCACCTGCTGAACTGAACACTCTCGCTTGGCACGCTGCCTCCCTGAACACAAAGGTACTTGGTTGCCATACGAGACATCATTGGTCGGAGGTTGGATGCGTTGCCACCTTTCCCAGAAATAAACTTCTTGCAGTGGTTACAGACCCCACCATTCAGACCGGCAGTCATATGCAGCCACACTTTAGATTTTCTAAAGTGACTCGTTTGCGGAGTTTCACGGCGAAATTTACATCGTAATTCCGACGGTTTGGGCGCGAGTTTAAGGATATTACTTTTATAAACATTTTTAAAAAGTATCGAAAACCGGATCTGATTTCGGTACGGTATACCGTAGCCGCCAGTAACCGGTATTTCGGTAATACCGGGTACTGGTATGCACCCCTAGTTTGATGGCTTCATTACAGAAAAAACTTGAGGTTGTTTAAACATGTATTATTCACTTTGAATCCCCACAAACAATTTGGACAAGTAGGCTACAAACCTGCTTCCTGACAGACATAAGTGTGTGTTTGTGTGTGTCCCTTCTCATGTTGTGTATTTGTCCTCCCCTAGCTGTTTCATGTGGGGCGCCCAAGGCTCCTCCAAATGGAGGCGTTTTAACAGCCGACTACTCCGTGGGAACAAGAGTTTCCTATTTCTGTAACGACGGGTACAGACTCTCCAGTAAAGAGCTGACGTCAGCCATCTGTCAGCCTGACGGGACGTGGAGCAACCACAACAAGATACCACGGTGTTCTGGTGGGTAACACTTAGATGTCAGTGGAATATTAACACAAATAACAAGTCCTCAAGTGTCATAAATGTTTAAATAGCAATAGCATGAATACAAATGTAAATATGAAACTGCTGTGAGATTAATTGCATCAGTTACAAATAACTTATTCAATCAAAGGTAATTAAATAATCGTGCACTAAGTGAGATACTAGATTGTAAGCAACATATAATTAACATACGCTCTGAGTGGCAGCTATTTTTGGCTAGAACATTGTTATTTAAATGGAGTCATTATTATGCATCTGTTTGATTTTTTACAATGGCTTGGCCCCACTCTCAGCCAGCTTTTTAATATCTGACACAATTTCAAAATGGTAATTGATGGCTGTTGTTTAAATGAGTGTAATTTTCATGTTGTTTCTCGCACTGTCTCTGTAGTGGTGGTGTGTCCCAGCATTGGCTCGTTTTCTTTGGAGCACGGCCGCTGGAGGATAGTCAACGGCTCACACTACGAATACAGAACTCGCATCGTGTTCACTTGCGACCCGGGATACTACAGATTAGGCCCCGCCCACATCCAGTGCCTATCCACTGGCATGTGGAGCTGGAGAAATGAGAGGCCGCACTGCCAGAGTGAGTAAAACAAAAACACTTGACGACTGCAACTGCAATACAACATCAGAAACGAGCCAGCCATCACGCATATTTGAATGAGGATTATTCCAATTATTGAATCAAACTGTATACAGGTATGTGTTTACCCTTAGAACGAAAATACTATAATCAAAGTATAATTAAAAGCTATGATAACAATAGTAGTAAATAAAATAAAAAACACAATTGAGTACAATTTTACAATTGAAGTGATTAAAATATTGTCTATAAAGCATCCTTAAAAAGCCCGGCTCAATAGGTACGTTATAAGTTTATATTTAAAGATTTATATAAAATAATTTCCAAACCTTAACTCATTCAAAATTCAAGATTCAAGATGCTTTATTGTCATATGTGCTGTATAACGGGCAGTTGCAATATACAATGAAACTTTAAGGCTCATCTCTTCACACTTAAATATTTAAAAAACTATACATACTAACTAACATAAAAGATTAAAAAAAGTAAATATGGTGCATGATGTGCCGCATGATCAAATAAAAAATAAATAGGATATATAAACAGCAGGGTAGAGTATGGCGTATAAATATGCATATTAATAAAAATAGATGGACATAAAAGTATTGTGTAAAACAATATAGTGATAGCCAGTGTTTGTTACTCTTGTGTTTTTCCTCTGATCCATTTAGTGCAAAAAATAAAAGCAATCTCTTACACGATTTCTGGAATCTCCTGTGGCCGCCTGGCAACTGATCCAAGCCAAGAAATAGCCGGGCACAAAATCCCTTGTCGAACAATGAATTGTTGTGAAAAATATCAAATATTCAAATATTATATGGGTGAGCTTTAGATCTGCTGGAAGGCGGGTTTAGTTACAAATGAACTGAAAAACAGCTTCTTTCCAAAGCTGCGACACTTCTGAACTAAGACATCTCTCAGACTGACAGGACTGATGTGCTGCCTTCTCAGCAGCATGTCACTCCAACACACTCATTATGTGCAGTTTACCAAACACGCATTCAACACCCAACACTCATGCTGCTAACACTACTGACAACATCTGTTAGTTATGTTCTATTTTCATTTTTATACCTTTTATTTATTATTTTACTTCTATTTACTACTTAGACTCTGCTCCATTTATTGCTGTTTCCTCCTTCTTTGTAAATATGTATAACGTTTTTAATACAATGTTGCACCATGTGTGGCTGTTGTTATTGCAATGTTTTTGCGCTTAATGACAATAATGTTCTTTGGCCTTCCTAGCTTTTTCCCTGTGTTTCTATGATTTGCTAACCAGCTGTTGGCAGTTCATATTTAATAGACGGATAAGAGAAAGATATAAATGTTCAACATCTAAATCATCCACAAATAAGCGTTTCCTTCAGACGCAGAGCATGTTTTCTGATTACTTTATGTACTTCTTAATACAAATAATGAATGTATGAGCCATTAAAACAAAAAATAAATTATGTTTCAATAAATCAAGTGATAACTAACTGTACAAGGAAAACTGCTTTTTCTTACAATCCATTCTCGCCTTGACATTTTTGTCATAAGTTATTTCAAATGTGAGGATTTCTTGACATTTGAATGAATCAATGTTATTTATTTAATGTTCAGAAATGTTTAGGACCCCAATGCAGAGAAGGACACTAGTTCAGTTTGAAGGTGTTTAATAAAGAAAGCAAGGAAAATGCAGTTAATGAAGGCAGGGAGCTGCCTGGTTTGCAGAAAAAGTCCCCGGCAAAAACACAAAAAGTTGCACAAAAAACTGCAATCTGGAAAACACAAGGCTTGGGCTGCAGAGAGGCGCTCTGGATCGTCCAACAACATTCAGTTATCTGGCAGAGTAGTGGAGTGAGGACCAGGCTCTTAAAGTGAAGGTTGATGAGGTGAGTGGGAACAGGTGTGCCTCATCTGCAGCCAGGAGAATACGAGCCACGCCCCCTGCCACACACCAGCCAATCAGAGAGGAAGAACAGAGAAGTGGACAAGAACAAGCACAACAACCAAAAAAACATGCAGAAACATTACAATTTACCTTTATAGAAGTGTGTGACATTTCAGAAATGACTGTTATATTCTTCACCAGCAATTGTGAATTTCCATTGTAGAAAAAAAGTATGTATTCGTTCCAGATCTGTGAGAATCATTGGTAGCATAGTTTCTTGAAAGCAATGTTCTTTACCAACAACTCAAATCAACCTGGTGCGTATTTGGTGCATGAGTGCTTTAAAATTGTTTGTTTCTGCCTATGTGTTTCAGTCATATCCTGCGGAGAGCAGCCATCTCTTCCCAATGGGAAGAAGATCGGTACTCAGACAAGCTTTGGGGCTACAGCCATTTACACCTGTGACGCTGGCTTCATGCTGGTGGGGTCAGCCGTCAGAGAGTGCCTGTCCTCTGGGCTGTGGAGTGGAACAGAAACTAGATGTCTAGGTATGTAACGACAGGAATTAGTAATGTATTCAAACATGTAAGTATGTAGATATATATTAAAGGTCACCTATTATACAAAATCCACTTTTTCATGTCTTTTATACATAAACATGCGTCCCCTCTGTGTAATGAGATTCTGAAAGTTTCAGGAAAAAAGATTCTCTCTCTTTTTGTCCTGATCCATTTATATAAAACCTGTCTGAAAATGAGCTGATCAGATTTTCCCCACTTTATGATGTCATAACGATTTTTTGGCTTGTGTAACCCCCCCCCCACCTTATCACCTGAATCTCCTCCTAGAGCACCATTGTGTTCTTTTTAACCAAATATCTCTCAGAGGGGCGTGGGGAGTGGCTCCTTATTTTCATCTAAAGTAACAGACAGAGAATCAGCACTTTTGAAACAGGGCTGAAACAGAGGGGATTATGGGATGCTACAATGCATGATCTGTTTGGTATTTCGAGCCAAACACTTCTGAGACATGTTTTCTATATATGCGAGACCTATAATATATTGATGAAAAATAGTATAATAGGAGACCTTTAAAGTATATCTAGAAACTGTATTGTATACTTAGACTTCAAATAAAGTCATATTACTGCATGCCTCTCTGAAACACTGACCATTGGAAAGGGGGTTTGAGTTATTTGTTTTCAAGTCAAGATAATGAGGACAGGTATCAAAGGCAGGGTCTGCACAGCTGCTCCGCTCTAACCTCGTCCACCTCCCAAGAAAAAACTATTACGAGCTTCTGCTGTGCACTCACTAAATTCAGTTAGAAAGCTTTTTTTATATATATATATATATATATATATATAAGCCAGAAAAAAACAGCTTATTTATTCTGTCAGTGTGCCAGCGAAAGTTAACATATGCTATGACATGTTGCTGTCACTTCTCCATGAAGCCGCAGTAGAAACAGCGCTTCCCAGAATACTTCACAGGCCGAGGGGGATATGAGATGCAATTTAGAACGGGAAGGTTCATTGAAACTTAACCTAGACTGATGAGGAGGCAAGGTTCTGTCAAAAAATAAATGTATTGAGCCCTAAAAAAGTGCTATAAACAGCATTTTCAGTCAATAACTTTGCCAATTATCCTTTGAACCAAATCTGGCTTTACTGTACTTGTTTTGCTAATTTTAAAGTCGGTGTTGTTGTGTTTCTTATTTCCAATCATCTTTGTAATCAAAGCTGATGCACAAAATATTTTCTATAATTACCCTAATTTGTTCAATCATGAAAAATACAGTTCGTACTAATGTCTATTCCTTATACATAACTTTCTGCAACATTTTCAAGAAAGTAAAAATCGTCTTACTTTAGAAATGCCCTTTAACTTAACAGTAATCAAAATCTCAAAGACAATGTGGGAGGTCAAAGGTTATGCAGAGCAACCTTTTCTCTTCCTGTTCCCTCCCACTCTCCTGGCTGCTTTTGACACTGTTAGCATTTTGCATTGAAGACACAGTTTATCTACTGTAAAGAACAAAATCAATACCCAATCCAAAGTCTCTGAGAATGCATTTACTCCAACATCTTGCATTAGATCTGTGCATCAGTTAGACCTTTGGGAAGAATCCTGTTTGGTTGGCTGTTACCGGTAAAGCCTGATACTTAATAAACACAGAAACATCTTCATTTAAAAGGTAGGTGCTTTCGACAGCAATGACACATCTGTGTAAATGCTGTAAGGGGGCAAATTCCCATCAGAGACTTCAACATAAATGACAGGTTGTCCAATTTATGATAGAACTTCTAATATTTTTATTGAAGATGGACTGCTTGTTGTGCTCCATCTTTGATGTTTCATGGCGTGTGTTTGCTCAGATTCAAATGTTTCATTGACAAGAGAAACAGGTTTCAAGCGGCAATTGCTTCTTTTACAGGCTAGCAAAAATGTTTCAGCAGATGTTTAACATCTTAATGTCCCATATGGAGGCAACAAACTGCCTCCTAAGCCGAGATGATGTTAAACCCACAAGGTTTGTTTAAAACTACAAGGCTTGATTAAATTGTTATGGTTTTTCTGAGATTCTCTCCCTGTAACCCAGATGCATATCATGGTTATAAGCCTGAACATAAAACATCAATGTCATGAAAAACTCTTTAGCCCTAGGTCACATAGGAGATTTGTGAAAAAATCGTAGTGTAAAATTGCACGTTAACGTCAACGTTTTGAAGATTTTCATTTAAATAACGGTCTGTTAATTCACCATCTCTCTATCGCTGAACGGGCCACCCAAAAGGATATTGAGCCTACGGCAAACCGAAATCAAAGCCTTAAGATTTGCAGTGTTAAAAATTGGTTGTCTGTTGCAACATTTTCCAGGAAAAGGCAAGACTGTTTGGATTTCTTTGAAGTGAGATCCAAAAATACATCTACAATTACCCCTCATGATCATAGGTGGCACCTAAGAGAATAATACATGGAAATCTCCAAGATTTTATTCCAATACAAGATTTGTATTATGTCCGTTTTGTGTATCTAAGGTAGATATAGGAGAGACCTGGAAGAATAGAGAAACACATTTATAGATATAGAATCTGAAATAGTTAATAATGACAGAGGCCATTTACAAATAAAAGTGAGTGCTACAACATATTATCTTCGCAGCGACGTTTCTGAGGCAGGTTCAGGGATACCTATATTCTGAGTCGTCTGTATGTCTTTCTGTGTCTTTCAGCCGGTCACTGTGGGATCCCAGAAAGCATTGTGAACGGTCAGGTGATCGGGGAGAACTTTGGTTACCGTGATACAGTCGTGTATCAGTGCCTGCCTGGATTTCGACTAATAGGCTCATCGGTTCGAATCTGTCTCCAAGAAAACCAGTGGTCTGGACAACTGCCTGTCTGTATATGTAAGGAATACACTTATCTGTCTCCTTTACAACCTATGATCTGGTCGGCTTCCTGTCTTTTCAGAAAACTGACATTACAAGTAGTAGAAGAAAGCATTTGTTCAGAAGGAAGCGGTCGACTCAGTGAATAGGAAATCACTCAATCAAGAGTGTATCCTGATCCAGCACGTCATTATAAAAACGCCTGAAGAAAAATATTTGCTGTAGTTCAGTGGTTACACAAACAATGATTTAGGGAGTACTAACAAGAACCAAGCCTTTTGGGTATGTGGGAGTAAGTGTTGATGTGTTGATGTGTGTGACTGTGGTTGATACAAACAATTTCATTTATTGATTTCTGCTTGAAGTGCAAACTCTAAATACAAACTAAAAACACAATGACCGCCTCACAACGCTGTCTTTACAATTGTGATAACATTAAAGCACAGACTTATCCTCATTTTGTATTGAAGATATGTCCAGTAATTAAGCATTGTACATCTTTAACAGAATCACAAAAAGCCAACAGTATACAGAGCAAATATATTGTCTTGTTTTATTCCACATTCTTCGTTGTCCAAACCTGGCCTCAAACTACCGAGAATTTATTTCAACTGCTTACATTTTGGTCGTAGATTCAGCTGTGTGAAATTGGTTTAATAAGTGACATGTGTAACAACATATTCAGTTAAAACAGTGGCTACCTTAACATTGTTTATGGACGCAGCACCAAGGGACTCTGGTCGAGCCGATAAACCCGAGTCCAATTTCACTCGAGGGTGGAAATATCAAATTTTTGTTCAAGAGTGATTCAATATTGAGTTAAGCCAGCATGTGGTTTGTATTTTGAGAAATATCTTCTTTTTTTTTTGTATTCACCAAATAGTCCAGAGGTTTGGCAGATTCACACCAGCAGTCTTATACAAAGGGCCAGAGGGCCAAGCTGCCTTTGTGGTCTGGCTGAGATAAATTGCTAGGCTTGAGGATAAAGCAGACCACTCTGAAATGTCCAGGCTTCTGTGAAAATCTTCTAAAATCGGTGACTTGCTGTGGGCGTCCTGAAGGTTGTTAGGCAGCAACTGGGCACGGGTAAGGTGGCGATGATGAGCCAACTCCAGCCAGCCACAGGCACCTTTTCCCAAAGAGACAGCCCGTTTGTTCACTAAATTAGAACCATGTTTAAAAGATGAAGGTGGTGAAGCAGTGTCAACATTCTGGAGTAGCAGGGGCCTGAAAGGGAGTTTATGTCCTCTAAGAAATAGTTTTGACTATGCCACTTAAAGGACGAGAAGTGTCATCATAGGGACTTTATATCAGAGATAATCTGTTTTTCTGTATGTATTTTTGTTTATGTTTAGGATATGAGTGTGGATCTGGTGTTTCTGTGCTCTGCTGTTTTTATTGTGGTTATTCATGCAGGAGTTATTGAGGGAAATCATTTTACAGCCAAATTATACTGTAATTATGTAGATGAGAGGCTCTTGTTTAGAGGCACAAACACAGAATGATGATGAGACCGTGGTGTGTGTGTGTGTGTGTGTGTGTGTGTGTGTGTGTGTGTGTGTGTGTGTGTGTGTGTGTGTGTGTGTGTGTGTGTGTGTGTGTGTGTGTGTGTGTGTGTGTGTGTGTGTGTGTGTGTGTGTGTGTGTGTGTGTGTGTGTGTGTGTGTGTGTGTGTCTGCAGGGCATGCTGACGGTGTCAAAAACATTTGTATCTTAGGCAGGCAAACAAACGTCTGATTAACTGATCAAGTGAAAATAAGGCCATGGCTTCCTCCCCTTCCTTCCTGTCTGCTCTTCTTGTCGCTATCATCTCTTCTAGTTTCCTTTTTTCTGAAAATGTCTTGGTTTTTTCTCCTTTTCCCAATGCACCTTACTACCCTCCTCGTCTGTGTCTTTCCCTTTTTCGTTCTATGGTCAACCTCCTCTCCTCTCCTTTCTTCTCCTCTCCTCTCCTCTCCTTTAAAGGGGGGGTTGTTTAACTATCTGTTAACACAAACATTAAAACACATTTGTCAGCACAATGAGGACAAGGGACACACACAAACTTCTAAGTATCTCCAGTGAGTGAAGTTAACACAATGAATACTTATGATGCACAATGCCAAACAGAGGTCACTTAATGCTAATGCAGAAGATGCAAGATCTAATATGTTTTTGAAATGCTGTCCCTAAATAGAGATATTTGCTGTGTGTGCTAGATCATCAGGCATCTCGTAATTATTTATGATTTACTCGTAAAAATGGTATTGATATTCGGCCCAAATCTGTGCTTCTTTTAGATTGTTTGTTTTTGCAATACATTACATGGTCTCAGATTTGTATGTCTGCTAGAGATCGTACGTTTGTAGCTTTTCTCTCAAGAGGAGATTTTGCTGAATTTGATGTTCTGAATTTAATAAGAACATCAGCCAATTCGACATGAAAAGTCAACATATGTTGACATTTAAACCAGTGGTCAGCTGCAACTAAATGACATTGAATGCTGAAAAACGTTTGCACCCAGAAACATTCAACCATCATAAAGACTTTATATCTCTATATCGAGGGGAAAAAAGGAATTATTGTGGTGTCCAGCAATGAACAGTAGATGTTACAAAACATATAAATGTTTCTGTAAACGGGGTTTAACACATTTTAAGTTTATTTCCTTTCATGTGATTTAATATCGGTTTTAAAGACATTCATATTAAACACAATGACGCAACCCGACATGCTAATTTTTTATGAGCACTCTCAAAATAGACTTATTTAAATATATTCAAAAATCTGCTTGTTCCATGTTTCCACGGTTCACTCTCTTGTCTTCCCTTTAGCGATCAGCTGTGGCCATCCAGGAAGTCCCATATATGGTCGTACGGTGGGAAACGGCTTCAACCTCAACAACGTGGTCAGCTTTGTGTGTAACCGGGGTTATGAGATGGAGGGGCCCGCGCACGCTCAGTGTCAGGCCAACCGCCAGTGGAGCCACCCGCCCCCAACGTGTAAAGGTGGGGAGAAAAGTTAAGTGTATTCCCCCCTAACCTTATTTATCCCTAACCTTTTATTACCATCCAAACTCTTATGTTTATTTACCCTTTCTGCATTTCCCAAGTTGGCTCTCCCGTGTTTTACCACTGCTCGTTTCATTTCAGCTCATAGACTCTTCATTCTTTATTTCATTTATTGAAGTTTTGAGCTAGATTTATTTCTCTACATCCCTCCTGGCTCCAGCCTCATGAATGGAAATGTCTTGATTTTGCTCACAAGTTCGTACACAAGCTATCAGCGCTCCACCAAGATTACAGAATGAAATGGCAATGAATCGTGTAAAATGTAAAATGCAACCTATTGAAAGCAAACATTACCCTGCATGGGTGCTGGATCCAGAACACACAAACCTGCCATCATCATCAAGTCATTTGCCATATTTACCATTTGAAACACCATCCTTAATTAATCTCCCTTTTTAAGCCCTTTATTATTTCACAGGCAGAAAAAAGGAAGAGAGGGAAGAGAATTGACTCTCCCTGGTTTAAGCCAAATAACACATGCTTTTTTCTCTCTGTGTACTTGTGTGTGTGTGTCCCTGTGTCTCTCTGTGTATAGTGGTCAATTGCTCTGATCCAGGTATCCCAGCCAACTCCATCCGGCAGAGTAAAATAGAGCACGGGAACTTCACCTTTGGCACTGTGGTCTTCTACGACTGTAACCCGGGGTATTACCTGTTTGGATCACCTGTTCTGTCCTGTCAGCCTACTGGACAGTGGGACAAACCTCTGCCCGAATGTATAGGTTAGTTTGATCTGTGTCCTTTTGTCTTTTTAATTTCACAATGAAAAAAGATAGTGAATTGCCTTTGCTAAGCCTGACTGCCCTTAGTCTACTGTTGCTGCACCTGTCACGTATTTAATTATACAGAAGGCACATAATGCAGTTTATAATAATAGCGGAGGCAGAGTAACCTCTCAAAACTCGTAGTTATTTTTGAACCTTGGTTTTTAAGACAGGGGTAAGACAGCAGACTTCTCATTGTTTGGCCATGGAAATAACACTCAGTTACCACCATGGACCGTGGAGCGAATGTTAACCTTTAAACCTGTTTTAATTGGACATATGGACCAGGCACCTGAACAAAATGACTCAAGGTTCTGCCAAAAATGTGGTGGGTTTAAAGTACAAGTCGAGGTGTTGATACTGTATATTTAAACAATGACATTTTGATGAATAATCATTAGTGAACTGGATATGAACAAAGAATAAAAGGGCTAGAACAGTTAGTGAAGTTAAGAAAATGTCACTTTAATTTAATACAGACTTTAAAACAAGTAAAAGACACTTTTGCATTATTCCGATATCCAAAATCGAAATCAATGTCATGAGTTCAATTAAAGATCAGTATATTGCCCTCCCTTCTATGATCCCCCTATTTCTCTGCTATATCCTCCTGGGAACCGAGGGAAAACAGTGTTTTCCAATCTTCTTTATTTTTTATTTCCTACCTATTTAGGGTTAAAAAAACGTGTGTTAGTTTCTAAATCTGTGCTTTGAGACAGCAGTTAATGCAGCTGTGTTTAGTTGAAACTAGCTGTCTATCCTCGGCCTCTCAATCCCTAACTCTCTCTCCCTCTCTTCTGATCTCTAGTTGTGGATTGCGGTCACCCCGGCTCTCCCCCTAACGGTGTGCTGAGTGGAGCTCAGTTTACATTTGGTTCAACGGTCCGATACTCTTGTCTTGGCGGGAGACAGCTGAAAGGAGAATCATCCAGGACTTGTCAGCTCAACGGGATGTGGAGTGCCCCCATGCCCTTCTGCTCTGGTAACCATTTTAATCTCTATTGAATATACCGACTTTGTAGCCCACCCTATCAGAAGGGGGAGATGGATGGATGGGAGATGTAGATGAAAGATGAGACGTCTAAAAACATGTAGACTCAACAGAGTGTGGAGCACTTCATGCAGGCCCAATTTCTTACCCCCTTGCACTCAGTGGAAGGGATAATGGGATGGATGGATGGACAGATAGAGGCTCGGCCTGGCGCGTGAAAAGAGAACATATCAGTCCCTGTCTGTTAAAAGGGTTGTGGAGCATAACCTCCCCCCCCCCCCACCCACATACTGTAAATCCACAGCCATGGACCCTTGGCCATGAGCATTTATTTTCTGGTTGTTCAATTTCAGCTATTTGTAAACCTACTTTTCTTTCTTATGATGTCTCTCAGAAATGAATGTGTTTTCTCTCTTGAGGAGAACTGAAGGATGAGAATACAAATGAACATATGGAGCGGTTCTTTAAATATTAACACGTTTAAATACTTCAGTGTTACCTGAGCAATTTCTTTAGCATAAGATGTAGTGAATCAATTTAAGACAACTTTGTTTACCGTAGTGTAGCCTCCTCCCCCCCCCCCCCCCCCCCCTGCTGGATTTACTGGATTTGCATATATCATCACTTATTGAGCTATATTGTCTATCCAGACAGCAAGCCTCCTTACCTTCCATCTTGTATAAACAAACCGTCTAACTTATATTGTTCTCAGAGGGATGGCTGGAGGCATGATTATGGCTCTCCAGGCTGAGAGGCTTCCAGCTGCTGCTTATATAACAAATTCACTGGAAACTCATTCCAGACGAGTTGACTAAAAACTCATTGTTATTTACAGTTATTGCCTGGGGCATACGCAGGGTGAGCCAGGGTAATGGTGTACATAGCAGTGATTCATGGCTTATACCTGGCAGGTTTGTACCCATGGTAGAAAAGCGACGTCAGCAATTCTGCTTGTTGACTGTTGATAAGCTAATGTTATTTCTAATGTAATGATGTTTCTGACAGCACATTTCAGAGGTAATAATACATGTATTTAAAACTAGGAGGTAGAGTGGTTACTGCGTCTAGCCCTGGAGCCTCAAATTACATTCATGTTTACTTTATTGAGAATACATTATGTAATAGAGCCGATTGTGCATTTTCTAACAGACTTAGATTTGGGATTCTACCTACACTAAAATGCTTTGAGACTTGATGTACTTGAGACAGCATTGGTTCCATGTTTTTGGTTCTGTAGTTTAACTGATAAAAGATTGATTCCACATTTTGATGCGTATGGTCATACCAGCATGATCTTTCCAATAAACTAATCTTGATTTAGAGGGAATACAGCTGGTAGATGAAATGACATTTTATAGCATTAGCTATTGGTTTTATAAAATGCTTCCATCTACTGATTATTCACAAACTTGATTCCCCAAACACTTTTCAAAAGTCAAAAACATCCCAGCTTACATTTTTTTACCTTAGTAAAATGTAATTAAAACAGACACACTACTAAAATATGTATTCATTAGGTGTTGTTTGAACAGTCTATTTTAACTGTGGTTTTAATTCAACATAATGTTCATATTTTGTATTATTGTTGTAATTAGTATTAAAAAACCCGAGAAGACATGCATGCAGCTAGCCGTTTCCCTGCTTTAAACCTTAATGCTAAGATCCCTTGCTGGCTGCTGCATCATATTTAAAGGGCAATGGTAGAATTAACCAACATGTCAGCTATTCCTTAAATCTTTAGTTACAGCTAGTTAAACAAAAATGTGATTTGAAAAGCATATTTTATAAGAAACGACATGATGTTCAAACGGTTTTATTTGCCCCCACCTTCCCTACTCGGCAGCCTCCAGTAAATCTCTGGATCAGACGAGTAAGAAGGTTATAGCCTTGTAGCTTTTATCGTTGAGCTTAATGACAACTCCTGCAAACCTGGGCAAAGGAGCTTCAGCTCAGTAACCCGTGAATTTACCCGAGTCAGAGTAGAGCCAAATACTTTCTATCGTGTGTGTGTGCGTGTGCGTGTGCGTAGATGCATGTCTGTGTGACCGATTAGTGGTTGTTCCAAAGTCACCTGAGGGAAACGACCGAGATTAGTTTTCACAATGCTCTGTCACACAGAAACCTGCACAGATACGTGCACGCCATAGACTTTGTATGACACGCACTTAGAAATACACACATGCAGCAGTGACATCAGGTAAATTGGTTGTTCTCCCCGTTGAGACCAGATACACCGGAGGCTGCACGGTGACTTTGGAGCTGTGTATGTGTGAGCTTCCATTGCAGTTGTATAGGAGGTAACATCTCTAAAGATGCCATTTTTTGTGTGTTTGGGCTCCGTTTTAGATCCCAATATTCACATAGAAAACCTCCATCTTGCTGGAGACGATTTTCTCACATTTCTGAGCTTTTAAAGAATCCTGAGACAAAGCGGTAAAGGCTTATTTATTTTCACTTGAAAAAATCCTGAAGCATTGCACAAGATGTTATGTCATTATGAGTTGTGTCTGAAGTATGTGTAAGCTCAATTTGGCAACAAGCCTCTAGATGTATGCAGTAAAGCACCAACCGAGCCAGTGTGAAATTAGGTTATTTGTCAAGAGTATGAGGGTAATCACAAAAACATTGCACATACATTTGGGGAATTCTTCGGGTGGCTGTTTATCACACCACCTACTTTGTTGCACACCTTGAATTATGGTCAATAATGGATGAGGATGGTGTGAGGAAATTTAAAATCACTGTAAAAATGATAAAATATTCATTCTGCGTTCTCAGAGCTATCCAAAACGATCTAATTAGTCAGGCTTTGACGTTAATTATATGCACATATAAACCGATGCATATGTTAGACTATTAACAAAATGGGAAATGGTGACTAGGAATGTTTGGCTTGTACATGCAGGTGACAATGTGTGTGTGAAAGTGTGTGGGTGTTCCCAGGAGCACGCTCTGTCTGTCAGGCAGAATTTGCTGACCAGGCGACTCGGCAAGGGCAGAGTAAGAATCACTCACACATACAGTGCGTCCCAACCAGCAGCACACACACACACACACACACACACACACACACACACACACACACACACACACACACACACACACACACACACACACACACACACACACACACACACACACACACACACACACACACACACACACACACACACACACACACACACACACACACACACACACACATTCCCTCTTAAGGCACACATATGCCTCTTGTCACCAACATATGTGTGTCGTCCACAGGAAATTGTACCCATGCTATACTCAAGTCTCCTGAGAATGTGATTCATATTAAAACAAAGCAAATATTCACCTCATTTTGTTGAGTTCACTTTAAAAACAATTATTGTTATTTTGCGTCTTTTTAATCTTCTGTGTTTTTGCGTGGGATTTAAAATGTGATAATTCAAAAGTAATTTGAAGGTTTGAAATACATTCTTGGTTATGTAAAGTGTTGTAGTTTTGAAGTCGGAGACCTAACTCTGTCTTCTCGTTGCTCTCCCTGTAGGCGACACAACGGGTTCCTGCGGCGATCCCGGCATTCCCTCCCAGGGTTCCAGGGAACAAACGGATTTCAAGATCCGTTCCAAGGTTTACTTCAGCTGCACAGAGGGCTACGATCTGATTGGTTCTTCAGAACGGATGTGCTTCCCTAATGGGACGTGGTCTGGCACACAGCCCTTCTGTAAACGTAGGAAGATAATTGTACTTAATCTCAACACATAATAACAGTCTGACACTGATCCAGTCTAAAGATCCACCCATGTACTGCACAGTCAGTTTATATGAGCATATTCATAGAGCTGGAACTCACTGAGATGCTCTTTTCTCTCTCATTCTTTAATTTTTCCCCCAGCTGTCCAGTGTGGTAACCCTGGCACTCCCAGTAATGGCCGGGTCTTTCGTTTGGATGGAACAACGTTTTCTCACTCGGTCATCTACTCCTGTATGGAGGGCTACCTGCTCAGCGGCGCCACCACCAGGCTGTGTCAGGCCAACGGGACCTGGTCAGGATCGCAGCCCAACTGCACCAGTGAGTAACCTGATGGATGATTACAGTGGTGGAAAGCTTTCCCAAGTTTTCTTGAGTATATTCACTTCCGACAACTTTATATTTTTACTTCACTACAATTTTAGGAAAATATGCAATTTCTTACTCCACTACAATTACATGTATCTGGTTAAGATCATTATCAGATAAAAAATATCCATACTATTCATGCTAAGTAAAAACCCTATTTCTCAAAACGTGTTGATTATTACGTTTTTAAGTAGCACAATCTTATGCATTTGCAGCAGTAGTATGCAATATACACTTAATCAGCAGTTATATTTAAACAAAAACATGTTAGATATATATAAATAATAGTAAAACCGTATTTTCTTTATAATACTAACATCCCTTTACTAAGTAAGATTCCTAAGGCAGGACGTTTAATTGTAGTTGAGTTTTATCACAGTGTGGGATTAGTACTTTGACTAGTGGATCTGAATACTTTTTCCACGACTTATAAATCAGTTTGAACATAGTTGAAATACCTGACACTCAGAGTAAATGGAGTTTTCTGCATTACATTTTTAGCAAAAGCTTTTTTTCTAAATAAACTCAAATTCAAAGTGATTTTAGGCTAAAGCGCAAACTGTCAGCTTTATGTATTACTTACTATATATTATCAGGGTATTAAATCCTTCAAGTAATAAATAAACACCACCAAACTCCTGATGTGTGATTATAAGGTCTGCTCCCCAGCCTTTAGGGACCCTATTTCATGCCCAGATTTAAATTATTCTGCGACAGGTTGGCTTCTGAGTAATGAAATCAGCCTCAAATGTTCATGCTCCTGCTACAGACTTTATAGAGTTACATGAATAACCTTGATTGTTGTTTACTTTAGCTAATTTGCTTTTTGAACTCTGTAAATAACCATAAAATATAACGTTCAGCTCCCATAAGAAATGTGACCTGGCCATGGTTGAACAAGTGTTAATCAGTGCTGCATGTTACACAGACTACAAAATCTGAATGTAAAGTTGCGTATAACAACAACGATTAACATGAACTTTAGTTGGTAACAAAATACCTCGTTAAACACAATTCTACATTGTGTCTAAAGGTAAACTTCACCTAGCTCTGGACCCAACATGAACAACAGTATTTAAATGTTGAAATGTTTCTCTGACAATTGAAATACACAGCAGTAAGGATAAGAGAGATAAAAATGCTGAGAAACCACATCTCTTTACGATGGGTTCCTGGCAAGAAACTATGTTTTTTAAGAATCCCCTGACTTTAAGGATATAGCCTTTTACAGTACATTACAATAAATCTATTTACAGCCATGACATTATCTGAGGTGGGTAAAAGCATTTAAAGTGCCTCTTAGACCGTGAAGGACGAAGCGTTATAAGTATAGTTTGGGGAATCCTAATGCTCCTTAAAACAGTCCCAGGACAACTGCAGCAATTTTACACATCTGTGTTGTTTCATTCACGAGAAGGAAAGCCTATAACTGAATCTCAAAGATCCTCTACAGTGTGATTTAACTGTAGAAACGGAAAATTACACAACTAAGTAAACATGTAATTAGGTATAGTTAATAAAGATAAATATGCAGTTCTAGTGAAGTCATCCCTTGGATCACCGGCACTTTTTTAAGACCAGATTAAATATGTTTACAATTAAAGACTTAAAGGTGGGGTAGGTAATTTTGGAGAAAAGAGTTAGAGTGCGCTAGAATTTGAAAATACACAGGCGGAACAAATCAGCCACTTCCTTACAGAGCCCCTCCTCCAACACACACGAACGCGCACATGACCAATGAGGGCACGAGATAAGTTTGTGCACAGATGGAAGGCTGACAGGCAGGTAGGCTATCCAGTTATTTTAGCCGGGCCGGCTCAAATGATTGGTCGTGCTTTTTACAGTACTACGGCTTCCACAGATGACATTTTGTTATGGATTTGTTGTCAAAGCACTTAAGATATTCATTGCTATCGGGATGTAAGAGCATTCCATGGAATATAACAAAAAGTGTATCTCGAGCCGGTTTCTCAAACGTACCTACCCCACCTTTAATCAAAAGCTAGGACATTCTGATATATTTATCAGAGGGTCCTTTCTAGGACTACACATATTTTTAAAACAGTGATAAAACGATTGCAAACTACAAAAACATGAACAACTGACTCCTTTTCCCTTTTGTCAGTCGACAGTATCCTTTTTCTGTTCACTTAATTACATCTCCTCTGCTTTATTTTCCCTCCCTCTTTATCACTCCTTCTATTTCAATCACGCATGTAGGAGTTTTATGCAAAGTGAATACTAAATTGTCTTGTCATAGCATAAACTGTTAAGCAATCTACGTCTTCATCCAATTTCTTCCTCTCCTATCCCACTTGTCCGTCTCCCTAGTGATAAACTGCGGGGATCCTGGTGTGCCTGCTAGTGGTCTTCGCTATGGAGAGGACTTTACGATTGGTCAGAATATTTCCTTCCAGTGCCAACCAGGATACATGATGGAGGAGGACGGGTCCCCTTTGAGGACATGCACCAACAATGGGACCTGGAGTGGGATTATGCCTATGTGTACAGGTAAATTGTTAATGAAACCACTTGAAGCTTGGGTAGATCATTTATTTTAAAGTATATCTAGTATTATTTCTAGTATATAAAATGTCTCATGTTTACAGCTATCACATGGTATGTAACAACATGGTTGCTCCAAATCCAACTAAACACTTGTATCTAAAGACAAACACGGCAGATTCTGCTCTCCTCCCAGACGGGACCTCCTAAGAAAATCAAGATATCTAAACAAAGAGCCACGTGTAACATCTTGTAATTGCCTTGATTACTTTAAACTGTATCTGTTATTGAATTTGATTAAGTCTCATGTGGCATGAAAATTAAATCAGTACATTGTAATGGCTCTGAAATTATAAACTCAATTCCAAATCAGTTGTTGAAATCAGTGATCCAATCAATGAGTCTCTATCTCTCTCTGTAAAGCCATCCCTCAATTTCCACGACAGTCACTTTTCACCTGCAGCTGCTAAAAACTGGCACCTTTTTTTTTTTTTCGTTTCTTTCCTAACACCTCCCTTTCTCTCCCCCTATCCCTCCCTCTCACACAGCTGTGACCTGCCCGGCCCCCCCTACCATCAGTAACGGGGTACTGCAGGGCAGTGACTTTGAATGGGGGAGCAGTGTGAGCTACAGCTGCTCTCCAGGATACGAGCTCTCGTTCCCAGCCGTCCTGACCTGCGTGGCCAATGGCACCTGGAGCGGCATGCTACCACAGTGCTTACGTAAGAACACACACACACACACCTACAAATATGCCAGCACTCACACTGCCTGTCAGTATTCTTTCCCAGTCATTAGTTACAGTTGGAAACAAAATCTACATTTGTCCTTGAGCTACATTGTGTTTATTTGCAAGGTACGCACCACATAGTAAAATGGGATTGTGTGTGTGTTTGTTTCTGTGTGTGTGTGTGTGTGTGTGTGTGTGTGTGTGTGTGTGTGTGTGTGTGTGTGTGTGTGTGTGTGTGTACAGCCAAGTTTTGTGGGGACCCAGGTACCGCAGTCGGAGGCTTCAAAGAGGGACGAAGTTTCATCTATCAATCAGAAGTCTTGTTCAGTTGTTCTCCACCTCTCCTTCTGGTGGGAACAGCAACCAGACAATGTGAAAGTGACGGTTCCTGGAGCGGCACGCAGCCTCGCTGTATCGGTAATTTGTATTCAATTATATTCACTTGATGAGCAAACAAAACCGAGAATATACAATTCAGGGAGTCCTTCCTTTAAACTAGAGAATCTCATGCTCATAAGGTATTAGTTTTTATCATACTTATATCAACTTTCTTTCCCTACTTGGCCAAAATATCAGTTTGAGTTTCCCCTCGTTTTTCACATTTTTCATTTTCAAACTCAACTGCAAGTACTGATGTTTAAAATGACTTTGGATCTTGTAACATGTGGCTACACTACCATAACTTTGTAAACATATATAATTGGCAACATATTTAATTTAAATGCATTACTCTGACCAGACATGAAATGCCATTTTTTGGAAACTTTTCAATAGGTCTTACTCAACCAAATTAAAATATGAAAGTCAAATCTTCAGCACTTTTTTTCTGAATACATTTATTAGTTAAGAAAATTCCCCTTAGGATGCAGTGCAGCCAAGTCTCCAACTTGTTTAAAATACAGTACCAAGGCTCTTAACCTCCACCAAAAAATTATTAAAGAAATTACTGATGACTTTTTAATAGTTCCTGACTATATCATCAATCATTCACCCTCACATAATCTGGAGCGCAGCCTGGTATCCTCAGGCTGGGGTTTCTGACCCACTTCAAAGTCTGGGTTAATATTAAAATGCAGCGGTAGTAAATCTTAAAATGATATTTTATTTTAAAGAAAATTAATACAGTATTATGTTCAAAAATATTCAGTGAGTAATTTAAAAAGTATGGATCTTATATAGGAACCCTTTTTCAGAAATGAAAGAGACAGTCTTTGCTCGTAAGCAAGGAGGGAATATGCTCTGTACCATGCAATATTCAGTGAAAAGGTGTCCAAAAAAGGGCATCCACAGGTGACATAAAACAAGCTGCTGCTATCCAGGAAATATAAAAAATGGATATTCAGAACACATTACAAATAGTCCCACTGGGTCACTTCATCGCCACGTGATGTTTAGAGCACCACTTCACATGTCTGACTCCGAGCAGGTGCTTAAACATCAAGTATGGTGATGAATTGTAATAAATGAGAGCTTTTGTAATGCGAACAGACACTTGGCTCTTTGTTCCTTCATAGCGCTAGATGGGGCATGCTAACTCTATAGCTAGTATAAAGGCGAATGCTCCTTGTGAAATCGACTATCTAAAAATAGAAGGCTCCCTCTGAAGTGTTACTCCACTGATGTAAAGACTTAATCTATAGCGACTGCAGCAGAAGAAGTTACAGCATGCTCAGGGAAATCTTCCAGTTGTATACCATGACTTCTTCTCAAGACTGTGAAACAAACACGAGCATACACACAAACATCCCAGTGTTTTGTGATGGAAGTGAATGTGATGTCCGCTGTTGGGCTTTGTGTGTGTGTGCTGGGGTGATTTATTAGTGTGTGATTGCAGCTGTATGTTAGTGTGTGATGTATATTACGATGTGAGAGAAACAGAATGAGTTTTGAGCCCAAGCAGCCTGCTCTTTAAATAAGGAAGAAGAAGGGGGGCAGCGGAGTGGAGGGGGGGAGAGAGAGATACAGTGACATGTAAAGATAAAAGATTGGGGAAGAGAGCAGTTAGAGAAAGAAGGGGAGAGAGAGAGAGGGAGGGAGAGAGGTACAGGAAGAGAGAGCGGGGTAAAGGCGGGGGTAAGAGAGAGAGGAGTGGGGAGTGAATCTGTCATTTCGGAAGCTGTATTGAATCGAGCTCTGCGTCAGGATGTGCTCTACATGCTGATGTGCATGCCCCACACACACTCTCTTTCTCTCTCTCACACACACACACACACACACACACACACACTCAGAGCTGGCCCCGCTTCGTTTTCTGATAATGCACTACTGCCCCCTGCTGTCCTGCCGGGGTACATACCCTACAGTTACCATGACAACAGAGAGGAGAGGGAAGTAGAGTTGAGGGAGGGCATATAAAGCTTCTGCTAATTTGTCTTTCTTTTAGATTTTTTGTGTGTAATTACTTCCACGCCTGTTCCGTTCCTTTCAGAACCGACCAAAACCAGCTGTGATAACCCGGGGACGCCACGCTACGGATCCTTAAACCGGACCTTCGGTTTCAAGGTAACATACCCCTTCTAGACAGATAACTAACTCCAGCTACCTTCCCATACAAGTGGTTGACTTTTAAACTAATATAGAAGCTGACATTGTGCCTCCTAGGATAAGGAAATGGAGCTTAGCATCTATTGTATCGCAAAGAAAGAAAAGGAGCAGGAGAGAGGCAGACAGGAGATGAAACGGACATCTTTGGAAACTGTTGCTCAGACAAAACAAGACATTTAAATATGTTAACTTGGATATGCAAATATGTCAAACTTGATTAATGGGGAAGGTAGATCGCAGATGAATCAATTATGAAACTAATTGTTGGAATGGCCTTTTACAACCAGGCAAACGAAGGGACAGCTACCACGCTGCTACATAGAGGTGGCAAAATATCTCATGACAGGAGGGGGGGAGAGGGTGGACACAAATGTGAGATGTTTTGATTACATGACTAACATTTTGAACTTGGAAGTCTATCAGGATGCCACATGATGCTGATCTTTTCCTCCCTTCATTTTAAACGTTAATACTATACTTATATATGTTAAAAGAGTGATGGTTGCGGTCATTATTCTTCCTGTCCCTTACTGCGTTTAAGTCACTGTAAAAGATGAGGGAGGGATGATTCACAGTACAGTTCTGAAGAGAAAAAAGGCTTTCTAAAGTTCAGCCAAGCTTTCCCCTTCACTGAGGCTCATCAAGGAGAGAAACAAGAAACAAAAAAGAAATGCCAACAAAATAACCAGAGCATCCTTGCTTCGGCTGAACTCTGAAATATAGGAATGGACTGAATGAGCACTTTATTTATCCCCATATGTATAACAGTATAATGATAATATAAAGATCATTACAGCAAACTACATTTCAACCTAATTACTAATGTGCATATAGTCATAAGATGGGTAATTTACAAATGTATCTATCCGATTAAATGAAATCTTTGTAGTATTCCATTATTTAAATTGTATCACTTTAGTCCTGTTTGTGTTGTCATCCCTCTCCCTCTCCATCCCCTCTCCCCCCTCTCTCCCTCTCTTTCCAGGTGGGGAACGTGGTGTCGTTCCAGTGCCAGCCGGGTCATTTGATTCAGGGCTCTTCCTCTAGAACCTGCCAGCCTGATCTGATGTGGACCGGTTTTCAACCTGAGTGCATACGTAGGAAACATTCATCCTATCATCCTGTCAACCTATCGCCCATCCATCCCCTGTCCGTCAGACTCTTAACTCCAGTGCACAAATCTCCTCTCCCCCCTACAGCCCACGCCTGCAAACAGCCGGAGAGCCCGCTCCATGTGGACGTGGTGGGGATGGACCTGTCTGGTTTTGGCTACACCTTGGTGTACAGCTGTCAGCATGGCTACTTCCTGGCAGGAGGTTCTGAGCACAGAGTCTGCAAGAACGACGGCACCTGGACGGGAAAGATGCCTATATGTCGAGGTAAGGAATAGAAACCAATGTATGACTTGAATGTGTATGTTTTTGTCTTTCTGGTGGGTTGTTCTGGAAAAACTAAGTATGAGTGAACAGGTAGTGAACACTACTTCTATTCTATTTTATTGTATTACTTGGGCCTGGGACCTAAGATTTTCATCGACATAACTACACTCTCGCTATGTACGAATGACAATAAAAGCCTTGAATCTTGAGGTAGGAGCATTTAGTGCGTCTTGCTCAAGGACACTTTATCAGCATGCAAACTGGGGCAAACCGGCCATCTGGAGAAGGGTGAGATTAGCTCAAAGATAAAACAATATCCCATGGTGTTTCACTATTAGATTAGCCTTAATTACATTTATTAGGTAGAGCGATGGAAGACTGATTTTATTGTTAGGGTATTCTAATTCAAATTACCAACATTTGTTGTCATGTATCTACTGTACACTTAAATTATTCGACGAAGTCCTAAAAAAAGCTAAAATACTCTAAAAAATAAAATAAAGTAGTATATCTTTTCTGTTACCACTTTTCATGTGAAATGGGATCAGTCTGACTGACATTTACAGGCATGTGTTAACAATAGCAGGCATTCTGCTATTGTTTTATTATAGTCCTACAGTGCCTTATTGTAAGTGCCCAATGACCTTTTATGACCTCATACACTTGCATAGGGTTTTCACCATAAGGGAGAACTCAGACGACATCAATACTTGCCAAAACCATTTATCCATAATGTGTTTTTAGTCGCGGTTCTGAAGCTTTCAATCGTATCCCACAATCTCCACCAGCAGATGGAGTTTGCTGACCTGCAATTTCAGATATGTCCACTCTTCTGAGCACTTTAAGGACTTCTCGTCCCCATTAGCCTGAAAGTGGCTCTCTGACTCTGAAAACGGTTGTAGACAAAACAATCTCACCACAAGGCCCATTTAGTTTGTCTCCATTAACACTATTGGAAAAAAGGGACATTCCCTAAGATGTAAAAGTTATGTTAATGTGTGTTTTTTTTAGGCATTAGTAGAGCTTCTGTCTTTTTTATCAAGACATGCTAACAGAGGAAGTTGTGCAAGGGAACAATTCAAACTTCAGCTTTGAAATCACTCACCATGTCTGCCACCTTGTTGCCCCGTGGTAGCCTTTAAAATTAGAGCTTTCTCTGATCCAATTTGAGATTCTAGGACAAATACTCTCTCCTGCTTGCCTTTACTTGTTGGCAACAATGGCTGCATGTTGAAGTGATGGTAGGAGCAGCCCTGAATAGTCAAAAGTGTCTTAAGGCCATTCTTAAAAGGATCCAATATGCACAACAGTTATTGGTCATGAACTCTATTTGCAGTGTCTATAAAGAATCGTTAAAGAGGCTTATCTTGGAGGACCCTGACACTTGTCACTTATTACGAACATGTGTGAGTAATAGTAGGCAACGCTGCATTCTAATGTGGTGTTCTGATACTATTAAGTGTGATTTCCCCTGCATGATGGCCTAAGATATCATATCAAGAGTCAGACTGATAACTTTGAATATATCAACATGCTTTGTCCCACCATTCTGCTCGTGTTTTATTTGGACATTGTCTGTAACCCTCTGTCTCTCCTGTGTGTGCAGCTGGGGAGAAGAAGAAGCCTGTAAAACCAGCAACAGGAACTCCAAGCCCCAAACTAAACGGTCAGTTCTATCCCTTTATTTTATTTTCCAGAATAGTCCTGTAATTCTTTGTCTATTCTTGACTTTTCTTATCCGTTTCTATTTTGGTCGGCTTTAGTTTGGTCTTGTCTTCTATACTTTAATAGATTCTGCTCTGCTCCTGTCCAACTTTGCTCTGCTCTGTTCCACACTGTTGTTCTTTTTGAGTTTTCGTCGATGTTATTGTACTTCAGGGCTTTCCATCATGGGTCTAAATAATTTATGTTTCCTCAACACCCATAGAAAGAAGAATGAACTATGGTGATGATCTGCTTTTCTCTGTATCGCTGTTTTGTTCAGTGCTCTATATTTCAGATCTGCTCTGTTGTTATCTGTTCTGTTCTGTTGTAATTTAATTACTCTTTGATTTGTATTGCAACCTACAGCTACTATATGCACAAGGGCTGTAATACTCAAACAAGGAAGCAACCTTTACATCTGAGGAATGATTCAGCTTAAGCCACGCATTCATTGTTGTTTCTTATTGCATGTACTGTACTATATATGGATATAGGGTTATAGGCGACCTGAACTTTATATATTTACTAATCAAAAAGCACTTAAGCAAATAATAGAAAAAGGGGAAATGTGGTCCTATGTGTATTTTTCTGCAACATTATTACTTGATTGAACTAAATTGGATAACATCAAAGACCTCAGCCCTCTGATTACAAGCAGTTGCGTCTTATTTCGTTTAATGAATATACAGCTCAAGCATCTAATCATCATTTAATCAATTATTTTCTTAAGTTTTGAGAATTTAAATTGTTATAAACAAAGTCAAACAATCAAATATAAGCTTTAAAAAAGACATGACCTATGTTTGTCTTTTTGTTTCTCTTTCGTGTTCATACTGTTTTGTTTGAATTTACCCTGTTCTGTTATATTCTAATCTGTTTGGTTATTAATCAGATAGTACAGGTCCTTGATTATCATTGGCTTGGGTGCGTTCAAAGCCATTGTAAAATACTCTGTAAACACATGCTGTACCTGGGCCGCATTACATAAGTGTTACCTTGTGAACAAATTGTTTCAAATATCAGATTATGTTGTGAATCACAGGTTTCTGGGTGGACTTGTAGTGGTAAAAAGAGATGGAGAGGATAAAGGACGAGGTAAATAACAAAAGGAGACACACTGAAATTACTGAGGGAGAAATGAAAGGGCTGCAAAAGTAAATCAAAAAGCTCGAACTGTTAAACGTGATCTGTTAACGGCTTTGAAATCTGGTGTGTAGAGAAACACCTGGCTATTGATTTCAATGAGCGCTAACAAAGGAAAGTTGAACCCTATGGTTCAGCAGTTAGGGGTTAACAAGCGAGAAACGCTGCACAAATATCCTCACTTCTGTCACCTCGTAATTAAAACCTGTACTAGCAAAGAGGAGTGCTAACATTAGGGAACACTGATTTCAAATGTGCACAATTAATAGCGATAAACAGCTGAATCACCCCAGTCACGAGTGCTTTCCACTGTTCTGATAGATGTCGCTGAAGAACAACATGGCATGGCTGAAGAATCATTTAAGTTCTCCAAAAATATTAACATATCTCTTGCTGTGTGTTTCTATCTACATATATTTAGTAACCATCTTGTGAAAGCAACACGCCCTGGGGTTTAATCTGTCCCGTTTGATACTCTTCTCTCCTATAGTTCCAGATGACGTCTTTGCTCCTAACTACATATGGAAAGGCTCCTATAATTACCGTGGGCGGAAGCAGCCGATGACTCTGAGCATCACCAGCTTCAACTCCACCACAGGGAGAGTCAACGTCTCCCTTAGCAACGGAAACATGGAACTGCTCCTATCAGGCATGTCTGCAAATGGATAATTAATTATACTAATTAACTCCACACTGTTCATTCAGTACAGCAACACGGGAGATGACATGACAGGACACGTCATAGTCATAATGTATGTCGTGATAATGCTGCAGTACATCATTATTTATCCATTGGTGACACACTAAATAATACACATGTAGCTTTCGGTTTAAATGCAGCTTCAAACATGTAAACATCATATAAGACTATTCATATCATTTATTCTGTGCCTGGCTTTCTCTTCTTTCCCAGAGCTACCAAGCTTCTTTTTAATTTTGTTTCTGTATTCCAACCGAAACTGACACATGCACTTTTTCACACACAGACCTCCCAGGGTCCTACAACAGTGTCTGCAGGGGGTTAAGACCCTATTAAAACACAAATCCTCTTGAAGCAAGAATTGCTTCTTGGAGTGAGCAGAGAGCACAAACACCACATCACAAAACCGTGCAGCTATTCCACTTTTAACATTCATCTTCTGGCCTGAAGGAGCAGCTTTACTGTTGATCAATAACAGCTAAAGCTGCACTCACACAGGCACAAAAGGCCAGGGCCCCCGTTGCATAAAATGTGAATGTTTTTCTTCTTAAAGGAATACTTCATCATTAAAATGAACATTTGTATCTCAATAACTCCGCCTGTGTTACCTTCAATTCTATAAGAACGCTTTTTTCCCCCTATTGTGATGGAGAATCCAAAAATTGAGGACATTTTTGTTCGAGTGAAGTAAATAGGGGCCAGATTTAACAATAGCAAAACGATATCGAAACATCTGTTTACAAACTCTCACTCTACGTGTGCAGGATAAAAGTTGTGTTTATCCAGTTGTGTGTTCACTACTTCCCAAGCTCAGGCGTACTATCCATCCAGACTCCTGAACCAGCATGAGACTGTAATGGTGGAAGTGTATTACATTTTTTGGGGCAAAAATGAATGTGTTTGTAAGCAGTGAACATACAACTGGATAAATACGACTTACGTTATACTGCACAACTAGTGTGACAGTTCATAAATGGATGTTTTAATATAGTTAGCATATGGTAAACATGGCCTCCATTTATTTTAATTAAGCACTATATTTGGCAGAACATGCTGTCAACATTATGCTGTGTCCCAGATTTCATAATTATTATAAATTAGAAAATTATAATTTTCAGCTTCATTTAGATAGCTTTTACATAAAATATGTATCTTTTATCAGATAAGATAAGATAGTACTTTATTGATCCCAATTTGGGAAATGTTTGTGTTGCAGCAGCATAAAAAGACATGGCATTGTACAATAACAATTAAAAGAGAAGAAATAAACAAGAAAGTAGAAAATATACATGTTGAATTTACAAATTAACAATAACAAGATATAAAGCAAGGTATTATATTTACATAAGTATGTGACAGATAGAATATTAAATATTAAACTGAATAGATAAATGTAAAATGTACAGTGTGATTTTATTCCAATTTATGTGAACAAGGGAAAGAATACACATAATCAGAGCGGTCTAACTACAGTATATGTAATCCATTGTATTCCTGTTAAACATGTGCTGTATTGAAACCAGTTGTTCTTTGTGTCCCTGCAGGAGTGTACAAGGCTGCGGAGGCCCGGCTGCTGCTGCTGATGTACCAGGTGAACCACGCCAACCAGGGGAACCAGCTCAAAGACTCAGCCGTCTCTCCAGCTAAAATCATCGACGACTCCTGGACCATGGATGGATTTGTAAGTCTCAGAGGAAACAAAGCAATCGACTTAATTAGATTCAGTTGAGCTAGATGAATTTAGAGGGGTTAAAACAAAATGTCAAATGAGAAATGCTTCTTATTGTAGTTAATCAAAAACACAAGACAAGCCGTTTGAGTGTAACAACGCCCTTTTGTAAAGGCATTTAACTGAAGTGCTTTTATTAATTTTATTAGGCATGTTCAGCCCACTCAGTGACATTTCAGTGCTTCATACTTTTTAATTTAAGCAAATGTAATGGTATTTGTCAAACTATATATCGAATAATTAAATGAATAAACTTTCAGAAATATGTGCACATGTTTCTATGTTGATTTAAACACAACATGTAACTTACATTTCCTCCTCATATTACTAAACAGCAGTGGTTCTGAAGCAGTTGTACGTGAAGGAGTTTAGGGGGTCCCCAGAAAATGAGCAATCATTTTTTGTAACTATTTAATTGAATATAGAAGTGACTTAGTGGCACAAGAGTGACTTTTCTGATCATAGGTTTCTATTCCTTCAGGGTCATTTTCTCATCTCCGGTTCAAAAGTACAGATTCCTGGTCTTATTCATGTCAACACTCACATTTTTTAGATGGAAGTCCCTAGAGCATAATCTTAACAAAAAAGTCAATTTCAAGTGTCCTTGACACAAAAAAGTTTGAGAACCACTATTTGTGTTGTAATCGCTTTTCTGTCGCTCCTCTCTTCCCCTCAGGTTTCAGCAGAGCCGGATGGTTCCAGTTACGTATTCCAGGGTTTCATTCAGGGAAAAGACTACGGACAGTTTGGACTGCAAAGACTGGGTAATTCTCTGAGCTTCACATAATCAATGTGTTTCTTATAAATCAATGTGGTAAAGGGTAATTGTAGAAACTCTGATGAACTCCTTACAAGAACCTCACTAATGGAGAAAGTGATCAGGGAGTTTCTCTGCTGGCGACACAGACCTTATAGCTCACGCCAAGTCAGCCTCAATTAACCTTTGACTCCATTATCCTGTGTCCAAAGATCACTACCTTCTTCATCAAATACAGTTGAGAGCAGTCACTTACTGTTTTCTGAGCTCATCTGCACTGATCCCAGAACAGACTAGCCAAAAACTAAAGATTTAGGGATGGTAACACACTTACCAATATCTGACCACTCCTACAACCCATGGACATCCTGCAAATGTTAGAAATTGTAATCATGCAACTAATAATCACTAAATCAATTAATATCGTAAGTTTTGAGAATTACAATTGTCATAAACAAAGTCAAGCTATAAAAAAGACATGACCTATGTTTGTCTTTTTAGTCACTTTTATTTTAATTCTGTTTTGTTTTAATCTACACTGTTCTATTATTTTCTAATCTGTTATTAATCAGATAGTACAGGTCCTTGATTATCATTGGCTTGGGTGCGTTCAAAGCCATTGTAAAATACTCTGTAAACACATGCTGTACCTGGGCCGCATTACATAAGTGTTACCTTGTGAACAAATTGTTTCAAATATCAGATTATGTTGTGAATCACAGGTTTCTGGGTGGACTTGTAGTGGTAAAAAGAGATGGAGAGGATAAAGGACGAGGTAAATAACAAAAGGAGACACACTGAAATTACTGAGGGAGATATTAAAGGGCTGCAAAAGTAAATCAAAAAGCTAGAACTGTTACACTCACTATGTGATCTGTTAACGGTTTTCAAATCTGGTGTGCAGAGAAAAACCTGGCTATTGATTTTAATGAAAGCTAAAACAGGAAAGAATTTCTAAGAATACTTTTATTTTAAATGTGGAACACCACTTAAAATCACATTTTGATTATTTTAAAGCAATTGCTCTTATATATATATATATATATTGTCTTTTAATCTAACTGTGTGTTTCCCTGTATGTCTCAGGTCTGAATATGTCCGAGAGTCAGAACTCGCCCCCCCCTCAGCTCGGTACCAACAGCAGTTCTGTGGCTATCGCTATTCTGGTGCCTTTCTTCGCTCTCATATTTACCGGCTTTGGCTTCTATCTCTACAAACAAAGGTATCTGCTTGTGTATTTCTGTTGAACTTCAGCAGTATAAACTAAGACGTTTCTGTCACTGCCTAGTTATTTCACCCCTTGTTTTTCCTTTTTGTCATTCAGAAATGTGGAAAGGCTTTGTTAACATTTTAAGAAGCTGTCTGATTCATGAAAACAGTGGCTGCCTCAGTGATTCGGTTGTTGGGAGTCATTGTCTACTGCAATCTGTGCAGCAAAACAATTCTGTTTAGGAACTGTTAAATTGGATTTTTCAGAGATATGATTTAAGCACAATGGCTGGCGTTCGCATTGTTAACAGATGCAAATAACTTCTGTTCTGCTGTTAATATCTGAAGGAAAAGCCTGCTGAAGGAATTAGTTTTGGATGGGCTGATTGGGATCTCTCTAGGCTTCCTAAAAAGCTCAACACTCTCTAATCCTTCTTAAAGCTTGTTTACTAATGCCTCTACTCCCAACACTGCATTCACTATTGTCCACTGTTGTGTTCATATTAATAGGCAATTAGAACTAATTTCAACTCTTTAATGGTGGTATTTATAATTTGTTTCTATGTTTTTCCACAGAACCACACCAAAAACACAGTACACAGGGTGCTCAGTCCACGAAAACAACAACGGCCAGGCTGCCTTCGAGAACCCGATGTACAACACCAACGCCAAGGCTGTGGAGGGGAAGGCTGTTAGATTCGATCCCAATCTAAATACTGTCTGCACCATGGTCTGAGGATTGATTATCCTCACTTGAACTCCATGACTTATATACCTAATGGGACCACATGGGTGCGAGGCTATGGGAGGGAAAAGCCCTACGCTTCGACTCAGACCTCGACACAGCACGGTCTATACATTGATTACAAAAGACCTTCTGAAACCCCAAGCAGAGGGAAAACTGGCCACATGAAACTAAAACTAAGCGATGGCTCTTTTTATTTACAGCTTTCCGTATCCACAGATGAAATCTAAACAAATACAAAATGTCTGCTGCCTTCGATGGATGCAACATTACATTACATGTTACTTGTTAGACGCTTTTATCCAAAGCGACTTACATACTCAATACTGTGGGCAATCCCCACAGGAGCAATCTGGGGTGAAGTGTCTTGCCCAGGGACACAACGACATGCTGACTGCAGTGGGGTTTGAACCTGTGCTCCCCTGATCCGAACACCAACGCACTAATTCACTGCGCCACACGCCTCCGTACACCACACAACCAGAGTAAACTCACAGCTAAAGAGGAAGATGAAACCCAACCGGAAAACTAAACCGACTATTATCCAGGACTCAGCTGGTCATAGATAGTTTATCATTTGATTCTCAACCGGGCACAGCCATTACATTTCAACCTCCTATTTAACCCGCTCCCTGTCCAGTAGTAATGATTACGCCATGACCTGATGTCGGTTATCATGACACCGTAACCCGACGCTGACTTGTATTCAGCGCAGAGCTTCGAAAAGAAAGACCCTCTGTGACCCGGTGAGAGGGAGGGTACACCATCAGCGCTCTGGCCATGGTTTTACATCACACAGAAAAACTGCACTTCAAAAAAGGGTTGATTTAATTTGTACCAGCTGAACTGAACCATTTCTTACTGTGAGGAACAAAGAAGCAAAACATCCACAGATGGCAGAGTGTGACACAAAGTCCCAGAAGACACTGTGAAGCAAAGAAAACTGTTTCTAAACATCTGGGTTCATAACTGACAGTCAGACACTGTCACCAGCAGACCATCAGTTAAACACACTGAGATGTTACCAACCACACTAGCAACCAAACAGGATAACCTCCTGTCTCCATGACAACAAGAGGCTGGTATCGCCCGTCTTTTTTTTCTATGAAAGCAGACTCTCAAACGGCTAATGCTAGCAGACAGTAGCTAAAGTTGCTTTGAAAACTCCTAGGCAAAGGATAAGGGCAGCCCTGGAGACCGAGCTATAATCCTAACTGAACTGGGATTAGAGGGAAAAGCAGAATTTAAAGGAGAGCAAGCACTAAAAGAAGAGAAGAGACTGACTCGTCTAATGGATAAACTGCTCCTTCACATCCAAGAGAGGATGCCGAGGAGACGGAGACAACCTCTTCCTGAACTTGAAGTCAAGAGAAAAAGATGAGATCTAAAAATCTTAACACAGCCAATCAGAGCCTGTCTAACCTGAAATCAACTACTGAGAGAGGTCAGCCTCGCCTCTACGTGATGAATCAGATCAGACAGAATATGGCCTTGAGGAGAGACGTTCCTGATCCTGTGAATTTAAATGGATACAGAGGACTCTGATGAAACAAAGAAATAGACTTTGAGAAACAGAGAAAGCTCTGGCACTAAAGCACATTTCACAGGAACACTACCTGTCTGCCCACTGAGAGATGGACTAACGCAGGGACAGATAGAAGGGTGAGAGAGGAACTGATGACAGACAGAAAAGATGACAGGTACACACATTAACACAACTCTGTGGAGACAGAAAGACAGATGGTATTAAGACCAACAGTTAGACACACAAGGAGATAGACAGGTTCAAGACGAGGAACGTCTAAAGACTGTTGCGGACCATCGTCCATTCCTCCACACACAGATTTAAGGGTTAGACACAGATTAACAGGTTTATAGTTGGACAGAGACAGGCTGATGGACAGGAGACACAGACCTACTTTGACAGACAGACTTATAGAAAGACAAACAGGGTCGTATCCCTCCGATGTGGACACAGCTCCACTGTAATTCTGCACTCTGCGAGTGCTTATCTTCTTTCTTTGTTATTGCTGCAGAAACTTCTGATCTGTAAATCTATTGCATATATATTCGGGAGCATTCATCACCTATATTTTTGTGCTATATATTTACCACAAGGGGGGGGCTGAAGGGGAAAAGACGGATTATAGCGGATACTTTTTAGTAAAAAAAATGTAAAAAAGGAAATAAATATCAGATTAAAAGATATTACAACGATGTGTTGTCCACAGAAGTCACACAAAGTCTTTTGGTTCCTTTGTAACATGGAATTGTTTTTTTTTTATTTGCTATGTAACGTGAAGTTCCTCTCACTATCACTGTCTTTCCCACTGAGGCCATCATGAGTGTCAGTGGTATTGTTGTCGTCATTGTTGAGATGCAAGGTTTGCCAGCATCAATCATTTTCTTTCAAGTTAATATTTTATCAACTTTTCAACTCAGACGGCAGATTTCTAAACCATTAAGAGATGGGGAGTCTTTTGTGGCTTGTTTTGCCCCTTTATTAAAGCTACTGTATTACAAATACATATATGTCCTTCAAATAATGCCACCATTGTGACACAGACCACACTTCTCCTGGAATAACATCACAGTTTTTATAACCTAACTGGTTAAATTTGCTCATTACAACTCAGTTCAGAGATGTCAACACAGCAAATCTCTTTTGTTTGATTACACATGGCCAAACTCATAGCCTGCTCTGACTGGTTTATTTTCTCCCAAGGCAACAGTGAGAGAACCATCACAGTGAATATTATGTAACTATTAATAGTGATAATTGTTGGTGAACTGCCCAACATGTAGATTACTGATGATGGTCTGCATAAGATGTTCCAACTCACGTAGAAAATGTGTGTGTCAGTTAATGTTTGTATTCTTTCGTCATACATTTTAGGATGTTTTCCAATGGATATGTTTGTGAACTCTAACTAAAGTTATGATCTGGTTTATTAGTTCATACAACCTCATCATCTTAAATGATCACGACCTCCAGGTTTTATATCACTGAGTCTTGGTTCTAAAGTTTCTCCCTGTGTTAAAGATGTGTTTCACAAACCAATACTCAAATGTCAAAATCACCTGAATTCTGTTTGAGTTTTTTCTGCTTATATTTCATTTGCCCTTGTACTGAAAACCAATCAATTATAAATTGGCACACATTATTTTAAGGTTTATTTTGTATCTCTTTGGCACTTTCTAAGTGGTGCACAGTATATTGAATAATTGCTTGTGTACATTGCATTTAAAAAAGGCCTTGGAAGTTATTTCAGAGACTCTGAAGTTTTAGTACAAATGAAACATTTTGTTAGAAGCTCTTATAATTTCACGTCGACAGTTGAGTAAATCCAAACACGACCATTGAGATTCAACATTTCCCCTTGCTTCTACTTATTATATTTCATGAAATGTATCCTTAAAGTTCAGCTCAGTGTTGCTTGACTGGTAGCTATTTTTCAGATCTCATTTACCATCTACTCCATCACTGTGTTTTGCTGCAGGAGGCTGCAGTTGCACATGTTGTTGGCAACCTGAGGGTTTCATGTCGTGTAAGTAAAATAATCCTGAGAGTTTGATTTTGTGTCAAAACCATCCAGAATCGTAATGTAAGAGTTGGGCCTGAAAATGCACCATATTATATCCCTAATTGGCAAGTGGTCCTCACATGACAGGAATACATGTATCAATCGATTTTCATGTGTCTTTCAACTTTGGTGCACATTTCAGATAAACAATACTTGTTTTGTTTTAAAGAGTCTGGTTTAAAGTTAGCGAGTGTGTGTCCCACACATGATGAACACCAGTTGTTTTTAATGAGTCTGGGTGTCAGGGTGAGCGAAAACATTTCCTTTGCTTTAAGAACCCCCGCTGTCGTGACCACAGGCACGACCACAGGCGCACACTGCAAGCAGCTAGCTGACTGAAAACTCCTTTTAAACTCATTACTGATTTAAAAGCAACGGTGGCTGCGGCTTCCATGTTTGTCACTGCTGCGACTGTCCCGCACTGCATCGCTATGGTGACATTGTTTCTTATTACAGTTTGGATTGATTGTTGCTGCTGCTGTTGTTGTTGCTGCTGTTGATGTTTTTTCGGTATGGATCTGACACAGTGCCTACCAAAAACCATGGGACCCTCCCTGTCATCTAGACACACACACTCTCTTTCAAACACACACACACATTCATACAAACACACACCTGCTCCAGCGCCCCCCTTTCATCAGAAGTCTTTTTTTTCTAAGCTTCAGTCTATTTTGCCACAAGCTTTTCCTACTAACTGACCGCAATAAGACCCATGTGATTTGAAAGACTTAAAGCTGTTCCTGCCTGGGGACATTGGAAATATTCACCATTTGAAAAAAAAAGATGAAATATAGAATAAAAAAGTGTTTTGTACAGAAATATATTTTTATGATGAAATTATTTGTAAAATGTATGAATCTATTATGTACATTTTCAATGCAATGTAAGATTAAAAAAGGCTAATTGCTTTTGTAAAAAATGTGTCTTCCTTTGCTGTCTTTTTGTAACTGGTTCAACCTCTTTAACTGATGTATAACCTCAAACAAAACCTGAACATATTGTCATTTATGAGGAATGTTTAACAAGCTCACATACATGCCAAGCTAAATGTTGTAAACAAGTCTCATGTGAAATGTAAAAGTTTTGACTTGAAAACTAATTTTCAAAGTCAGGGATTGTTTGAAGAGAAAATCCTGCAGGCATATTTAATTATATACATTACACATACATAAATATGCTATCTCACCTTGAAAGGACATCCCTAAAATTCTGCCATTTATTCACAGTGAAGTTCTTATAACCTGGAAATTCACAATATTATTTTTGCAGTTACTTTGTGCATAAAAAGCAGGTAATATGAAAATAAAATAAAGAGTTATTACAAGAGATATGTATGTTTTGATACTTTGGAAGTGCAAGACTACATTGTTTTCAATCATTCATATTGTATTAATAAATGAATGGTGCACCGGTACCATGTTGTTGTATATTTATAGACCAAACCACATTCAACTGCTAATACTGTTGGAATCAAACCTAGCAGGTCGACCTTTACGACTACCCCACATGCCCTGAACATTAAGCAGGCACAGGGAAATGAGACTGGTAAGCTTATTCAGAAAAATAACTCAAGAA